CCTTTGTATAAAACTAGCTAAATCATATCATAAATCTTGAGTCTCTCCCTGTATTTAAAGAAGCATTTAAAGTTATGTTTATAGAACAGAACATTAAGAGTAGGTTCTAAGTAATAGGATTAGTTCTATATAAGCTATAGAATATCATTTCTCACTTAAATCTATGCTTAAGGACTCTAACTCCTCCTATAGTTAAGAGTAACAATTAGACTTTAAAGACTTCCTAAACTATAAGGGAGCTTGATTTTCAAACATAGCATATTAAGAACTGCATCATACAACATCAGAATAGCTCTCCTATCTCAATTAATGATGCTATTAGCTGCCTTGTTAAGGGGGCACAAGTTATGATGCATTCTGCTGTTCTACTAAAGGCAGAAGTTAATGGCTCTACAAGTAGCAAATGAACAGAAAAAAAGGCGGGAAAGGAAGTGCAAGAGATGTATAATGCAAGGGGATAGTCTCTTTGTACAAGTCAGAGAGGATATCCTTTAGAGTGCTGAGGTTGATCTATATAGAGGTGGCAAGTGAGAGTTGTTAGCAGGTGGGCTCTAAGGGCCGACAGAAGTGCTATGGCTGATGTGAGAAAATAGGACATAATACCCGTATGTGCGAGAGGCGCTAGGAATCAATTACGATTGAATAGGGATTATTATATAAGGTGGTAGTGTAGTAATTATAGTAATAGTCAAATTTTGTGTTTTTGCTGCTGACTTGCTTGGGATGCTGACTCGCTTATGAAATATGTTATTCTTGATTATAAATCATGATTATGATTAATGTATTTATACACCGAATGGTCCAACACACTGAACAGTCCACTTAATCCAACCCTTTACACTACAGAACAGCTGTACAACCACCTGCCACTTTAAATGAATTAAAACTACTTAGATTCGTCATGATTAGACGTAACTACTACTACTTAGCCAGTTCGCACATTAGCCAGTGTTGCTACAGATGTCATAGCATCACGCATGCTGTTTAGCACAACGACTACCACAACGAGTTTCCTCGTATGTCTGCTTACCCACCTCCTTCTCAACTACTAAATCCTCTACTTCCTAGATAGTAAGTGATCCTCCTAACTCTAGTTGTGTTTTTTTAGCCCTCTGGCGCTTGCTAAGTACCTCATTGGCAGCACGGAGGTCCTTTGCCTCCTCCTGTAGTAACACTAACTCATGTGCCATTTTAGACATCCCTCGAGCCTAGGCATCAATAAGCTTGTACATATGAGTTGGAGAGCTACTATGGTGCCTAGCAATCTTATTTTTAATGACTGTAGACTGCTAGCCTACTTCAACTGCTGTACAAGGAGTCTTTGTAACCTATGAGTAGGCACTTCTAGGGCAAGAGCCTAGCGAAGATGGTGTGTTGAACCTTGGATCTAGGCAATTAATCACAGACTTAGGGTCTAGAGGAATATGCCCAGTAGCCCTAAAGCCTGCCTTAATGTTTTTTTCAGTCATAGAAGCATTAAATGCTTCTATATAAGCAGCAAAGAAGTCATCCTTAGTAATATGCATAATCTACATCATCATCATCTTCTCAATTGTAATGGTGGGTGCACCAGATGTGAGAATCCAGCCACCCAAGGAAGGGATGATTTTACTAAGACAACACACTGTCTTAGGAAACAGAACCAAATGGTTGTAGCTTAGACTATTCCACAATGCAGCAATCAGGTGTATGATGTAGTGAAGTGGTTTGGACAAGTTGTAACAGATGTTGAGTCTGAGAACTCAGGGGTAAGTCAGAGGTTAGCACCTCACTGACTTTTCAGAAACAAAGAATAACAAGATCAATGCTTGTTGATCAATGCTTGGAAGCTTGGAAAATACGTATGTGCTAGTCGATTTACTGTATTGTCTGCTTGCCCTTTCTTAAGGAAAGGGCAATCCTATTTATGCTAAAGGAGTGTAGTTCTCTCATTTTCCAAGACTTTCCATGACTAACCAGGCTTGGTAACTGTATTAGAAATCAAGTGTGACCCACAACTAGCTTGCTAATCATGTAGTGAACGTAAGAGAATCCCATAGAACCATCTCTTGGGTTCCTAGCCTATAGGAAGTGAAAGGAGGTCCAAGGTCAGAGTACCCCTATAGACAAATTATGTCATAACTTAGCCAATCTTGTGGGTAACTAAGGAGCGATGATGTGTAATGACATCATCGGTTGTAGAAGCCTCTCGAGCTATCGTTCATGTTCCTAGGCCTCTAGTTTGTAGATATATGCCATGTGGTAGTATTGGCCCACCCCATTAAGGAGGAGATTTTCTTAATAACTTGTTCAATGAGTGTCCAAATGATATGCCGTGATGTATGTAGAATAAACAGATGTAGTAGAAGAGTTTGCAGCAATCGTTGAGTAGTATTGCTCTTGTTGTTGGTGTGATAAGCAAGATATGTATGGTGACTGTAGGTTTGAGGAGGAGATTCTAAGTTTGCTCTTGAGTTTGATAGCAAACTGAGTGCAAACGAATGTCAGTATGACATCAATTTACTTGCTATATGAGGCTTTAAGTGAGCTGAAACAGCCAACATCAAGAGGCTGGAGGAAGTGAGACAAATAAGGAGGCATATAGAGTGTGATAATGTTATTAGCTTGAGAGTAATCTTCAAATTCAACTAAGTGGCGGCTTTTGTGTCCATCGAGGATTAGGAGTTGATAAACACCCTTTGTACGAGCCTTTGTATGCTTATTAAAGTGTTTTATCTAATCTACACCAATCTCATTTGTAGTCTAACCATTTTCGCTTGTATGAATCCTCTAGTTCTTTGGGAATTAGCCATTCTAGTACTAAGGAAGGAGGTGGTATTTGCCTTTCACAACCATGTATAAAGGGACTACCTAGCAGTCTACACACATACTCTAGATAACTATAACCTATTCCTAATTGCTAGGCTGGTTTGTACAGGGCCGGCCACATCGTTTAGAGCTTGTAACCACCTTGCGCTTGAACATATTAAAAACCCAGTCTCATTAAAATTTTAGGTGTCTAACTCTTAGATGCCATATTTAGCAATTGTGTTCTGTACAAGGGCAAACCAAGCTTATACAACCTTAGGATCTTCGCATTTAGCCCTCTAGTAATCAATTTGACGTCGAAAACACATGATAAGCTTAGGTTGACGCTATACAAAGCGTTGTGTTTGTCTCTAGCGCGTTGGCGTATGAGGGTTGTATAGGAGACTAGGTATATCCTTGCAGCAGCTTAGATAGTTAGTTTCGGTTCCTTTTGAAGGGCCTTAATTACAAGGAGTGTACGGCTCTCGTTTGAAGAAGATTCTATTTTTAATAAGGGAGAAAAGTGGTTGTGAAGGTTGAAGTGGCAAATTAGACAGGGGAATGGACCATTTGGTGTGTTGGACCATTCGGTGTAGAAATACGTTATGTGCTTTGTAAATAATCATGATTATGATTACGACCTAATAATCATGGTTATAATTGATTTTCTAACCCTATAAGTTGCGCACTACCCCCTACCTCTATGTAACGCTGACTTCTAAACGATAGAAGACACAGAGGTTCTCTTGCGTAAAGGTTTACTTATCAGAGGAGGCAGGGGATCAGACACAAAGGCTTCAAGTAACACGTTACTAGTATATAACAAATACTGTATTGAGTTGAGCACGAAGCTCCTATCTAAGGAAATACTATCTACTTATATAGTGGCGTCGTGCCTAGTGGACTCTTGGGAACTCACTCGAGTCCTCGGAGTCCTGGACTCTTAGGACTCTTCTCATCATCCTGCGAGTCCATCACATGCCTAGTGGACTCCTGGGAACTCACTCGAGTCCTCGGAGTCCTGGACTCTTAGGACTCTTCTCATCATCCTGCGAGTCCGTCACGTGATACTTTCGGAACTACTATTCCCCGCTGCCCCTCCAGGTACCAGGGCCGGTCTCATGCGACCTCCCTCCTTCCTGTCCTGTAGTTGGCCAGCCTTCTTGTTCCGTCGTAACACTCTACTACTTTAAAAAATATAATTAAGCAACTATAACACATTAAATTGACTAAAGCTACTTAGAATCTAATAAACTAGGTATATCTACAACTACTTGACAAGTTCGTGCATTATGACTAGTCTTTCTACAAGTACCACAGTGTTGTCTAGTCAATTTCCCCTCATTCTAAAAAGTCCCCCTAGAGTGCTTATTATGTTGTATCTACAAAATCCAGCCTATGCATTTTGAGCTGTTATTAATTGTTTATATGCTGCTTTAAAGGCTAGCAAAACTCAACCTTAGAGATATAGTTAATATGAGTCTTAATGCAGGTCTTAATCTAGCAACTATATGCCTGCTTTAGCATACTAAAACATCTAACATCAAGTGGCTAGGTTAGATGAGAAGAGTAAGGAGGTAGACAAAGAGTGATAATGTTATGTACCTTGTAATACTTCTAGAATTCGGCTAATTCATGACTCTCATGCCCTATTAAGGACAAGCATTTGATATAGACCCTTTGCTTAAGGAGTAGTATGTTTATTAAAGTGTTGATAACCTAGTTGTGTAGGAGACTGCCATCTATATACTAATTCTCAAGATGAGTCTTTCCTTAAACTACTAAAAATAGAGGCATACTCTAACCTTTGCTATTAATACAAGCAACTGCTATAGCCCATTCTTAATTGCCTAGCTGAACTGACTTGCCTCTACTACATCGATTAGCATGTATACAATCATAGCTAGGCAAATTATGCCCATCATAAATCCTGTCTTGTCGAAACTATAGATTCACAGACATTATAGATCTTTGCAGCAGAGTGACAACTAATTTTTTTAGATGAGCGAATAGCCTCGATAGCTAGAATGATTCGTGCTTCTTGCGTTTGAATTTCCATTAGGGGTGGTTGAGAAAACGCCTGTTAAAGTTTAGGGCAAAAACTCGATATACCCAGTAAACTGGTAAGAAAACTCCATCTACCCAGTCGGCCGCTAACCCTCCTTTGGAAAGGTTAACGAGCCAATGAGAGGCGTACTCTCATTTGAGAGTACATGCTCTCATATGGCCTTTTTGAAGCAATTGAGCTGGCAATATACCAGCTCAATTGCACGGTAAGTCGGGGGTCAATTGAGACCCCCAAACCTCCTCCCCCTTCCCTTCCTCCCCCTTCCCTTCCTCCCCCTTCCCTTCCTCCCCCTTCCCTTCCCTTCCTCCCCCTTCCCTTCCTCCCCCTTCCCTTCCTCCCCCTTCCCTTCCTCCCCCTTTCCTTCCTCCCCCTTCCCTTCCTCCCCCTTCCCTTCCTCCCCCTTCCCTTCCTCCCCCTTCCCTTCCTCCCCCTTCCCTTCCTCCCCCTTCCCTTCCTCCCCCTTCCCTTCCTCCCCCTTCCCTTCCTCCCCTCCACCACAGAACACCGCTGACACCTCCCAGGCTCCTGTCATACTGACATTCGTTGCACTCAGTTTGCTATCAAACTCAAGAGCAAACTTAGAAATCTCCTCCTCAAACCTACAAGTCACCATACATATCTTGGCTTATCACACCAACAACAGAAGCAATACTACTCAACGATTGCTGCAAACTCTTCTACTACATCTGTTTATTCTACATACATCACGGCATATCATTTGGACACTCATTGAACAAGTTATTAAGAAAATCTCCTCCTTAAGGGGGTGGGCCAATACTACCACATGGCATATCTCTACCAACTAGAGGCCTAGGAACATGAACAATAGCTCTAGAAGCTTCTACAACCCTCTATGATTCATTACACGTCATCGCTCCTTAGTTACCCACAAGATTGGTTAAGTTATGACATAATTTGTCTATAGGTACTCTGACCTTGGACCTCCTTTTCACTTCCTATAGGCTAGGAACCCAAGAGATGGTTCTATGGGATTCTCTTACGTTCACTACATGATTAGCAAGCTAGTTGTGGGTCGCACTTGATTTCTAATACATTTACCAAGCCTGGTTAGTCATGGAAAGTCATGGAAAATGAGAGAACTACACTCCTTTGGCATAAATAGGATTGCCCTTTCCTTAAGAAAGGGCAAGCAGGCAATACAGTAAATCGACTAGCACATACTTCTACGTCTTTTCCAAGCTTCCAAGCATTCATCTTGTTACTCCTTGTTTCTGAAAAGTCAGTGAGGTGTTAACCTCTGACTTACCCCTGAGTTCTCAGACTCAACATTTGTTGCAACTTGTCTAAACCACTTCACCACATCATACACCTGATTGCTGCGTTGTGGAATAGTCTAAGCTACAACCCTTTGGCTCTGTTTCCTAAGACAGTGTGTTGTCTTAGTAAATTCATCCCTTCCTTGGGTGGCTAGATTCTCACATCTGGTGCACCCACCATTACAGCTCCCTCCCTCCTCCGACCCCCTCGAAACCCCCCTCGGAAGCCCTCGCGTGAGGCACAAACTCCCCCGCCTCCCTCACCCCTGCCTCCTACCCGAACTCACTGCCCCTGTCGACGGTAGCAAGTTCCTAGACTTGGATGCTTGGTCCCGCGCCCTGGACGACTGGGCCGTCAAGGAGAAGTTATCCTGGCGGCTCCAGAGGAGGGACAAAGACGGGGCAACTGCCGTTTGTCCCGAGGAGGGCTGTGCCTGGCGTGTCCAAACCAGCCCTGATGACAAGCTTCCATTGCTCACCGTCGGGGCTGGCTCGGACATGCCAGGCACATATGAGAACGGGGGGAGTTTCTAGATTGGGCTTAGGTGGGTCACGTGGGATGGAACTGGGTATATAGAATTTATTTATTGTTTTACTGGGTAATCGTCGTAACCAACTTTTCGCTTCGCTCAAGGTTGGAGGAAGCGATCCGCGTGCACGAGAAATGGAGGGGAAGCGAAGTGCGCGCATAAGTACGTCCCTATAGTAAATTGTATGTAAAGGTACAAAATTTCACCATTTTAAAAAATTATCATTTCCTCATTCCCATGATCACTCCCATTCCCGCTCCCATTCCCACTCCCATTCTCATATTCGCCCTCACTTTCGAGGGTTTCTGGATCAGGAATTGGGACCTCTAATTCCGGAGGAATTGGGAGGCCTAATCCCTGAAGAGTAGCCAGGCTCTTCTTCCGGAAACGCTCTTCTTTCCGGGCCTTAATTCCAGCCTGGTGGAGCTGCTTCTGGGCCTGGTTTCTAGCCTGGTGAGCCTCCCGGGCTTCTTTGGCTGCGAGCTTCTGGGCTAGAAGCTCGTGGGCTTCGGCAGCTACGAGCTCACCTCCGTTCTGAAGCCGGGCCCGGCTTTAGCTCGTCCGCTCCTTCGACTCCTCCACCTGCCGCCGAGCCACCCGTAGGTCAAGTTCTTGGAGCCGGCCTACCGCCATAACCTCTTCAGCCCCAGTAAGCCAGTTCATATAGCTCATACGTGAGGGGCTGCTAAAGGCCTCCGGAACCCAGTCTTTCCAGCGCTGTGCCCCTCTTCAACCCCCCGAAAAGTGGAGGGTTTAGGGGTAATAGGCCATATTGGTAAGGTAGGCGTAGGCTCTTCTGTAGGCTGGGTAGTAGGCTGCGAGTATGTACGTAGCTTCGTGAGGGCTGTATTACAGCTTATTGGCCAGATTCCAGCTTTCTGGAAAGCTGAGAGTATTGTAGACTCCTTAAAAGTCTGTTCCCGGATTTTGGTGAGATCTCTCATAAATGAGGGTAGGTCGTATGTAACGTCCATATTCCGTATGGCATAGAGCACAGCCAGTGCTTATATGGCTGGAATATTCCCACATCTAATGGCTGTAAAATGTGTGTAAGATGTGAGGGAAAGGCGAAAACGATGATGTTATATTTGTCTGCTGTAATGATGAAATCATCGCTCGTATGGCTTATATTAGAATCAAGGAGTAGAACCCTGGGATTCCCATTTGCATATGGAGCTGTATGCACTGCAAAGTGCTCTAGCCACCATAAGGCAAGCTGGCTATTCGAATAGCCAGTATCGGAGAGTAATATCAGTTCTTTGCCTTTAAGATTTTCTGGGTACCAAGAATCCTAAATCCCGTTTCATCCATATTCCAAATTGACTCCGGTAATATATTGGGATCCCATATAAATTGGAAGTATTTTTCAAACCATTCAATAATCTTAGATTCGTCTTGGGCTTTCGTACGCTGCTGTGCAATAGGCTTTGTAGTGATAAAATGGAATTCCGGAAGCTGATTCTGAATATATTTAGTAAGCCAGCTCTGTGATGGTGGAGGTAATGGGCTCCGGAGCTGGCAGACTGCAGTAAATAGCATATTCCTATTGGCTCCAAGCCTAAGGTAATATTGCTCGAGGATCCATTTCTTAAGGGCCTCTGCCTGAGCAGTAGAGAGTACCCTATTCTGCCCCCCTTTACGTTGCTGTGGGTTCTGAATACGGCGCTTGATGCTTCCTCGTAGAGTTGATTCTGGGACCTTGAAAATATGACTAGCAACACGCCTCGACTCATAAGGATTTTCTGCGAGCCACTCACGGGCATTTGATATAGGAGTCCCTTCCATTAAATGAATTACATCAGGTTACAATATAAATTACTATGTACAGCTATGGAAATGGTTTTGTTGAAGAGTAGCGGTGAACAGACGCACGTTTCTCGTGCGCGTACTTCGCTTCCCCTCCATTTCTCGTGCGCGCGGATCGCTTCCTCCAACCTTGAGCGAAGCGAAAAGTTGGTTACGACGATTATATGGAGTTTTTGCCCTAAAGTTTATGGGAGTGGGGAGGGGGCCAGTGCGCGACTCGGTGTCGTGCGCGACTCGGTCTACAGCCCACGTTATTTATAATTTATTTTTTAAAGCAGCTAGCCAAAAGTATCCCGACGCGGTTAAAATAATCTAGAATGATCTTTACATAAGGGTTGTTTGATACCGACGCGCCTTCGTGAACTACAATTTAATATCCCCCTCATTCCTTGGACACAATAATGGTTTTGTTCATGTGCGCGTGCGTGTAAACATCGACGACCCCTCCAGCAAAGTGGCGCTAACCCGCTTGGACCCCACAAGGCTACCACTAGTAGAAAGGCAGGGCTGAGCTATCAACGACATCAAGCTCACAGCTCTACCAGACCACAAACCCAATCCATCATGTCATCTCAAGGTGGCCAGACCGGTGCGTTACTCCCTTGAGCATCCCTTCATGGGAAACCCACTGACACCATCCCCCGCCGCAGTTGACCTCGGCGGCCTCTCAACCCAGCAATTGAGCCAGGTCAAGAAACAGCTCGACGAAGAGCTCGAGCACCTCACTAGCTCGTTCACCCAGCTGCGCGCCGCCCAGGCGAAGTTCCGCGAGTGTCTGAATTCAATAGCTACCGGTGTATCTCCTAAAGTGGAGGGTGCGTAGCCCTCGGTGTGGCCTTCGAATATTGTCGCCTAATTTGTTTGGATAGGGAAAACTATACTGGTGCCTTTAACGAGCTCGCTTTATGTGCCAGGGACCCTGGCAGATACGGAAAATGTGATTGTCGATGTTGGGACCGGATATTATGTTGAGAAGGTTGGGTTATTGGGCTGATATTGTGGAGAGGTTACTGATTAACACGTTACAGTCGACGAAGGATGCTGCCAAGTTTTATACTGCCAAGGTCGATGAGCTCCAAACAAACCTCAAGGATCTGGAGAGCATAGTGCAGGGGAAATCAAACAACTTGAGGGTGGTCGAGGATGGTAAGCAGAGTCAAAATATTGAATCACAGACAGGGCTAATTTGTTGCTCCCAGTTTTACGACAGAAGGTTCTCAGTGGCAATGCTGGCGCACCAGCCGCGGAATAAAATTACATATTTATTGGTTGATCTTTGTCTCATTGTCTTGCTATTCTCCTGTTTCCCACATTGTGAAAATGAGTACTTGTCCTCACCTTACTGCTATATACCACTGCTGGATTGATTACATTTGCAACACAATGTGGTTTCCCACGAGTCCACCCACCTATAACTCCTCCAACCTGTCAACTATTTGCCAGATCCAGCTTCACTCAAAAAAGATTGGACCTTCGCAACAGCAGCGAGAAACGCACGAAACCCTTCATGCTTGTCAACCACTTGGCCACCAACTGCAAATGAAGATGGCTTCGATGCCGGAGGTGGAGGGAACAGCACCCGAAGATCAGATCCCAGCTTCCAGCGTTCGCAGCTTTCTCCTTCATTTGGTCCCATGTGGTCATCCCAATTTGTCGAGTACATCGAGGCTCCGCAGTATCCAACGCTGTCTGAGCAAATTCCCCTGGACAGTAGAATCTGCACCACGTAGGGAGTGCCCATGAGTTTGTATTGGAAAATGGTGTGGATGTTCGCAGTGTCATTGCCATTCAAACGCCTATTTGGACCAGCGGATGGGTAAGGAAAGCCCATGACGTCTTCCTCGACTTTGGCAGATGAGAGAAGTTCCTGGGCCGTGGCTTGGATGGAGACACTGTTGGAGGACAGCTTCTCTTGCGTCATAATCTCCAGAGCCCAATGGAACTTGCTGTTGCATTTTAGCATGGCAATTTTGCCTGAGGACGGCTTGCGCTATACGTACCTGTTAAAACCGAGAAACCCAACCTCAAGTCGCTTCTTCAGAGCACTGTCCTCTTTGTAAAGTGAATTTTCTCCGAGTTGATATTCGCCGCCCCTAGCGGATATATCGATATCTGCCTCGAGGCGGAAGCCGACAGTTCCGCATTTTCTGTATATAAGTCTCTGCTTGGGCTTGATGTCGGATAGTTTTCCAATCATGTTGTCCAAAGGGCAAAACATATCATGAGATTCATGGATTTTCCGAATAAGTTGGAAGCCCAGCTCAACCCCACCGATCCTATCAGATGCGGGGTTACTTAATGCATCTCTGACAGATTAGGATAAAACTCACATCTTTTCGAACACAGCCCCAGTCCGAGACTGACCCATCATATCGATGAACTTCTCGAATGCAAACCCTGATCTCGCCATTTCAGCACGGTAGCGTCTCAGAATTACGTTGCCAAATTGGACCCTCATTCTCATGCTGCTGTGCAGTGCACACAGATTGATGAAAGCATTGCCCAAGTGGTCTGCAAATACTTTCTCGTTGAAGGCCATAAGTTCCTTCCTCTTCTGCTCCCATTCCTTCACCTCTTTTGGAATTAGGCAAGGGCCAGCTAGTTTCACACGCTTGTCGAGTTTGTCCTTTGACTCCGCTAACTCTATCCCAAGAACTTCTTTGCGCATGGATGATGCCGAAGGCGGCTCAACAATATAACGAGCACGGCAAGTTCGCTCATTAGCCTCTGCGTGAAACAGGGTGATTCTGATGCGACCAAGAGCTGTTATGCAATCCTCGTCCGTCTCGGCCTCAACAACAATCGTTTTATTCTCAGAATCAAGGGCTATATAGACACGGTATGCAATGCGGATACGATCCCATGCTTTGTCTACGTTTTGACTCGCAATGAGATCCGGGTCACAATGACCGAAATATCCCTGGACCCGTTAGTTTCGATTTGGTGGTAATAATGGTTACTATTACCGTGCACTTAAAGTCAGTGTTCACTGTAATGGGACCCAGATACTTATTAGTGGCTGCATCTAAGGCTATCTGGTTGCCCTTTCTTGTTGTGATGAGCCCAGGGTGCTCTGCCCAACCTTGCTTTGACTTCTTGGTATCGGTGAATTTTTTGGTTATCCACGGGGGAACCTTTCTTGATGTCGACTCTGAAGCCCTGCGAGCAACCCCATTGTTAGCTGAGGATGATGGGGCCCCGAAATGGTTCACTGGTAGGCTATCCTTTGAAGGAAGCTCGCGTGCCCCAAGACCATCATGGGACGGAGCTTTATTATGCGGGTATGTGGCAATGGCAGGACGCTGCGACTGAGCAGCTGTGCTCTGTGGCCCAGCACCTGAGCCACCCTTTGTCTCCAGGGCCTTTGTCTCCAGAGCCTTTGTCTCCAGAGCCTTTGCCTGATAGTCTTCGTCCCATTCTGTGATCACTGTCAACCAACCATACGCACACCCAGGTTGAACTTTCAATTACCTCCCCGACCTGTGTCGATCTCTAGAGTCTTGGTGTCCATACTCTATGCGAGTAAAATAACAGGCCTAGTAATATATATACGATCTCATGTGCATGTGTTGTTACAAGCCGTGTAAGAGCAAGTAATGCCTGAATGTTTTGATTGATTCTACCAAGTAACTAGAATTAAAACTGTTGCAGAATCAGGATGACTATCCCTCAAGGTGTTACTCAGATAAAAAAAATGGCGCTAGGCCGCTAATGCCTTTGGCAGCATGCTTTTGGCCGCATTGAAACAGAAATATTGACATATGGAAATACTTGAAAAGAGAGACTATACTGTCCAGGACCATATGAACTACTCAACTGGTAAAACCCGGGCAGCATAGAATAATAACAGGCTAAGAACTCAAAACCAGGCTGAAATGGACATATTGCTTACACCATTGGAAGGAATGGGTAGTCGTAACCCATATATAGAATGAAGATGAACAAAGCAATACCAGAGAAAACCCCCATATTTGTCCAAATCTCATATATCTTTTTGGGCTCCATACCTTTGACTGTCCATTCTCACATATTTTTTTGGGCTCCATGCCTTTGACTTGTGGTAATACTGTCTTGAATAAAAAATATTTTGTTACTCTAAGACGATGACTTCTATGGAGCTATGTATTTGCCATCTCCTGTGAAAGGGAAAGGTCGTCGTCAGTGTAATTAACATCACGTGCTGACGCAACCAAGTTTCAGGGGCAGCGAACGGCTCGTCACGAAAATTCGCGTAGGGACGCGACGGAAATTTAATACCTGTGGCAGAACAAGCCATGACGAGGCCGACGTTTCCACATTTGATGTCCTCATTCAGTAACACCTGTGTGAATAAGCAACCAAAATGCGTCAAAGGCCAGAATCTCAGCCTAATAAGCAGCAGTTGTCCAATGCTGCGAAGGTAGAAAGAGCGAAGCAATACCTTACCGGCGTTGGCATTACGAGAGAGGACTCCGACGACGAGCTGGGGCTGGACGACTACCCCTGGGAATGGGTATACGACAATGCGGGAAAGGCAGATGAAGACAATGATGGGACCGATAACGAAGACAACATTGTGGATCTTCTCAATGCAGAGGCCACAACATCACCAGCTTATGCTGGGCGCAAGAGGAAGGTGGCCAGGAAGGCAGAACAAGATGCGCAACGAAAGATAATTGGTGCAAGAATGGGGGATTTCGAGTGCAAAGTTGGAGACTGTGTGCTTCTTAAAGCCGAAGGAACCAATGAAGCATGGGTGGGCGTGATCTGCGAGTTTATTGAGGAGGATGACGGCGAGATGGCGGCAAATTTCATGTGGTTCGCAACAGAGAAGGAAATCCGAAATAAGGAAAAGAAACGGACGGATTTTATGCAGGTACGAGCCGGATAACAGGTCTCACTGGGTCGAAGCTAACTCTTTTCAGAATGAACTGTATATATCCCCCTCATGGGATGTTAATCCTATAGCTTCCATCAACGGCAAGGCCACAGTTTCATCAGCCAGGACATTTTTGGCAAAGTATCCCAGTGGCCGAATACCTAGGAACTCTAAAGAGCACGGCAAAAGCTTTATCTGTCGACGCGGCTGCAATACCAGAACTGCAACTTATACAGAGGAGTTTATCTGGGAAGATATCTTCCATGGGACCGATGAAGATATTTTTAATCTTATTGAGAGAGTCAAGAACGAAACAAAGGCCACAAGAAAACGGCGTGGGGGACTACAGGCAGAAAAGCGCAAACAAGAGCAAGAGTTCTTGACGGTGGATGATGGGGATGACGATGGGGATGACTTCGGGACCCCGAAGAAGAGGCGGAAGACCTCTGTAGCCTTAACTCCAAAGAAACCTCGGACACCTAGCAAGCTACTACTCACACCGAGTCATAAGAGGTACGTGTCCGTCCCTGAAGTTGCAGCGCAAAGCTAATATTTTCCCAGGATCATTGTGAAGAAACCCCTTGAATTTACACCCTTGGGAACTCGAGTTATCTCGCCAGGTCAGATCTACGCTTCGCCTTTTCAATTGGCGCGATCCAAACTTCATGTTGCGGCTGTTCCCACCACTCTTCCTTGCAGAGAGAATGAGTTCGCTGAAGTTTATTCACACCTTGAGTCGGCGATTACAGATGGCTCAGGGGCTTGTATTTATATCTCGGGCACGCCTGGAACAGGGAAAACAGCAACAGTCCGCGAGGTTGTTTCCCAGTTAAACGCCTCGGTTGCAGCCGAAGAACTGGATGATTTCATTTTTGTTGAAATCAACGGCATGAAAGTGACTGACCCCCACCAATCTTATTCTCTCCTATGGGAAGCATTGAAGGGAGATAGAGTCAGCCCATCACAGGCTCTAGACCTCCTGGAGAGAGAGTTCAACCATCCAAGTCCGCGACGAATTCCATGTGTGGTATTGATGGACGAGCTCGATCAGCTCGTCACCAAAAACCAGAGCGTGATGTACAATTTTTTCAACTGGCCGGGGTTGAGACACAGCAGGCTTATCGTCCTTGCGGTGGCTAATACAATGGACTTACCTGAGAGAACGCTGAGTAACAAAATCAGCAGTAGACTTGGTAGGTTCGATCCGACCAAAATTTCGAACATCACTAACCCTCCTCAGGTCTGACTAGAATCACTTTCCCGGGATATAATCACGAGCAATTGATGAAGATTATCGAGTCGAGGTTAGAGGGTGTACCAGGTGGCATCGTGGAGTCAGATGCCGTTCAATTTGCCAGCAGAAAAGTGGCTGCTGTGAGCGGTGATGCACGCCGTGCGTTGGATATATGCAGACGAGCCGTGGAGCTTGCTGAAACGGAAGCCGGCGAAAACGTGCCAGCGACACCCAGCAGGAAGGCCGCTGGTCCCAATGGGGTGGCTAAGAAATCCTCCCTGGGTCAGGTCACAATAGCTACGATAAAACGGGCCATCAACGAAGCGACTACAAGCCCCTTGCAACAGCATCTACGGGGTCTTCCGTTGGCATCTAAACTTCTTCTTGCTTCCCTACTAGCAAGGATTCGACGGACGGGCATAGGAGAGAGCTTTATTGGTGAAGTGATCGAGGAGGCAAAAAGGATCTCGAAAATGGTTGTAGACATCGAAACGCTTGGGTTTCTGTTGACGGAAATTTCACCAACTGCAGGTGGTGGAAAGGCACACTTGGACCGTAAGAATCAACGCGATGCTCCGCGTGTCCATGCTATGGGCACAGCCGCGATAGAACTTATGGAGGCTGGCATCATAGGATTCGAGGCTCGAAAGGGAGACCGGGTGGCCAAAGTACGTCTCTGTATCGGCGAGGGAGATGTCAAGCTCGCATTGAAAGATGATCCCGAGTCTCGAGGGCTCGGGTTTTGATATTAGATCTACAAGATACCCATAATTTGTATAAGTAAAAAAAGTGCGAGCCTAATCTGCCGCCTTTTCCAACGCCATTTTCTGGGTGACATCGCTAGTCCAGATTCCGCAACGCCCCTCGTGATATGCTGATATACACATTCGCCTTTGCCATGCCGTCGGCCGTCCATGTTACAATTCCTTCTTTGGATTCCCCAGCCAATTTCTAACTTCCGCCCAAACCGCAATCAGTATTTTTGGCGTCCCAGAGTTGGCTTCCAATCTAAGGGGTGAGACTCTGGTGTCGCTTGGTCATCTTGCTTCCATATTTTTACTGATATCATCGTTAGCACTGGTACAAACATAATGTTGCGAGTTCAACTTACTAGTCTTGTCTGCCTCTCCGCAAATCAATCTCAATCCAGTCTTATCGAACGTGGAGCTCATTATTCCAGCCTCAGCGTCCAAAGATCCCGGCTGAGCCGTCGTATCCAGCGACTGGTAAAGGTGTCCCGTTTTCCAATCCCAGAAGCCCATCGATCCATTATCACCTCCCGAGAACAACACATTGTCTTCGTTGACGCTCAAAGTATTGATAATGGCATTCTGCCCCTCAAAGCTCTGCATGAACGCTCCCTCGGGGCACTTCCACTGCTTGATGCTACCAGTGCTGCCCGACGCAAATGTGAACTCCTTCGGATGAGTTACAAGAGCCCTTACACCCTTCTTGTGGTGCGTTAGAACTCCCATAGTCTTACCGGCGGCCAAATCCCACAGGCGGACAGTAGAATCGAGAGACCCGGTTATGACCTGCGGATCCGCCTCTTGACATTTAACGTCTGCAACCGTTCCCTTATGCCCAGCTAAAACGTGGATGTTGCTTCGTGTCCGCATATCCCACACTCGAGCAACACCATCTCGTCCACCCGTAACCAGGACGTCGAGTGTCGGGTGAAGGGCTAAGGTGTAGACGCCGCTCAAATGTCCGTGGTAGTGTCGAATGACCTTGTTGGTTTCCAGATCCCAGCACTTCACCATCTTATCCTCACCACACGAGAACAGATACGGGTGTCTCGGCGAAACAGCCAGACCCCTGACTGTGGAAATATGCCCCGTCAGCGTGAGCTTCAGTCCTCCCGTCGCCAGATCCCAGATCTTGATCGTCCTGTCCCCCGCACCACTGGCAAACCATTGATTGTTCGGTTCAACCGCCAAGCTCCGCACCCAGCCCAGATGGCCGGATATAACACGCATCAGCTTCCATGGCGCATGCCATTCTGGTTTCGCCTGCTGGGCGACCTGGATCCTCCTGGTATTGTCGGTAGAAAGCACTGATGATAGTTGCGTTCCTGGTGTCCGTGGCGCCCCTGGAGCTGCCGCAGCCCTCTTCTGATCTGCCCTCTTCGCCCGCACCAGTTGTGTGCTGGTCGCATCTACCTTACGCTTCCTCTCAGGAATCGAAGTCTGTATCACTGGTGCATCTGGGACGACGCCGCCCGCGAAAAGCGCTCGCGTCTTCTTGGAGTTTTGGAGGAGGAGTTGTCGTAGGTACGCAGAATCGCCGTCGGTGGCTGCCGCCATTTTTATGTACGTGGCCCACGAATTGTCAGTTTGGGTTTTCTTCGGGAGTTGTTGAAAGTTTGGTGAGGCGGCTCATGGAATGAGGCTCGTGGGAACCCTTCGCGTTGTGACGCTCTAGCAACTTTTAGAGCCTTGTGGGGGAAGCGCGCTAGGCCTAATTAGTTGCAGTTATCGATGGTGAGCTACCTGATACGTAATCACGCATCTGCTTCGAAGAATTTATTAGAAAGGCATCAGTGCATGACGATTGTTTTCTTTCACTATTTATGAACTTTGTCAGGTGTAGTACTTCCAGATTTTTGCAACAAAATCTCCAGCATTATGGCGGATAAGACCAACAAATTTGAGATCCATGAAGCTGCCAGGAATGGGCGAAGTAGCTACCCCTCATACTATTTTGCATGAGAAATAACTAACGCTCCTACAGCAAATGTGGTTGAAAGTCTCCTGAATGTAGGAGGAACACCAGGCCTCACCTCCGTGGACCGTGGAGCTAAAGAGAGAATTGCAGGCAAATTCGAAACTGGCCACTCTGAAAGACGATGACGACCGCCTGCCATTGCACTGGGCTGTTGCGCAAGGACATCTTGACGTAGTATCAATTCTGGCCCAAAGGAAGGATTTCGATCCAGATGTTCACGTAACTTCACTCAGCCCAGACTTTGCGAACGCCCGAGCACATCAGCTTGACATCCGTTGTCCCGTGACTGACCACCCATTAGGATGGTGCGGGTTGGACCCCTTTGATGATAGCAGTCAGCCTCAAAGAGGGTGAAGATATCGTTAAACTCCTGTTGAGCAAAGGAGCAGATGTGAGCGAGACAAGTAAGTCTGGTACCCATGAAAAAGATCACAACTAACTATTACAGATAACAACGGCCAGGTCTGTCAATATATAGGCACCCCCAGGCTTAAAAGCTAACAAGAAACAGACTGCTATATTCTTCGCCACCTCAAAGAATAATCTTGACGTTACTAAAACCCTCTTGGCAAACAAGCCACCAGCATCAGTGAGAGTGAAGGATAAGCGTGGCCAATACCCCATCCACAGAGCTGCGTCAATCGGGAGCGTGCCATTGGTGGAGCTGCTATTGAAGAACAGGAGCCCACTGAACGCAACGGATTCAGCGGGATATACGCCGTTACATCACGCAATTGCTGAGGGCCATGGTAGGTTATCAACTACTCCCCAAAAGCTTCGCCGTCTGACTCTATCAGGTGATACTGCGCTTGCCCTCCTCAAGGCTGGGGCAGAGTCGGATAAGAAGGACGTTGACGGCTTTCTTGCCATCGACCTTGCTCCGGATGGAAAGGTATGTTTCTACCACTTGCCTATCGCATGACGTGCAGTTCTAATAGAACTAGATCCGCAAGTTCATACTGGAGAGCGTCGAGCGGGAGGGAATAGATATCACAACCAGCAGCTAGGCCTTGCAATCATTCACAGAGACACCTAGCATTGACACAATCAAGACATTACAATGCAGTAGTATGTAGAACAATATTTGATCCTTGCTACACCTAGTTACTTAACAGTATTCTCAACCAGCTCCCTATACATCGCCTTGACATCCTGTACATCCGCCTTGAGCTCCTCCACCATCTCGCTCTTCTCCCCCAGCATCTCCAGCGTAGTCTGATACCGGGCATTAATCGCATCAACCTCCTTCTCCAGCTCCAAGACCCTGTTGTGATCAGCCCTCTTTGCCTCAACCTCCTGCATCAGCGAGACTATCTCTGCGCGCGCCTCGTCGCGCTGGCTCGCTAGACGGACGAGCTCCTCTTTTGTGGAGATCTTCTCGTTCTCCAGGCGGCGCACTGCAGCGCTCATTCTCTCGACGAGTTGGACGGATGGACCTGCCCCGGCTGTCGAGACGGACATGATGTCATTCATAGTGTGGTGGTGATCAACTGGCGATGCCGTGTTTTCCAAATACTCATCGGGATCCATAGTGATAGGTGGCGCATCCGATGCCTCGGCGTCTGGGCTAAATAAGGTAGCTGAGTCCTGGCGCTTTGGCGTGACATGTCCTGATGACCGAGGGAGCCTCGATGAGGAGGGTCGGCTCATTCGTCGTTCCACCCCGGGGAGATCATCCAGCATATCCCTTGACGAACCAGCGCGTCTTGTCTGTAGATTCTGGAGACCTAGGTATTCTGCCGTGAGGCCCATTCTCGACGATGCCACTGGTGATACAGCACGATCGAAGTTGTATGCCGACCGAGGAGCCTCTTCCTTCCATTTATTGCGCTCTTCCTCGAGGCGTTGTTGTAATTCGGACGCCCATGTTTGCTTTTCAAGTTCAAATGCATTATTAGCTTTTTGGAGAGCTGCCTCTGCTTCGTCTACTTTTTGCTGTAGTTGTACAAGTTGTGTCTTTTGTGACGTTACCGCTTGCTGCAATTCGTTGATCTGCGTTTGCAAACTCTCGGCTTCGTCTTCGTTGGATTTCGCTCTCAGTGTCTAGATAAACAGTTAGCAATGAAATCAGTAATGCGGTACAGCGGAATACTAACCATTTCTCGGGCCTTTTTCCTGATATCGCTCTCGCGACGGAAAGCTTCATCTCTCTCCTTCTGCAGATTCGTCACTTGCGAGGTCAACGACGTCTGAATCCCCTGCCAATTCTCACTAGCAATAGAATACTGTGTCTGCAACGTCTCGATTTGCCTCAAGAATTTCGCCTGCGCATCCCCCGTTGCACCCGACGATATTTCTTCGGCCCTCGTGCGCATAACCTCCAGCCGGCTCTCCAGCAGTTGAATCTCTCCTTTCTGCTCCAGCTCAGCGGCTCGTGCACGGTCGGCCCCCCGTTCGGCTTTCGATTGCAGTTCTTCAATCTGAGCTCTTAATTTGTCCTCCGCCAATTTCTTCTCGATCTTGAGTGAGGACACTTCTTCGTCTAAATTGCTGGCTCGTTTCTTCTCGGCGTCTAGCTGACCTTGGATTTTCTTCACTTCGTCTGCCTTTGCCTGGGAAGCAGATTCGGATAATTGGGCTTTTAGTTGCCCAATTTGCACTTCCTTGGCATCTCTTTCTGCCTTGACAGCCTCCATATCCTTCTGCGTTCGTGATACCTGTTTATGCCTCTCGTTCAACTGTCTCTCGATTCCGTCGGCTCGCTTTAGGCGCTCATTCAATGTGGCTTTCTCCTTCACCATTTTCTCCAGCGTGTTATTTACCTCGCCTGCTGCCTTCTCGGATTCAAATCCTTTAACCTGCAATTTCTTGATGACAGTCATGTGCTTTAGCTCAGTGTTGGAGAGCTTCTGGCCCTCCTCCATAAGCAATGCTATCTGCTGATCCTTATCCGCCAGCTTCTTTTCAAAACTATCTGCTGGCGCAGCTGCGGCGGCTTTCCTCGCATTCTCAGAAGACTCCCTGGCGAGATATTGCAGCTTCACTTGCAATGCATCGATCCGTTCTATGTAGCCGTGTATTTCCTCCTCGCGGTCTGCATCCGCCACAGGCCGCTTATCGGTTGTAGTAGGTTCGTCGACAGTCGTATTTCCATTTGTTTTAGCTTTCGGCCCTGTGGCCGACTGGGACTCTGTACTTCGTCTGGCAGGAGCTGAGTCTGTAGATAGTCGCGCAGTATCACCTGTAGTTTTGCTTCCGAGATCTCCACTGGGTCGTCCTTCTGCCTGTGCCTCCTTGTCTGTATCCGCACTCTCGATATTAAGCTGGGGAACTACTTTCTCATCGGTATCTGCATCCGCTTGCGTTCCACTACCTCCCTCTTCGCTTGCCCGTGCAACCACATCTAGACTCGGCCCAGGAGTATCCGAAGCTGGGGCTGGGCTTCCAACTCTCGAGGAAGAATTCGAAGTAGGTGTTTGCGCGCCACCATTCTGCGCCGCAATTTTCTTCGCTGCCACAGCTCTCGCCAGTCGTTCTTGCAGGCGGTCGTTCGACGCCGGGTTCGAGGATGAGCTTCGAGAGGGAGCTAGCGGGTCTTGTTAATAGCTGCAACAGCAAATAGTAGTGATGAGGCTCGGCATACCATTCTCGACCTTCAGCGCAGCGGGGGGTACTACCGCCACTGGTTTTGCCTGGGGCACATCGTCTCCAGAGAGTATGTTGTCTAGATTCGATTCAATCCCCGCGACGGCCTGCGACAAGAACGAGCCCCAGCGGGACGATTGCTTCCCAGAGGTCGCCATTATATTACAGTCGAGGGCTGTAGTTCACTACCGCCTGAAATCGACCTGAGGTTCTTCGCATAGAGCGTCATAGGCAATCGTTGGGGTCGCGGCTCAATAGCGTTCTGCCTAGCTACGAGTCCATCACGGTAACTGACAGCTGACGATGATGCTCGTATTCGAAGGCACGAGGGTCCTGGAATCCTTCAACTAGGGTAATGTGCAACGAACGATAGGCTGTGGGAGAGCCAATTATTAATTTAACGATGGTAAGAATATAGATTGACCGGATTCCAATTGTGGGGGATACAAGGTGTCCAGGTTAACAGAAGGCTCAAAGGCTAAGATTTGACCACTTGCAGATTACCGCCCTACAGCTGTGGAGTGCTGTCCAAAAGGTACGAAGTACTCGAACCGCGCGTGTAAGATTTGGGTGACGAGTTCCGACTCCGCGTTCCGCGCGCCGGTTCTTGGCGCCGGAGCCTAGGCTTAATGAGCCCAACAGCTGTTATCATTTCTACGACATGACTTCTACAAATTATTCTGGTCTGCGATGTCAGGCAAACTGGATTGGCAGTATGAATCAATATGTACTCTAGCACGATTCTAATAGTCCTCAACTTTTCAGTCTTCCAGTAGTATCCAACGACTCAAAGTGTCTTTTTCGATTCTACGCCCCCCTTCCACTTCTCTGGATTTGAGCGCACAATTTCAGGTAAAGACGTGAACGTCCTTGGCCAGGACAGTTCATACTCATCTTGGCGCTCGTTAAGGCAGTGACGAAGCCAAATACCCCACACGAGAGACATGTAGGCTCCTGTTCCCGTCATCAGATGCCTATAGAAATTTGTTAGCTTCAAATTATGCCCTCGACGGTTCCATGTATTGCTTACCACCAGCCATGACCCTCCAAGAATATACCCCAAGGCAGGCCCATATCATGCCTCCAACGTCGAACAGTCGAACAGTAATAATTATCCAAGTTCCATATGCCAAAGCCTCCAAGGAATACGGTAAGACCAAGTCCAATCATCAGCCACATATCTCGAAGGATTTGTTTGTCTCTCTTGGCATCTTCGGCGCTTATTGTGCCATTTGGGGATGCTTGACCATATTTGGCCCGGAGTGATGGCCGAATGTTGATCTCCATCACATACATGCTCCGGAACACCACAGTGGCTGTAAGGATCGCATACGTATTCTGATGAAACGTAGGGTCTTGAAGATAATGATAATAACCCTTGGTGCTGTTAGAAGGTGACCCATACATGTAATAGAGCGTATCAGCGTACCGTTATAAATATACAGAGAGCTGTCAGTCCGGCAGCCAGGGTCTGACAGAATTGGCGGGTCTGGTTGAATGAGAAGCATGCATAGCACATCAGGCACGTCGTGTATATCATGGAAAGCTCATCGACTAGCTGCCATGGATCTATATATCTGTTAATACACGTCAAATTTAGCTGACTCGTTGACCTACACTTCAGGGTGCTATGAAACATAAAGCTTCCAGTCCCCACAGCCAGGTATCCCAGGAAGGTTATCATAAAAACCGTGTCATGCCCATGTTTTAGACAGTTTCGGACTCCCTTGATGCCAAGATACATGAAGAGAAGGTTTGTCAACGTATTGACAATTTCTGCTGCGTATATAGTTGCATAATAGTCCTACGGTCCAAGTCAGTGCCAATCCATCATTTGCCACAGAGATATAGCGTGATGTACCTCCTCGCACCAGTTTATTGTGCTTGTTTGGGGATGCCAAAAGCCTTGCTTGGTACTGCTGGGATAGTCAATGGCGGGCAGCCATCGAGCGGCCGTTTCTAAGTGACCAGACTTCATTGTTGTCGACGAGTTGAGCGTCATAGCCTCGTACTATCCTGGATCTCCAGGTGGCCTCCTCGGACGACAAAGATTGCAGCGTCTGAGATCCTATCCTCCAACGTAAAAATACGGATAAGATGCAGACTATGAATTGGGACGACAATGATAAACAATGATGAGTGATGAGCAAAGGAGAAATACAGATGAGGAGAAAGGTTTTGGATCTTCGGATGGGTCGTGCTTGCGTGTGCCTGCCTTTTTTGGTTCGAGAAAAGGTACCAAGGAGTACATACGATATCTTAGCGGCCGGCCCCGAGGCAGAGCAGCTCTTAACAATGAATGCCTGTGACTTTTCGCTGTCGGCGCTGTCGGGAGGGGTAGAGTGCCTGGGAGCTTCAGAATGAAGTAGGATGGTCTGAGAGACGTCATCGCACACGCCCGGATCAACGGAAACGGTTTAAACATTGTGGATCATATTATAAGGTCGCGGCTGCTTGAGGCGAAGAATGGATCTACTTTATGTCTTCTTTTATTGTCTCAATCTGTTCCGGAAGAGGTTTATAGAAAGAGAGTTTACCAACGACTTGATGTATGTAACTTAGCACAACCACGGGCTGAGCCAACAGATCGATAACGAGAAACGTCATCAAAATAGCCTTGTGAGACACATAAATCGCCTCTGTGCTTTTGCCACGGATGGTTGTCTAGAGTAGGAATTTGATCACAGCGAATATAGTACTTTCAATAACCAGCCTCTCGCTATGCCCTCTGTCTTATATGTCACCGTAACAATAGAATACCAAAAACTAAAAAGCTCAATGTGTATACAGCCCCAGATATCACATATCACAAGCTTGGGCGCGGAATTATATTGTTACGGTTGACGAAAAGGACCCACTATGAACAACGCCGTGGTTGAAGCTCAACCCCCACCACGAAAGCACCAAACAGTTCAAGGCCACGTTATTGTCTACTACACGACCTCCATATTCGTACCTTGGATAACTTTGGTTCCACAATTTAGAGCGCACAGCGAGACTTCGACTGCCAAAACCGTCTAGCTTTGTCGGTCTGTATATATATTATTCGAGCAAAATGTCCATTTCCAACGAAGCTCTCCAAAAGGTACGCAGCGAATGAATTACTTCTCCTCTATTCGGAGTACATACGGCTCATGCTAATCTCTGTGACTGTAGCTCGCGCAAGAGATCGAGACGCAGGCTATCCAGGCACAGCAGCAGATCAATGTCGTCAAGTCACAAATAGCTGTGAAGCAGCGCGACATGCGACTCCTGCAGCTGACCTCGAGCGAAGTATCTACGCTACCAGAAAATACAAATATATACGAGGGGGTTGGCAAGATGTAAGTCAAGCCTCCAAGAGGAGTCCTGTGGGCAATACGTGGATCACGCACGAGACCGAATAAATCTCAACTGCTAACACAACACGAATAGGTTCGTCTTTAGCCCTACGACCGAGGTTGATAAAAGATTAACATCGGAAACTGCTGGGCTCAAGACCGACGTCGAGTCCTTAAACAAGAAATTACACTACCTCGAGACAACATACAAAAATAGCCGTGAACATATGGAGCAGATCTTCAAGAGCGGAGGGCGCGCATAACAAGGGCCAAACAAAAACAGGAGAGCTCGCGCGGGATGGAGAGACCCAAGCGCAGTGTGAGAAGTGCAGCCAATATCCTCTTGTTAGTAAAATGAGGGGGGGGCGTGTTGTTGGAGTGTCGCTATTGTTGCCATTTTTCGAGTCAGGAGGGTGCCAGAAGATACGCTTGCTGGGCGCGTAGTCTCTACTGTCAAGACATCAGACGACTCAACTTCCCAGAGGGCAAAAGAAGAGGTCGAGGGCCGCATATAAAGGTCTCTAGGCGCATGTCGGGGCGCTTCGCCAGGCGCGGACTATGGCGCTTAATCCTCTCAAATATACTTTGGCGGACAAACTAAGGTTACTTGTCATGGCCGCATGGCATACCCGAAACACACTTTGTTTTATAGCGCGCAGTATTAGATCAGGTCCAGACACGTTCTGTGGCCTGTTGTGGATTCAGATATTGTGGAGTTAGACACAACCCTACAGTTTACAGAAACACACTCCATCACCTGCCAAAAATGGGAATCAAATCGAATCTGAATAATCCAAAGCAAAGGCAACAAAGCCACGCAAGCCATCCGTACCGGCTACTTTTATGGTATTCGGACGGCAATGCACGAAAAGGCAAGATGCGTTTCACGATTACTATGACATTACTTTCGTGGACCCCGCCACGGCTAACATGCATGATCCTAATCCCACACAAGCTTCCACAAGTGACATGCACACATGCCCTACATTGATTACTCTATTATGGTTACAAATAGCCTCCGAGTCTCGTTCACGATGACTTATTTCCCTACTCTCTCCACATGAAAAGTTCGTTCGAATTCCAAGCGATCATTCTCAAGACGCGCGCATACTCGGATGAAACTTGGCGAGACGCGCGGGTCGACCAGACGTTTCAGCGATGGGCGGAATATCCCAAATGCTTTGCTGTTGCGACCCCACTCTGGCCAAAATTAATGTCTTGATTGATCATCCTTGCGAGTTGCTGCCGCTAAGCTCCATCTTGTGCCGCCGCTGAACCCCCCCATGCATGTGCTGAAGCCTAACACACCGATGGTCTACTTGGTACCATGGCTGTGATGTCACGATAGCCCATGCCGGCCCTTCCTCCACCATGCACGCCCTGATACAATGGACTTCAGGCCACACACTTCCCACCACCCCGCCCCGCCCCTCACCTTCAGCCCAGTTCCCAGTCTTGAGCACACTTTCTTCGTCCGGTTGGTTTTTTTCTCCTTCATCCAACATCAATAGTCAAGGCACTAGTTGTTGTGGAGGGACATATAAGCTGCTCGCGAGCTTCAAAAACTTGCCGAGGGGTAAACACAGGAGTCGTCCTTGTGCCTCGTTGTCTCAGAGTGCGGAGTCGCTGGTCACCTGCCAAGTACCAACTGCCACCTACTCAGCAGTCAGAGTTTCCGCAAACGATATTATCAAGAGACTGTATTGTACAGTTTCTCCAGTATCTTTGTTTCATCTCCATCAGTACCCACAAGAAAGTTGCGGTTACCGCTATCTAATACACGATGAGTTACGGCGGCGGTCGCTACGACGATAGGGACGATATCGATATCCGCTTCCACCACCGTGGCCGGGCCGAGCCACGTTATGAGCAACCCCCACCCCGCCCAACCTACTTCGTCGATGAACGCCTCGACATTCGTGCCGGCGGCCGTTACGATAGGCGCCCCTCCCCCATGGCTCCGCAGCCTGTTATCATAAACAACCGCATCTACAACCATGACGAAGACTACCCCGAGCCGGCCCCGCGCCCAGTGCAGTTCCAGATGATGGCGCCGGCACCGGCACAGCGCGAGAGATCCAGATCCCGCCATGGCCGTCGCCGTCGCTCCCGATCGTCTTCGCGGTCCCGATCGCGCTCTCGCTCTCGCCACAGGCGCAAGTCGCAGGAGAAGCAGTTCATGACGAAGGAAGAGTATGAACTGGAGATGGCGCGCCGGGAGATTGAGGACTTGAGAAGGGCCCAGTATGAGGCCGGCAAGAAAGCTAATAAGAAGGAAGAAGAGAAGCCTAAGCATGACTATATGACCAAGGAGGATTACGAACTGGAGCGTACTCGAAAGGAGCTGCACAAGTTCAAGCTCGAGCAGCAGCGCATCGAGGATGAGAAGTTACTGAAGAAGGAGCTTGAACTCAAGCAGCTGCTGAAGCAGAAGAAGGAGGAAGAGGAGAAGGAGGCCGCGAAAATGGCGGCCGAGGCAGCTGTGAAGGATTTCCAGCGCAAGCAGGCCGAGAAGGCCGCGAAGGAAGAGGAGGAGAAGAAGCAGCGTGACAAGGAGTACAAGGAGCGCGTAGAAGACGACATGAGGAAGTCGGGCTTGACCGACCAGCAAATTGCCGCCGTGCTCAAGAAGGAGAAAGTCGACGTTGCCGCCGCTGGGACTCGCCCCATGTACACCAAAATGGCACGGCGTTATCTTTCGTACGAGACACTGAATGCCTTCCGCATAGACTATACCATTGACCAGGTATGCAAACCCAGATGGGCATAGATTTCTAGAGACTGATATTTTTTTTTGTTCGCAGGACCCCGAGTACATTCTTATCAAGAGATGGGTGCCAGAGCATGAGCAGGATTTCTTGTGGGAGCACACGAGGGAGCTCCGCGAAAGGCGCCGCGCTGTCACCAGTACCACAAACACGACGGTGTTGCAGATTGAGCAGGGGGGGGGACACCACCACCACCACGGTCATGGTGAAGTGCAATACGAGTTTGTGAAGAAGAAGGGGAGGAAGAGAGACAAGTCCCCTGGCTTGATAACCTTCCTCGCTGGTGGTAAGAGATGAGAGATGAAGAGGGGATAGTGATGATTGGATGATAGCATGACATTTTGTTTTGCGCGGGGTCTGGAATCTTTTTTATCTACTTCTGATGTTTCTGGTGGTTTCGACACCTCTCAAATATAGCTACACTAGCTTTTATACCAAATCATTAAATCATATATGGACAGTGATGCATGTGAATAATGTCTCGAAAATGGCAAACCAAATCAGTGAGTAGTATGGAGTAAAAATGTTGATACAACCGTTCGTATCATACACTGAGTTGAGTTACATTCTAACAAAGGGCCCTGCCCTTACGAGAGGCCTTTCTCTTTCTCTTTCCAAGGAAGCTCTGCTCTTCTAATGAGTTCTTCATAAAGTGTCCAAGCCAGCGCCGAACTCATAGCCTTCCTCGCCATCCGTATCGCCAGGCCATCAAACAAGCTCCTGAACCCGTCCTCCGTGATCATTTTCCTCGACGCCTGCACCATATTCCGGTATTCCCTCGGCCGTAATTGGATTCGCGTCTTGATCGAGTCGAACGGATTCGTGATAGCCGTCGCAAGCCCCGCAGCTACAACCCCAGACCCAAAGTTGATAGACGCCGAAGTCCCCCCCGCCATGGCCATCTCTGGAGCACCCGGAACACCAACATTCTGAACCATCCGACTCATCCGCTTCTTAAACTGCTCATAAAATAATACATACAGCCCCGCATACGGGGCATCACGGACCGCAGTTGCGCCAAACCCAGCAAAAAACCCTCTAATACCATCCGTCTTCAATATATCCTTGCTCGCGCCAATAATAGAGTGGTAGGCGTACATATTCGATTCGTACCGCACTTTGATCACCGTTATAGGCATCAGCACAAAACCCGCCGATGTCCTCGCTATCGCGCCCGTCGTGAGGTTCGCCAAGTTCGAGAGCTTCGGGAGCGCGGACGACGTCGATGGCTGCACCTTTGAGCCATCGACAACGCCTATATTCCGGAGCAAGGTCGAGCGCGTAACATGCTGTCGAAGCGCATTGAGACTGGTGAAGTATAAGGCGGATCCTAATCCGGTGCGCAGAGCTGACGGCGCGGTTCCGCGCCAGAAGCCCCAGATGGCTTTTGGGCCAGCTAAAATTTCGCGGAAGGAGGCGCTGAGAGAGCTCGAGCCGGATTGTTGTACACGCGTCTTGAGGAGGTCGGCAGGTTGAAGAAGGACGGCGGATAGGATGCCGGAGCCTAGCCCAGCTGTGAAATGAAAGACTGTGGTGGGATGATTAGTGGGTTGCCTTTTGGATTCCTGGGAGGCGTCTCTTACCAGGCGACGACCGAGGTTGGCCGCCATTTGACATATCCAACGTGGGTCAGTTTACCATGTCAATAAAGCTATACGATCCCGCGTTGCGTATGCATACTCGCGCGAAAAAAGTTGAAAGGGGATGTCAAATGAGTGAGAGATAGTTCTGGGCGAGGTTCCCAGAGTTCTTTCCGCTCCTCCCGAGGTTTCCAGGCACTATTTCCCCAGATTTCGGTTCGGCATCAGACGTCATCATTGGCAGGCCAGGTACGTCTGAAAGCACACCACGTTTTCGTATGAGGACCACGTGATATCGCGTCAAGTTGGATCCTCTTGGAGCAGTGTGAACGATTCTTTAAAGACTTGCAAAAGATATATTAAATATGGCAATTGTCGTAAGTGACCTGTGGTTCAGTAAAAACTCCCCTGCTAAAATAATATAGGCGGTGGGACAGCTCTGTTCCAAAGTCTCCATGGCTCACAACCTTCGACTGGTGAAAGACCTTGTTGACCAGGCTTCGGCCGCAGGAGCAAAGGTCAGATATAAAAATACCTTAGCAAAAACATATCTGAGCTTATTAGGCTTTGTTTCTTCCCGAGGCGACTGATTATATCGCTTCCTCTACCGAGGAGTCCCTTGCGTTGGCAAGGTCCGTCGATGATAGCATATTCGTCCAAGGCGTACAAGCTGCCAGTATGGAAGCAGATATTGCCATCAATGTTGGTATTCATGAGCTAGGTGACTCAGGGAAGAAAGTGAAGAATACGTCTATCTGGATAGAGCAGGGGCAGATTATGCAACGATACCAAAAAATCCACTTGTTCGACGTCGATATTGCAGGAGGTCCCGTCCTAAAGGAGAGTAATAGCGTCGAGAAAGGCATGAGTATTCTTCCTCCGTTTGAAACCGCCGTCGGCCGAGTTGGTTTGACAATATGCTTTGATGTAGGTGGCATTCAGGATTGCAATACCGTTCAATTACTGAGGTGTATATTTGACAGCTGAGGTTCCCTGAAATCGGAATAGCGCTTCACCGTCAAAACGCACATATTATCACTTACCCTTCTGCATTTACAGTGCCCACAGGAAAGGCACACTGGGGGATACTCCTCCGGGCAAGAGCAATAGAGACACAATCCTATGTAATTGCTGCGGCGCAGGTGGGGCAGCACAATGAGAAACGCACGAGCTATGGGCATTCAATGATTGTCGACCCTTGGGGCAAAATCGTGGCAGAACTCACTGGAGATGGCGATAAGCCGGAAATAGCTATTGCAGATATCGATTTAGACCTTGTTAGCAAGGTCAGAAGAGAGGTGCCTCTTCTCAGAAGGACGTAAGTTATTGTACTATTCTACCCGAGTAGGCCAATGTTTGCTGACCAGGAGCGGGTAGTGATATATATTGACTGGATTACGGATGGGATCTTGAGCACTTGTCATATTAAATTTACTGAAACTTCCGCTTGATAATGCCAAATCGCAAGTAATTTAGCACATTGATAGATTTCTATCCATAGTTTGAGCTGTGGTGTTGCCTATTTTGCATAATCCACACCTTTATACGGGTCTGTCATTTTTTCGTGCGGACAAATGCCCCTATATTATACATACATAGACATTAGGACCTATTATTCGATAGCCGTGCCATATTTGACAACCCCAAATCGTAATTGAAACTATCCCCAAAGCGGCGCCACGATTTCAACTGCCCGTTCAACAACGGCCCGGACTCTGTCACCAAATACCCGGTTTGCACATTCAACCTCCAGATTCTCAAGCCAAACCTTTGCCACCATCTTATCGACCTTAATTTCCACGCCGGGAACGGGAATGCCTGCCTTATGCAGCCTCTCTAGTTCGATTTTCTCTGCTTCCCTTGTTTCATCTTCTTCATCCTTGACATCGGCTCCAGCCTCTTCAGGAAGTAGTTCAGGTAGTTTTGGTATTTCGATCGGGTTCAGTGCATCTGAACCGAACTGTGCCTCAAGGAACAAGAACAGCCGCTCCAGTCGCTCTGCCGGGGAAACATCTGCGTGTGGATTGCGATCGGGCAAGAAATGGCCGTGATCATGACCATGGTTATGATCGTGTTTACTTGAAGATTCTGTTCCAAGTTAGTAAACGTACGAAACAACGTGTTGAAATGGAAAAATGAAGGTAATGCGGGGGTGGGAGGGGTTGCTTACGTTTGACGGCTGCTGGGCTGCTCTCGACCGAAAATAAGACAGCCATAACTGCGTCAGCAATACCATCGTTCAGGATATTCCCTTCCCACTCGATGTCGACTTCGCCATTGCTTCTATACCTCACGGTCACGCATCCCATAACCAGATACGTTGTGGTGCTTGCCCGCATAACTTCTTCGTCTGCCTTCTCAACAGATTCGTTGCCGTTCATATGGGTATCACCATTCTCGTCTTTTACAGGCTCCCCGTCTGTCGCCTGGGATATGACTTCGATAGAACCAAATGTTCCTTCTAATGCCCACCTAATTAGGTCAATCCCTGCAGCACCTAATCGTATTCGTTGCTTGCACATAACCACCGTAGTAGTTAAACCGGCATATTCACGGAGATCCTCAGGCGCCATGAGGGAGAGCTTGAAATCGTTCTCCACAAGAACGCCGCTGATTATCTTACCTCCGTCATCAAATTGCAATTCACCGCCTTCCCCGCTGGTCAATAGCGTTGGAGGAGATAGGTTTGCTAGCTTTCCAACAACTTTCGCAATTTTGTCGGCTTTAAATGGAATACGTACTTCTTCGCAGTTACGTGGCGAGTAAACCTTAACCTTCTTGGACTCGGGGAGATTGGCGTTAAGAGAAAGAAGTTTCGATTTCAATCGCATCATATTATGTTGCTCGCCATGGACAAGAATCTGCCCCAGTTAGAGACGTGAAAAACATAATTTGATTGAAGCTGGGGACATGGAATACTTACAACGACAGGCGCGGCAACCTTTTCAATGAATTCTCGGTTCTCAACACCATCAACATGAGCAGCGAAACTGAACTCCTGAACACTGCAACGCCTGGGGACCATGACTTTTTCTCCGTCCTCACCTCCTCTTCCTGCTCTTCTATTTGCCCCGTTTCGTGACATAATAGCTTGGATCTGATCTGGTTCTTGCATAATAGACTTCGCCATTGTCCCTTCCACGCTGTAGCCGGTAATAACCACGCCATTCTTGTCACTTGGTGCCCAGCGCTCAAGTAACTCCCTGCTAACTCCATTTTGCATCATACCCGGACTTGCAAGCATTACACAGCTTCCAACATCGTCGAACCGCTCCAAGCTTTTGAGACTGCGAATATATTTGAAATCCCACGGCCCTCCGTTGGTACCTCCGGCTTCAGATTCAGCCATCCTCTCCCTGAATAGGCGCTTGATATTTTCATTCATGGCTCCAACATATGTTTGGTAAACGAGCATACACTTTCGGGCCAAGTTCGATGCATAGTAGATGGGTATATTTTGCAGGTCCTTGTGCCGTGACCAATACTCATCCAGAATCAATAATAACTCTTGAGCTCTGCCTAATGCGAATACGGGCATCAAGACTCTCCCCCCACGGTTTAAGATTCCCGTAATAGACTTCATTAGGGCCTGCTCACGCTCTAGACGAGGGACATGCGACGCGACACCATATGTACTCTCTGTGATCAACACATCAACTTTGACGTTTGCCGGAACAGATGCTGAAATTAAGTGGCGATCAGGCTCAATGCTGTAGTCGCCCGTGAAAAGTATAGTGAGCCCGGAAATCGAAATTAAGAACATGGCTGCCCCGAGGACATGTCCAGCTGGAAGGGGCGTGATGCGGATTGATGAGATGGTGTGCGTGGTGTGATAGTCAATGGCTTCAATCATTGGAAATGTGCTCGCATGGTCTGCTTCTGTGTATGGTGTCGATGATTGCTCAGTCGAACTGGAGTTGGACGACACACGAACGGAATCTTGTATAAGCCACTTGTAGATTGCCTTCGTGGGATGGGTCATGAAAACCCTGCCCTTGAAATTTGTCTTTGCCAGAACATAGGGTAGTGAAGCAGCATGGTCGATATGGAAGCTATGGACTTGTCAGCTACAAGGACTACTGACATGTCAATGCAATGCTAAGCGGACAAAATGCATGGTCGTATAGGCACAAAGGTATTTTATATTGTCTTCGTCCCATGCACGAGTGCACAGGTTCATCTCCGTGTGATCAAACAAGCATCTGGATAGGTAATGTATTGTATTGATCTCTGATATACATGCAACATGTAGTATAGGAAATAACAACGATCGTTTGACAAATAGTCACCACAAAGGAGAAAAGGAAATGCTCGCCCCATGAAAAATTGTATGTCTGAAAGTTGCTGTGTAGGAAAACGGGCTTACTGGCTGATCAGAAGCACGTCGACGGTGCTCAAATCGAAATCATCGTAGAACGGAAGGGCTGAAAGACCGTCGAAAGCGGGATGCATGCCGGCGTCGAGCTGATGTGAAAATTAGCCAATGATCGTCTTTAGAACCGCCGCAATGAAGCTCTTTACCATGACAGTCTTGCCCTTGTATTGAATGATATGGCACGACCTCCCCACTTCGTTTCCACCTCCCAGGCACAGGAACATGAGCTCATCGTTCGGGTCCACAGTCTCTTCGACCGTTGGCGACATTGCGCCAGCTTTGCGTTTAGAAGCCATTTGGTGATGTCGCAGGTATGGTTCAATATATTATGGAGAAGCTCTCCGAGGCCAATTGGGCAGTTCGCAGGTGAGAATGACGACTAGATCATGTCCTCAGTGGGACCTCAAGAAATCTAGGCCGTCTTTGGGTTGAGAATAAATAAACACAAATAAAATTAATTAGTATCGCGATCTGGTCGTAAGAGTGAGAAAGGGGATAAGAACAAGGTTGTCGCAGGTATCGCGAAATAAAGATCGAGACTCTGGAAGTATGTTGATGCCTGAATTAACTGTTGATGCCTGAATTTATGGTGAAGTGGTCTCCTTCGTGATGGGTCACATGACCATCCTTGCATGAGTGGGTCGCCGCCGCTGTCGTGGAAGTCGTCCTGGTCAACACGCGAACTGGATGAACTTTCTCACTACATCCTCACTCACCATGGCGCAACAACAGCAACCCCAATACCAGGTGCCGGCGCAAATGCCTGTGCAAATACCGGGGCCGGTGGGACCTTCTTCGCCCGCTCAGGCAGCATCGTCTCCTGGGGCCCAGGCATTCTATCAGCCAGCGGCGAAGCGGCAACGTTTGTCTCCAGACCCAAGATCACAGCCAACCTCTCCGTATACACAATCACCATATGGGCCGACCCCATCTACAGCTGCACCACCTTCATCACTACCCCCGGCGCATTCGAGCCATTTCGCAAACATATCGCAGCCGCCTACATATCAAGGGCCATACTCAAACGGACATACCACACCGGCTTTGAGCCACCCTTCACCCTATAGTCAACCTCCCACCTACAACTCAAATGCTCCTCCGGTTAGCAATGTGCAAGCGATGCCATCACATAGCCCTCATCAACCTCATCCACCTCACCCAGCGAACGTCCCTGCGGGCAACCAATTTCCGAATAACTACAACATGCCACAGCAACAACTGCAGCAACAGCAGCTGCTGCAGCATGGAGCTGGAACCATGGGCCCTCCGTCTAAACCAGCGGAGAGGGATAATGTCAACGATGATCAGATGGATGTGCTGGCGAATGCTGGTGTCGATTTGCGTGCCGAGGAAAGCTTTGCTATGAGCTTCCACACTGGATCGTTCAACTCTCAACCTGCGTTCAACCAGGCTGGCCCAAACGCCACCGGTCATGGTTTCACCCAATTTGGACCTGGAGATGCCGGTTCTTTTTACGGAAGTGGCCCTGCCAACCAACTTGGCGCCCCTATCGATAAAGCGACCCAAGATCAGATTCAAAAGAAGACGGCAGATCAGGCTTGGGCTGATGCAGCATACAAGTTGGCAATGTCCAGACAACATGAGCTTAAGCATCCCCATGTGCATGTCGGCGCACTATGGAATAAGATGGACAAAATTGCAAAGGAGAACGGATTAGTATTGAATACAGATAATGGCAAGATGCCGCAGTTGAAACTGCCGTCCGAGTTTCCTTCGGAAATCAAAATTGAAACCAGGAGTGGTCCTGATGGAGCGCTGGTTGTGGCTAACACCATATTTCTTCCACAAGACACAGCTCTTGCGGACCAGTTGGCCTTGATGTCCCTCGCAACGAACCAGAGGATCAGGATTCTTCTTGAGGAAACTATTGCCATCGTCAAGAGCCGGAGGGTTGGCTCTCATGGAGTCATCCCATCTGAATGGTCTGACGTTGCAGCATCGTCTACCAGCGCAGCTGGCACAGTCGTTCCTGATGGGGCTCCTCGTACTGGCTGGGAAAGTGCAGTTAGCCCAGGCACAAACCCAACTAATGGTAAGTTGCCACATATCTCTTGGTTGAAACGTGCTAATGTTTACAGATCCTGCATCTGCAGCCGGTCGGCTTCCTACTCCTGTTTCTGAAGGCACCAAGACTCCAACTGGTACTGTCACTATGACCAACGACTTGATAAAATCTCTCCGTGAAGCTGCAAATGTGGAGCGCAACTTTGAGGAAAAGCGTCTGGCGAAGCGTCAAGGGCGCCCTACGGATGGTACGGTTGCTCGAAGCGGTTCTGCTGCTCCAGGAATGCCCGGAACCGTGGCCCCAGAGCCCTCCGCAAAACCACTTACCAAGAAAGAAAGAGAGAAACAGGATAAGGGGAAGCAAAGCTTGGTTGATAGCCATGCTCAAGCGAACGCCACTACAGCGACGTTCCTCTTTGGTGGCAAGAAGAAGAATAAGTACAGCTGGATGGACTCGGGCGGTGGCAGTGGGGCCAGCACACCCGGGCGAGCAAGCATGCAGGCTCCAGGTACGCCTGGTGGCATTGGCGGAGGGGCCGTCGAGAAGCAGAGGCTCACGGCGGATGGGAAGAACAGAATGGGCGGTTTTCGCGAGGACAAAGATGGAGGTCGCCTGGTGCAGCTCCGAGACTTCCTTGCTGTATTGGAGAATGATGGGAGAGAGAAGAAGACATTGCAGCGGACGTACGCATGGTTGGAGGCACCGAAACCAAAACCTACCGTGGCCTAGCAGAGTGGATAGACAGCCGCAAAACGGAAATCCTGACAAGGCGCTGCGGCATCTTTCATTCTTATGATCCTGGGATTGGCTCGAAGAATATCGATATGTACATAACAATAGAGCGGCGCACGCACAGGTTCACCCCCAGATACATATCTGGGGGCTTAATACGAGATTTTCAAGTTACGATTCCACTTGCTTAAACTATCAAAGAGTGACACGCTACTTTCTTTACTTCGTAGGCTAGGGTGGAATAGTAGGAATAGGTCGTTGTCCAGTGCAAACGTAGGTCCTAAGGCATACACTATCATCGTGATTTTGGAAATTTCGCGCAGCTTCGCCGCTATTTACCATACAAATACCAGTAGTAGCGAAAGGTGCAGAACTGGCTACAATCACGATGAGAATGGTGATTTTATTACCGTCATCGTAGTAGTTAATAGTGGTGTTAAATTACGTGGTAGCCCCATAACTTTATAGGAGAGCGTCGATGGTACCGAAATCGCAGCGAAGCCTATAGTAATACAGCACCTACAACCAGAACACAGGCTTCTACAGGCTTCTACCGTTTACCCTAGCACTTGTTTTATATCGCTACGTAGGTAGTGTACGGTACTACAGCATATAAGAGCCTATTTACAGCTTTTTACCAAGGTTGGAGCTATATACGGTCGCTGCCACCGAGCAGAATCACTGAAGACACGGTTGAGTTGGCACCGACGTTGCGACCGTGGGGGCTACGGCCAATTCGGAAGGGTGGGTGCAGGGGTGGGTGGGGCCTGAGGCTGGTGGACTGGGCATGGACAACTTGTCCCCCGCCGCCTATCTCCTCTGCCATCTCTGCCATCTCTGCCATCTCTGCCATCATCTCTGCCATCTCTGCCATCTCTGCCATCTCTGCCATCTCTGATCATACATTCTGATATGATTGTGGTACACAACCTCAACGTCCGCCGGTGTGCACGGCATCATACATACTACTTGGTCATAGCGGCCTTATATCAAGCGATACCACTTTTCATCAAAATCGTCCTATAATTCCTTCCCCAATGACCTGACCTAACACCTCGACTGACATCGTACGGCCGATGACGCCATTGTTGGTAGTATCAAGCTCCAGCTTGCGGCCGACAGAGCTCGAGTTGGCCTCACATGATCGGATGAGCATCTGGTGAAAGATAGGATTATGCTGTTCTGTGGCGTTCGAAGGGGTTCCGTATGTACTGCCAAATGTCTTAGCTACCACAGTTATCAATAGTTCAGAGCTACTCGAGTACCTACTGAATCCGCAACTTCATATCTCCGCACCACCAATTTGGCTTGGCGTCATATAGAAGCCTTGTGTTGCCTTCATTTTCAGTGGCATGACAATTTGACAGCTGACACCTCCAGCTGGACGTGGTCGGAGTCATACGCTGCGTCGAAGTCGTGTCTGTCGCTTCTGGCCGCAGATGGATCACGGCGACCGCATTTCCAACAGAAGGCGCTGGTGGGAGATGGCTATCGCCACACATCACTCACTGCTTTAGGGGGGAGAAGGGTACCAGCTGTGCTGTGGTTGCCAGCAGATATATCCGTGGGGGCTGAGAGGCGATATAAATATCATCAACGGCAACGGCACCAAATTCCTCAATGTTTCACAACAGGCTAAGTGTGTGCTCTAATGGGTACGTGACGGAGTGGAGAATGATTAGATACCAGTCTCTCAATTCCTTTCATATAGGAATTTTAGCGATTGCAGACAGTTGACGTACGTTTGGCGAAATGGATTGCTGCATTTTGGACCTATTCGCGGATGTTTGAGCAAGTTTGAGCAGGATCGAGAAATGGTGCTACGTGGTACGGCTACTGTAACGTGACGTCATGGTTATGGGGCTAGCAGGGCTAGACTATGGTCGCTTTGCCACGGCTACGTACAACCACCAAAAATTGAAAAACGGAGGTTATGTTCATAAGTTTTGTGAGTTGGGGGGTGTATCTCGCCTCATATTTTATGTGATCGATACATAGAGTTTATGCTGTTGTGCACAAATTCTGGGGTCCCATTGAACATTACCTCCCGTACGGAGGCGTGTACCAAAAGTCGTTGCCGGGCAGGGGTATAGCCTACCCCTGTCAAAATGAGCACCACGATACTTACACCTGTAGCTTCATAAAATGAGAAAACTTACGCTTTATTATCTAGAAGTGTAGAGAACAGAATAAGGGCAAAAGAGCAGTTTTAAAGGGTCAATTCCACATCTCTACTAAGGAGTTACGGTCGCAAGTAGCAGAAGCAGAAGCAGCAACAACAGCTACATCACAAAAGTCGAAAATATCAACAACACCATAAGCTACAACATCTATAATTGATTTAATTGATGATAGTAGTGAAGAGTGATTTAGATGAATTAGCATAATAATGGTAGAACTATTTTCAATTTTTGGTGGTAGTGGTAGTAGTCTGGTGGTTTCGTGGGGTGCGGGTGGCCGTGGCAAAAGCGTCTCATTACGCCATCCGTCCCGTTACGCCATCCGTCCCGTTACGCCATGAGTCCGTTACGCCATCAGTCCCGTTACGCCATCCGTCCCGTTACGCCACGACCTACGTTATTCTCACAAAGATCGTGCTTCCGTCGTACTATCCCCCCCCCTTGAATGATTGTAAAGACCCGCTATTTTCCAATTCGTGGAAACCCACTTATAGCGACGGTTTAGGTAAAAAGGCGTAAATAAGATGAGATCACTGGCAGAGGCCTTTTGACAAAATAGTGGATGGTGACAATCATTCAGTGGGGGGATAGTATGACAGTTCTATTTACTGCATCCGGAAAGTGGAGGCCGCGTGGCGGCTTGGCATTTTGGGAGCCATTCCGCATTTACTACATACTGTCACACGCTAAAAACGCAACTGTTCTCTCAACTAAAAAGTGGTCTATTGCTGATGACAAAGACGCGAGTTTCACATAGCTGCCTTTCTTTTCCACCAGCGTCACATGCCGCATGAAAAATATTTTCCGGCATCTCTTCGTCATTTCGTTTCAGGCTCTCCCAACCTCAACCACCTCTACCTCCGAATTTCTTCACCGCATCGACAACGTCCTTTGTTTGCACCATCTCATTAAATCCTCAGTCCAGCAGCATAAAGTCCAATATGAGTTCTTCTAAATATGTCCTGCCTAAGCTCCCTTACGCTTACAATGTAACAAACTCCAATCAATGGTGTGACGGGTCTTCCGGCTAACTGCGCACAGGCACTCGAACCCTATATTTCCGAACAGATCATGACTATCCACCATTCCAAGCACCACCAAACCTATGTGAATAACCTCAACATTGCCTTGCTCTCCCAGGCAACTGCTGTTTCCACGAACAGCCTTGCCCATCAGATAAACCTCCAAACCGCCATTCGTTTCAACGCCGGCGGACATATCAATCACGCTTTGTTTTGGGGCAATCTCACTTCAGCCGCTGAGACGGCTCCAAGCCCTACCTCTTCTGTGGCTCCGCGTCTAGTCGCTGCCCTCGAGTCGCAATGGGGAAGTGTTCAAGTTTTCAAGGAAAAATTTGAGGCAGCACTACTGGCTATACAAGGTAGTGGCTGGGGCTGGCTGGTGCAGGATGTTGATACGCAGCGGCTCGAAATCACAACCAGCAAAGACCAAGATATTGTGCCGAAGGGTAAAAAACCGCTGCTTGGGATAGATATGTGGGAGCACGCATACTATCTCCAGTACTTGAACAACAAGAAGGACTATGCTGCTGGTATCTGGAACGTGATAAACTGGACTGTGGTGGAAAAGCGACTCAGCACCGATGTCGATGTCGTATTCAATATTGTCGGCACCCTTGGGGCGAATTTATAGTCGAATAACAGATGCAGATGGAGAAATACCATTATAACTTTATATAACTCTTTTTAAAGAGTGTCGCATGTTCCTGATTAATATTGAGCCCTTTATTTGTTTTATCTTACCTCTTGCCATATAAGTCCATCAGAGTGGCTGCTGTTTCTCGGCGCGGGATACGATTAGAATTAATATATTCATTTCTTAGTAAATGAGCATCCTCAACTCCTACACGCAAGCTGGTATATAAGGTCTGGTCAGTTACTAGGTGTGGTGAGAGGAAGCAGGATGGCTGAAGTGTTGCTCATCATCTTTTGAGATGATCTTTTCCCCAGACCATAAAGCCACAAACCCTTACGAAGAACTTGTGACATTGCAGAGTTTGTATATGTATCTTTCCCACGTGGCTAGTCATATCGTGGCGGGATCCTGAGCTTATCAACACTGAGACACTTTGCAAGACGCAAGGTGTCTCGATTATGTGCTCTGCGTTTTTGATGCTCCGTAAATCTTCATGCAATCTCTCTATCTTCGAGTCTGCGAGCTTTTCCTGCTCGTCCGATCCCAGCTGTTCTCCGTCTCTGCCGTACTATGTTCTGCAGACCTGTGCCTCATCTTCCCCATCATCCACACTAACTGTGACGTCTCCCTTAACCTTGATCTTATCCAGTCCATATAGGCTCTCCACGCTGTCTCCGCCCTGACTCCACTGACCGCCACCCAGCCTACTGGCGCCTCTGGGCCCTGCCACGACCCTGGTAGGGCCGACCCAAAGGTGTGCCCCTTTCCCATGAATGCGAATGTCTCCAACCCAATATCATCTGACGGCGGGTATGGCGTCAACACAATGTCCGCCCTTGTAGTCGCATATAGCAAGACGTCAAGCCAGCCGTTGCAGGCGATCATCGACATCATTGATCCAGCACTTTTGGCCGAGTCAGTTGGGAAGTAGGAAAAGGGGGGTAAGGGAAAATAACCATGCGCTTGCTCCTTCTCCTTCCCTTCCCCCTTTTTCGGTTTCGGCGTCGGCAGCGTCAGCACACTCCCCACACCCGCAAGCACATAGGCATCATTGATCCAGCACTTTTGGCCGAGTCAGTTGGGAAGTAGGAAAAGGGGGGTAAGGGAAAATAACCATGCGCTTGCTCCTTCTCCTTCCCTTCCCCCTTTTTCGGTTTCGGCGTCGGCAGCGTCAGCACACTCCCCACACCCGCAAGCACATGTGCCGTCGCGCCCCTCGCTTCCATCTTCGCGCACAACTCCCTCACCACAGGCCGTATCCATGCCGCTATCTCGCGACCACGCCCTCCATGTGACAATCTATAGTCCTTCACGACGGCGAAGAATGTGTGCACGGCAATTGTGCATATGAATACGCTACTCGCGAGATCTCCAGTGGAAACAAACCTAAGCTACCGTCAGTTTCAACTTCGTCTGATCACTTCACAAAACGAACCATTCTTGTGCGAAACACATCGATGTTCCTACTTCCATCGCATTGTGCCTTAAAGCATGAATGTTGAGGACGAACGCGAGCGCTTGTTGGATATCTGCGAATAACATTTAGCAAGTGGCTTTGAATCTACATGGTATTCTCTGACCAGCGAAGAGGAGGTTGTAGATAAGGAACAGGAAACTGATTCATAGGCCCCTTTAGCGCAGATTTGTGCCGTCATGATATCAAACGGAACGTTAACCATAGAAATAATGAAGTCGAGCAGATGAAAGACAATAAACCGAACGTCGATACCGGTATCAATCCATGAGAAAGGCTTCCGCCACTAGCGGCGGGCAGAATGAGAGAGTTGTGATGAGCTAGTGCGCGTATGAACAACGAACGGACACGGCGCGAAGGGAGAGATCCTCCGAGGACCGGAAGGAATTATATGCAACTGCTAAGTCTAATGACCTAGCCTAGGCATCCTCACCAAAGGAAATACTAGTGGAGTATAAGGAATACAAGTAGTTATTCTAGGAAGTCCTTAAGAAAGAGGCACTTCCTAAGCACCAACTATAGGATCATACGATACCTATTGTAGAAGGAAAGAGTCTACCATTCAGACTAATATATCAGATGTTAGCAGCAGAGCTAGACGTACTAAAAGAATACATTAATGAGAACCTTGCTAAAAGGTTCATTAGACCATTAACATCACTAGTAGGTAGTCTAATACTATTTGTGCTGCTAAAAAGCTATGACTCTATGTTAATTATTAGGGCACAAACAACGTCACTATTAAGGACAGATACTGTCATGACACTTCTTCAATATTTGTGTCATGACCCTTCGATTCGCTTTAGTCTCTAGTACTTATTTCACTATGTCATTCGCTTCACTTGCTGACCTAGATCAGCCCAAAATGACTACTGGCTTAGGCTCTCTTGTTATTGGTTCGCTTCACTAGGGCTCGCTTAGCTAGGGTTCAGTTAATTAGTGCCTTCGCTTATTTGGCAGTAGGGATTTTTACTGTTATATAAGCACTTATTGCTCATGTCTCTTATTGATCTTTAGCTAGCAAATTATACACTACTTGGCCTTCTTGCAATTCCTCCTGCTTCGACTTACTTTGCATTCCCTTACTTCGAGTCGAACCACTTGGCCAACCTGTTAGTCTCACCACTTGACCCCTGTGGTATAAAGTATATGCCTTGGAGCCTGAACTACTATACCTTGTCCTACTGCTTCGAGTATCGAAGTCTTCATATTATACTTCGGATACTTCTGCAGACTCGAAGGTCAGCCTCGGTTCGAACTGTCCTTAAAAATTTGGTCTTACCCTTAATAAACGAGTTACATAACTGGTTTTAAGGAGCTAAGATATTTACAAAACTAGACCTAAGAGGCACCTATACCTTAATCTAAATAAAGAAGGGAGACGAGTAGAAAACAGCATTTTGCACCTGCTGTTACAATTACAGCTCACAGCTTGTTACGGTTATTACAGTTGTTATAGGTATATAGGGGATTACGGGTGCAGCCTTAGCCACTAAGGCTACAATGTAATGGTGGGTGCACCAGATGTGAGAATCTAGCCACCCAAGGAAGGGATGATTTTACTAAGACAACACACTGTCTTAGAAAACAGAGCCAAAGGGTCGTAGCTTAGACTATTCCACAACACAGCAATCAGGTGTATGATGTAGTGGAGTGGTTTAGACAAGTTGTAACAAATGTTGAGTCTGAGAACTCAGGGATAAGTCAGAGGTTAGCACCTCACTGACTTTTCAGAAACAAGGAGTAACAAGATCAATGCTTGGAAGCTTGGAAAAGATGTGGAAGTATGTGGTAGTCAATTTACTGTATTGTCTGCTTGCCCTTTCTTAAGGAAAGGGCAATCCTATTTATGCTAAAGGAGTGTAGTTCTCTCATTTTCCAAGACTTTCCATGACTAACCAGGCTTGGTAACTGTAGTCAATGTAAGAGAATCCCATAGAACCATCTCCTAGGTTCCTAGCCTATAGGAAGTGAAAGGAGGTCCAAGGTCAGAGTACCCCTATAGACAAATTATGTCATAACTTAACCAATCTTGTGGGTAACTAAGGAGCGATGACGTGTAATGAATCATAGAGGCTTGTAGCAATCGTTGTGTAGTATTGCTCTTGTTGTTGGTGTGACAAGCCAAAATATGTATAGTGACTTGTAGGTTTGGGGAGGAGATTTCTAAGTTTGCTCTTGAGTTTGATAGCAAACTGAGTGCAACGAATGTCAGTATGACAAAAGTCTTGGAAAATGAGAGAACTACACTCCTTTAGCATAAATAGGATTGCCCTTTCCTTAAGAAAGGGCAAGCAGACAATACAGTAAATTGACTACCACATACTTCCACATCTTTTCCAAGCTTCCAAGCATTGATCTTGTTACTCCTTGTTTCTGAAAAGTCAGTGAGGTGCTAACCTCTGACTTATCCCTGAGTTCTCAGACTCAACATTTGTTACAACTTGTCTAAACCACTCCACTACATCATACACCTGATTGCTGTGTTGTGGAATAGTCTAAGCTACAACCCTTTGGCTCTTTTTCTAAGACAGTGTGTTGTCTTAGTAAAATCACCCCTTCCTTGGGTGGCTAGATTCTCACATCTGGTGCACCCACCATTACATCCTGGTCTTATGTAGTGCCTAGCTAACTTGTTAGTGGTTTTAGCATAGGAATTCCTTAACGACTGTCTCCTAGAGCATAGCTTCCTTAAAGGCCCTTACTGCTCCTAGTAGCTGTTCCTTAAAGTGAGTCTCTCTTGCGCTTTTCTCAAACGCTTGTAGCTGATGCTTCTGAAAGCTAGTGAGCTCTTTGACTTTAACGGCTAGTTTCCTAACTATCTACTAGCTAGGTCATGCTACTGCCTAGCCCCGCTAGCCTCGTGACTTACAAGTCATGTTACATAAACACCAGCGCCCTGTTTTGACGGATAGCTCCTAATATACTGTATAGGTTCTTGATCTTCTCGATGGCTCGTTAGGCGAGCTTTAGAGAATCCATGACATTACAACAGCAACCCCGCATCACTACGATATTCAGAGCACGCTTGAATATCCTACTGCTGCTCAAAGCGCTGCCGGACTTGTTATCAAGATGAAGGGATAGCAGCATGGTATCAGAAGATGGATTACATAGACAAGCTTAGCTGGGTTTTAACGGGTTTCCTCTAGTTGCTTTGGCCACAATGGGTGCATCGTGTGCTGCTCTAATTCAAGGCACAGGTCTTGTTCTTTACAACTTCGTAGCGGCCTCATTCAATGAAATGGAGGTGGTTGAAACGTAGCAATTTTAACCACAGCTTAGAAGGTCCTAGAACGAGAATGAGTATCTAGTCGATGACACCCATCTCATCCTGAACCTGCCATATTCTCACTATTCCACCCCTCCCCATCATCATCCCCCAATAACCCCACCCCAAACTCCCCATCCCCACCCACCAGCCCCAACATCTCCTCATCCAAGAGCCCGCCCCAAAACTGCCGCTCTCTCACCGCCAATTTGCGGGATGCGAATATCTCCTGTGCCGCACCTTTCACCTGACCTTGCGCTTTCCGAGCAGAGGGCCAGACAGTAGCTATGGTTTTGAGAGCTCCGGTATATAGACGGATTTGCTGTTTGATCTCCTCATTCCTCCCCGCCCCTTCCAATCCAGCCCAGCGCGACAAATCAACAATGGCACCTAACGTAACGACACAAGTAAAGAAGTGCGTGTGCAAGGTTAGAGGGACAGGGAGGGCGATGAGTGATGCAATGTCGGAGGCGGCTTGGACCACTTTTGCAGCGTGTATATTATTCGTTGGCCCGCCAGTGGTGGGCTGATGGGGGGCGCAAGATGTGATGGTTTGTGTAGGTGCAGTGTCTAGGTGGGCGTGCGGTTTATGGAGAAGCAGTGTGGACCTGTTTGCCGGAATCAGTTGGGGGGCTTAATGCATAGCTTGACTTGCAGCTTCCGACTTGACTTCTAGATTATGTAGGGAGATGTAGTATGAGGAGTGGTTACGGTGTAAGGGACTAATGACTTACGCGTACGTAATCATATGCGCCTGGAATATCATCTCGTCCACCCTTCCATCCTCAACTACAATCCTCCTTGTAGATGGGAGATGGAGGCTCCAGTTCACGAGGTAGGCATCCGTCTTCGCGATTAGCGGATCGTCTGGGAAGATGGGCTTTGGGATGGCGAGGATTCGTGCGAGGTTGGAGATGGCGGCGATGCGATAGGCGAAGGAGGAGAAGATGGTGTCTTCTTCTGAAAAGTCCCCGTCATTGAATTCTTCTAGAGTGCGAGGGGAGGGTATGTTCTAGGGTTGTTAATCGACCACTGGCGAGGGGGGGATATTGATTACTAACTCCAGATATATAGTTCCCCTCCTCGCAAGGAAGTCCAACCTCTTCCCCAACCCCATCCAATCTAACAGAGCTAGCCTGATGCACACCAGCAACCATCCCATCTAGCACCACGCACTCCCACCACGTCCTGCGCCAACTCTCCTCCATCACACTATTCCCGCCGCCATTCCTCTCTGCAAACCACTCATGTTGCATGCCGATCTCGAGGGCAACATCTACCGCCTGGTTAAAGAAGGAGAGGGCGCGTTTTAGTTCCCCGCTTCCGTCCAATCCGATAGCGATGAGTAGGTTGGCCTGCACAGCGTAGCAGTCATGTGGACAGATGGGAAAAGAGATCTGGTGGAGCGCTTCGGCGAGCAGAAGGGGGGTGTGGGAAGGCTGAATGTGGAAGGAGGAGATATAGGTGATTGCGGCGAGGAGGTGGGGGAGGGGGCGTCGAGAGAGGAGCGCGAGGAGCGTGGAGAACGGGGGGAGCAAGGGGTGGGCGGGATGGATATAATGGTAGTATGCTGCAAGGTAATCGGTGGTGGTTGCTATAGGCTGGCATGTAATGTCCGTGTTAGTGAGGGGGATAGTAGGCGACTCCATGGTTATTGTAGGAGAATTGGCTATAGATACGGCTAGACACGCAGTCAGTACTGTCATCAAAAACATTATGAGCACCCACCTGGCGAATTTACTCCTCTAACCCTCCCCCTCCTCCTATACCCCCGCCGCGACTGAACGAAACTGCATTGTAGGCCCTTAGACATGCAACGCGCACACGGCTCGACGCCGTCGCATCTTAGGTGTCGAGAGCGGCAGGCGACGCACGCGGCGGGGACAACGTGCCTAGTTTCTTCATCAGTAGGAGTGTTCATGTTATTGTGCTACGTTTTGTGTTGCGTAGTTGTAAACATGGCTGAAGTGTAAAATGGTAAATGATGCTAATCTAACTTATAGCTTAACGTTTTTAATCATAATGGCGATTGATCTCCATAAACATGTACAAGTACAAACAGAGCCTATATAGTGTAGTGGCGAGTAATGTACAAGTACACATTTATATATGTACGTACGGGGACTATTATGGTCCCCGATCTAGCCGATGCGGATAAAAGTGGTTCCTTCCCCATTCTAGTCCCCGAGGTCGCCGATGAATTTCCCTGTTTATACAACGTTATGTTAATGTTATCATTTTTATTCAGGGCGAAATACTGTAGATGAGTCGAATTAACTCGTCTTATTACTATAATGCACCATAGCCTATAATGGATTTAAAATAAATACTAATATCAATATCGAAACTAAGGGTGCAGTCTGCAAACTCGAGGTATTGGCCAAGTTGGCCATACCTCGAGTTAGCCCTAGCCTCTCGGTGACCAGTTTACGTCAACTCGGGGACCTCAAGCTCAACTCGGGGACCTTGACAGAACGAAATCTTTATCCTAGTCCCCGTCTATCCTCTCATTAGTAAATCTCTTTCCTACTTCTGTCACCTATAAGAGCCATGCACGCCAGCCTCCTATCCCACCACCTCGCTAATCCATGTATTCCCATCATTAGCCATGGCATCTCCTGACCAACACAACGGACATTACGTCCAACAACAGGATACCTACTCCCCCGATCTAGAGCGCCGACCTACTGATGCACACCTGCGGAATACTACAGTCAAGAACTTCGCATGGCAGGACATTACTGTCACCGTCAAGAACAATAAGACGAAGCAGCCCAAAGCCCTCCTACAGCGCGTTAGCGGGATTGTAAATGCAGGTATGTAGAGTACCTCATCGCACTACCTTAACCCACCACCTCCAACCACGTCTACAATGCCCACCACTGACTATAACTTCTAGGCGAAATATGCGCCCTAATGGGGCCCTCCGGCTGCGGCAAAACGACTCTCCTCAACGTCCTCGCCCACCGTGCCGCTGCCTCTGGTGCCGACACCACGGGCTCAACACTCGCCGACGGCGGCGCCGTGTCAACCGAGGCGTTTCGCCGGATGAGCTCGTACGTTGAGCAGGAGGATGCGCTCATTGGCTCGTTGACCGTGAAGGAGACAATGGTGTTCGCTGCGAGGTTGGGAGGTGCGAGGTATGATTGTTCTGTTCTACAATAAGTTACTTGATACGCGATGTTGACCTAGTGTTTTCTATAGTGGATTGTCTAAAGCAGAGAGAATTGATCGTGTAGATGGCCTGCTTGATTCATTTGGACTGCGTAACCAGTCCGATACGCTCATTGGGACGCCGATTAGAAAGGGGATCAGCGGGGGTCAAAAGAGGCGAGTTAGTGTTGCTAGCCAGCTGATCACAGGCCCGAAGCTGTTGTTCCTGGATGAACCGACTAGTGGTCTTGATTCCGCTGCCAGCTGGGAGGTAATATCGTTCATCAAGAACATTGCGCAAAATAACAACGTAAGTTGCGACCCTTACTGCTTCTTAACGGTGTTCATTACTAATATACTGGGTGATAGTTGATAGTAATAGCCTCCATCCACCAGCCCTCCTCCTCCACCTTCCGCCTCTTCGACAAAGTCCTCCTCCTATCCTCCGGCCGCCCACACTACTTCGGCCCCATCCCCGAGCTAGCCCCTTTCCTCAAGACGATGGGCCACCCGGTCCCTCTCCAGACCAACACCGCCGAGTTCGTCCTTGAGCTAATGAACGTCGACTTCGCGCCCGACCAGGCCGCCGCGAGGGCACAGCTAGACGGGATGCAAGAGGCATGGGAAACGTCTGCCATGTCCGCAGCGATCAGGACAGAAATCGGCATCGTCGCCCAGAAATCCAACCATGGTAAAACAACATCCGACGCCAAAGGCGCGCGCGCAGGCTTCCTCACTATAGTACTAGCGCTGCTACATCGCTCCTTCATCAAGAGTTATCGCGATGTAGTCGCCTACGGTATCCGCATCGCAATGTACGTCGGCCTCGCCATCATGATGGGCACCGTCTGGCTCCGCCTCGGAGATGACCAGCGCTTCATCCAGCCCTTTATCAACGCCATCTTCTTCGGGAGTGCATTCATGTCCTTCATGGCCGTCGCCTACGTGCCCGCTTTCCTCGAGGACCGGGCGACGTTTGTCAAGGAACAAGCGAATGGACTTTATGGCGCGCTCCCATTCGTCGTGGCGAACTTCCTCATAGGACTACCATATTTGTTTCTAATCACAGTACTGTTTAGTATTGTGGCGTACTGGTTGTCCGGGTTTGAGCCGACAGCAGAGGCGTTTTTCACATGGATCATGTGGTTGTTTTTGGATCTTGTCGCTGCGGAGAGTTTGGTAGTGTTGGTGTCGTCCTTGTTTCCTAACTTCGTCGTAGCGCTCGCGCTGACCGCCTTCGCCAACGGACTCTGGATGTCCGTCGGCGGTTTCCTCGTCCCCCCCACCGTCCTCAATGTCTTTTGGTACTACGCGTTCTCGTTCATCGACTACCAGCGCTGGGTGTTCCAGGGCATGATGGTGAATCAGTTCCAGAACCAGACGTATGGGTGTGGGGTGGGGTGTAATTGTATGTACCAGACTGACCTCGCGCCTCAGTGTCGGATCGAGGGGACGGGGATATTAGGTCAGTATGGGTATGCAACTAATCGACAGGGACATTGGGTGGGGATCCTTATTGGGATTATTGCGGGGTACAGAATACTCGGCTGGCTCGTGTTGGTTTTCCGGAAGTAGGAGGGGAGGAATCTTAGAGGTAATGTATAATAGTTTGGTGAGTGAATCGTGGTATGATAGGGGGTTGGCTGAATCTACTCTGTTTATATATTCTTTACGTAAAATAGCTTCGTCTCTGTGTTAGTAGTTAGTTCTTCTTAAGAGAGGGGTCTCCGTCTCGAAAATTCAACTTGGATTGAAATTTAAATGCTGCCGCCGGAATCGTAGCTGTATGTCCATATGAATTGTTCAAGAAGCCCCCGAGTACAATTCTTCCTACCGGGCTGTCACTGGTACCCTCGTTGATGATTGGCGAGGCTAGTCATTCATGATAGATTCTCCATGCATAGAACGGTGTTGGATCCAAAATTGGAAGGCGATGTAGCTTCAAATCCTTCGCTGCCACACTGCGCCGCGGCGCATACATGCAGGGAACATGCTAGCTGCAGTACCGTCGGGTTGGTTGTGCGCTTTGGGACCAACATCCATCTTGGATATAGGCTTCTTCCGAAGGCTTCATTCTTTCTTATAGTTCTATCCCGACAGCGGAATTCTTTAGGATAGGCCAACTTGCCATTAACCAATGAAAGAACCAGCCATCAATCATCATGAATAACGCACAAGCATCTGCTAGACGTCCACCGCAACCCCCTCTCAACTTTGCTGCACTAGCAGACCCCACCTCGGTTCTCCAGGCCAGCAACAAGCTATGTGAGAATCTGCAGCAATTCGGAGACAATCTGGTATCTACAGTCACCCCAGAAAAGGCAACATTTGACAATGTCCTGCAGCACGAGAATGAGATGCAACTTACCTCCAACCTCATCACCGTGATCGCTCTTGTCGCACCTGATACGGCACTTAGAAATTCTGCGGCCGAGGCTTCGGACAAGATTTCGCATTGTGTGATGGATTGCAAAGAGAGTAATATTGATTTGTGATGCTGTGTATCAGAGGCAGAAAGATGATGACACACTTGACTCCGAGAGCCGCAAGGCCCTTGTGGAGGAGAGACGGAGTTATATCCGCAAAGGTTTGTGCTTATTGGACGCTCCTATAGAAGAAGACGCCAGCGATAGCAGCGGAGCTAGTTCTAGCTCCGCGATATTCAGGCATAATACGCGCAGATTACAAAGTATTCAATGGGAATTTATCAAGAAAAGCCCCATTACATCTGGCTTACCCGCACCGAGCTCGCCGGAGTTCCAGAAGATGCACTCTCTGGACTTGAAACCGGGACTGGGGAGTTGGACGGCAAGTTGATGCTGGATTTAAATGGCATACAGGCTAGATGGATGTTAACTGTGGCGAGCTCGCCGGCTACGAGACAGAATATTTATTTGGAGAGTAGACGGATGGTAAGTTAGGACATCGGTTTTGTAGCGCGATCTAACACTCATACCACCACAGGCAAAAGAAAACATCCCCCTATTCCACGAAGCAATCCAACTGCGCCACCAATCCGCCCACCTCCTAGGCTACCCAAGCCACCTCGCATTTAAAGTAGATCTCACAATGGCCAAAACTCCCTCCGCCGTGACGAATCTCCTAACCAACCTTCGCGATCTTGTCATCCGCCACTTACCAGCCGATCTCTCCTGCACCTCAAAAGCGCTGATCCCGCAGCCCAAGACCAGCCAAATAGCGAGGTTATACTTTGGTCCGATATCCCTATTATACCCGTCTGTATGAGGAACAGAATTACCCGGTCGACCAGGCACAGATCGCTGAATACTTCCTCCTTTTAGAGACGTTGTCTAAGATGCTCGCTTTGTTCGGCAAACTTCTTGGGTTTGAGTTCATTGAGCTTACAAAGCGTGATGATAACTCAATTGCTGAGCAGGTGGAACATGGTCTCATCTGGCAGCCCAACGTACTCCTCTACAGCGTCTGGAACGACTCCCGCGAAGGCGGGGAACCAGCAGGATACCTATATCTCGACCTGCACCCCCGCCCCGGCAAGGTCGGCGGCTCCCAATGCCGCCCCCTCCAGCTCGGATTCTCCCTCCCATCCCGCCAACACCGTCACTACCCCTCAACGGTGCTGCTAACCAACTTCACTAGACCTTCCCCAGGAAAGCCGTCCCTGCTCCAGCACTCCGACGTAATCCTCCTCTTCCACGAGCTCGGTCACGGTATCCACGACCTCTCCGGCCGGTGCACGTACACTATTTTCCACGGCGCCGAAACGGTAGTAGATTTTTCCGAGGAGCCGTCGCAGATGTTGGAAAATTGGTGTTGGGATGTCAGCGCTCTCAAGGTTTTGGGCATTATGACGGGGGTGAGGTTACGGGATGATGTGATTGACTCGTTGCTGAGAACTAGAGTTGTTCTTTCAGCTGTGAAAATCATGCCGCAGTTGAGGATGACGGTTTTTGATGGGGCTGTGCATTCTGAAGTTGCAGGAGGGGGGGATTGATGTAGCCAAGATCTATGCGGAGTGTGATGGGCTGGGTGGGATTGGAAGTGTTGGGGATGAGTAAGGAACCCCTATCTTTCGTAGGCTCGCGGGGAACTGATGAACGAAACTATAGATACGGCTATGCAACGTACAGACACCTCTTTACTGGTAGCGATGCGGGGATGTACGGATATATCTGGTCGAAACTTCTGGCTATAGATATGTTTGATGCTGTCTTCAAAAATGATCCTCTAGATGGCAAGCGGGGAGGAGATACAGGCCTATGGTTCTTGAGAAAGGGGGAGCCAAGATGAGATGGAGACGCTCGTTCAGTTTCTTGGTTGGAGGCAGACTCCTGAGGCATTCAATAAGTCACTAGGCCTGGAGTAAGTTCAAAGCCGTATTTATCCTGCGGAGTAGACCAAAAATGTGGCAACAGTAGTAGCCCCCATCTCAAAATAAGGGACTTAGACTTGTTCACTTTTGCACGGCTCAGTTGTACCAGTGAGAAGTTAAGTATTATATACTACGCCCGATCATGGATCCATGCAGGGTCTCAATAGTGAATTATTGCAAGATCCCCCACCACTTCTCCACCAACCCTCTTGGGAAATCACTGAAGAACTATCTAAGTCTTCTCTTCCACAAATTGACATCTAGTCAACAAAGCAACCCCTATGTACAAACGTCGCGTTCGAGTCTATAGTTTCTACCCATCCCCAGCTCAGCTGGCCCCTCTCTTATACAGAGCTCGACAGATCCTTATTAGCCCACCCCATCGTGTTGTCTCCGCCGTCGAAAACAACAAACTGGGCCTTCAGCGCCACGTCTCCGAAGATGCTGAATCCGAGACCATCACTGCTTTGAATCCCGCCAAAGCACGTCGCCTTTGTGATCGCGACGTAGTTCATGAAGTGGCCGGGGATGACGCCGCGGTACTCCTCGACACCGAAGGTGAAGCTCGGCAGGGTGGTGTTGCAGGGGAACGTGTAGCCGCCCTGGAGAGCATCGAACTTGGCGCCGCGTACTGCCGACCAGTAGATGCCGACCATGTCGCTTGGCAGGAGGAGCAGGCTAGTTCCGGTATCGGCGATGGCGTACCAGCTGCTGGCGTTGAAGCTCGAGTTGCCGACTTGGAATCCGGAGGGGTTGAAGCCCCAGAAGCCGCGCGATCTATCGACTGGCGTGTACTCGATCTCTCCGGTGTGCTCCGACTCATTGATGTATCCGAAGTCGTAACTCCCAGCAGCCTGCTTCATCAGGTTGACGGTGAATAGAGGGCTTGCGAGGTCATTCATGGCATTCTCGAAGAAAGTCTTCTGTTGCACCGGTTGCACGGTGTTGATGGTGCCGAAGGCAAGTCCGAGAAGACCGGAGGAAGCAGCGTCAGCCTGGAAGGAGGAAGAGACTTGTTGGGCAGACTCAACAGCCTGAGACTGAACAGTTACGCCGCCAATGGAAACGACATCCGTGTAGACGATGCCGGACGATGCGCTTCGATCGCCATAGGTGATATTCCAGGTTGCCCCTTCCATCTTCTTCGAAGTAGAGCTGAGGGTTGGGTTGTACTCGGCTTGGCCATTTTGCTGGTTCTCAGGCGTCTCGTTGGTGTTCACCCAGAGGTCTGCGGAGCCGGTATCAAAGTTGAGGTTGACTGTTTGTGGTGGTGTGCCTATTTGAACTGGGGACAAATATTCACGATCATAAGCTTCTGGGATTGACTCAACCGTGCCTGTAAGAAGTGTAAGTTTTGTGGTACAGATATGATATAAAGCTGAATACTAACCGAAGTTGACGTTCGAGGCGTTAAGAGGCGCTGAGACGCCATCTGTGCCCTGAAGGCGTCCAACAATGCCAGCGATGGCGTTGGCGAGCTGATTCGGGAAAAGAACATTGAACTTCTTGTACGTCTTTGCTAACTCGACGGGGCCGGAATTTGCGGTGCGCTTGTAGTTTGGGTTATGGCGTTGGTTGATTTTGAAGGTTGAGCCGCCGAGGACAAGCGGTCCCTTCCGGTGGTGCTTGGAGAACTTGGTCTTGTGTCTTGGAGATGCATCAACACCCCATGCTGTGAGAGACAGTACCAGCAAAACTGCTGAAAGCAACTTAATGAATGTGTGCATCTTGTTCTGCTTCGGAATACAGACAGATGGCGTGGTAAGGAGCGGCTAAACCAAAGGAGTGTATGGCAAGCAATGTTGCGGAATGAAGGAATATAGCGAAAGAGACCCGGAAAGGAAGATACAAAAGCTCAGGAATTGGAATTGAAGACTACCAACAGCCTTAACAGGGATTAGGTGGGAAAGAAACACCTGCAGCATGAAAAAGAGTGGATGAAGTGGGGGAAACGGGTGACTTGGAGATCGGCAAGGCTATGTATGGGGGGGGAGGTAGATTGGAGGAGGCTCCATATGTGAGAGGTTAAATTAATTCTTCAAAGTACAGGCATGAGGGAGCAAAAACAGCAAGTGCGATCGAGCACGGCAAGTAAGATCGAGCACGGTAAGTAGGATCAAGCTGTCTGCATGGATTAGAGGCCAGGCATTACGAAACAGAGTGATAACACAACAACATTTTGAGGGTAGAGTAAGAGCCAACCCAGCTACACCACCTCAATGGAGTAGTTGGCCGCCCAGTGTATCCCAATTAACCCAAGTTCCTCGTTGTCAGGTTGGTGCGGCAGTCGGTTTTGTGAGAACTGATCGCCGTCATACGCAGTAGATGCCTGTATAACAGGAAGAGAGGCTTGTCCTCCCCTTCCCCCTATCCCAGACATGGCGTCCAGCAAACGACGAGCAGTTAAATCTGAAGAGGAGAAAAGAAAGCCCAAGGTATCAACTGGCAGCTCAAAGAAGGCGTAGATCCCTCTCCTTGTGAGCAATATGTGGTCAGCTGATATCGTCCAGGTGATGTTAACAGCACAATCATGACACTCTGTCAATGGTGATTTTGTTATGAGTCATTAATTTCCGTATTGATATCCGTCACGACCGCGCACCTGAATCCGAATTCACCCATTCCCAGCATCCCACACCTAATGCCGCTCCCCCTCCCCACTCTCCTCACCCATCTCCACATCCTCCGCCTCCGCCGCAACATCCGCATCCGCATCCGCATCCGCATCCGCATCCGCATCCGCATCCGCATCCGTATCATCCCCCTCAGCCAACCTCTTCTTATCCCTACTCTGCGCCTCCTCCCACCCCTCATACTCGCCCTCCTCAAACCTGCGACAATAATCGCCCTGCTTCTCCGAACCCAAGTTCGTCCATTTCCTCGCCAGGTCTTGGTCGACATCATATGTTCCCTCTTTGATCTTCTCCCTGTTCGCTACGAGGAGAACGGAGCGCATGGACTTCACGAACACGTCGAAGCCGCTGCGCGGTTGTCGTGGAGCTGAGGTGCCGTTGGCTTGCGAGGAACGGGTAGTTGATGCCCCGGCCGCAGCGGCGTTGGATGGGTTGGATGCTGAGCGGCCGTTTGCAGAGCCAGCGAAAGAGGCCTGACGCGATCCATTCCCATGCGACAGCCCTGACGCAGCATCAGGCTGATCCTGCAGGAAATCGGGTGCACGTCTTCCGCGTTTCGTTCTTAGAGGTTTCTCCTTCGGCTATAGCTAAACATTAGTCTCTTTGTTCTTCTTTCTTCTCTCCCAAGAAAGAAGGTAGGGCGACATACCGTAGGCGGAGGGCTGGGACTGCCATCTGAGTCTTCGACGTTTGTAGAGGTGCGCTTGGCGAGCTGTTCGAGGAGGAAGGCGCGCTCGAGACGCATCTTTTCGATTCCGCGGCGCATGCGAAGGAGGCGGATTCTAGAGGCGTCGTTGGCTTCTTCGACGGTCTTTATGCGGTGACGGAGTTGGATGCATTTTCGGCGGTAGGCCTCTTCCACGGAGGGTGGGAGGGTTGGAGGGGGAACGCCGGCTGCTGGTTGATAATTAGCTTGGGAGGTTCGTTTTGAAGGCATTGCGATATCGCAGAGCTGTGCGGCGTCTGATCAAGTGAAGAGACAAACGGGGCGTGATGGTCTCTTGCGATTTGCCCAGCCTTTGTTGCGATCGTAGCAAAGGGATGAAAGTCACTCACCAGGAGGGAGCACCATCGTGCCAATGTTTTTGCTTGGGAGCGACTATAATGCGGATAGTCAATCGTGCATGCGGTGAGGTGAGTGGATATGGCTGGAGGGTAGCTAGGATTTGCGTCGATAACAATGATGATGGCTATCACATCGAGTTCGGAAGTACGTACCTTCTGAACGCAACGTGTTGCGCACGCACCCATACCGTGTCATTTCAAAGTTCCTCAACGTCACTTGCTCTAGCCGTACTACAGTATTACCTTGCTCTGTTTTGTTTGAGTCGGCATTGAGAATAGTAATTATCTCCCACACTCCTTGCCCCCCTCTATTGGCGGCACAATAGAAAGGCTTCCGCCTGCGAGCTATGTCGCCCCCGAGCAACGCCGTCACAAACTCCCCACGTCGTCCTTCAGCTGCTTCAAGAGCCACCGCACCCTCGGTTATGACAATGAATGACCACTTTGCTGCCGTCGGCGATGCGCCGACTAAGGAGCAGTATGAGCATGGCATACAGGTTATAGACGATGAGAAGGAGTACAAGTATGCGCCGCGAAGCACCCTGGCGACCTGCAGAACTGACCTCATGGTAGTCCGAATCTCAATACCTTTCTCCAGCAAACCGGCACGGCGCAAGCTGGCTTCAATTACCACCTTATTTCCGTCTTTGGCTCCCAGTCGACGGGAAAGTCGACGCTTCTCAACTACCTATTTGGAACGGCCTTTGGTGTAATGTCCGAGAGCGAGCGCAGACAGACTACGAAGGGAATATGGATGTCCAAGAACAAGCGCGAATCGGACAACGGAGGAGCGCACAAGATGGCTGAGAACATCTTGGTCATGGATGTGGAGGGCACGGATGGCCGAGAAAGAGGGGAGGACCAGGACTTCGAGAGGAAAAGCGCATTATTCGCCCTGGCGACTAGCGAAGTCCTGATAATCAATATTTGGGAGCACCAGGTTGGTCTATACCAGGGCGCGAATATGGGACTTTTGAAGACGGTCTTTGAAGTCAACCTACAGCTGTTTTTGAAGGATAAGCAGTAAGTTCAAAAACACCCCCTTTAAATGCTCTGAAACTGACGATTCAGGGCCAACCCCCGCTCACTCCTGTTCTTCGTTATTCGTGACCATATCGGGACAACCCCTCTCTCAAATTTACAACAAACACTTATTCAGGATCTCACCAAAATATGGTCCTCTCTCTCGAAGCCTAAGGGACTCGAAAAATCACGTATAGAAGACTACTTCGACTTCGCTTTTGCAGCGCTACCACACAAGATCCTACAGCCAGAGAAGTTTGAGGAAGAGGTACTCAAGTTAGGGACGAGATTTAGAGCAGGCCACCGCGTCTCGAGACCTGATGATTCCCACACGGACCAGGAACTTGAAGGCGGTGTCTTCCTCCCAGAATACCACAGGCGCATCCCCGCAGACGGCTTCTCAGTATACGCTTCAGGCGTATGGGAGCAGATCGTGCATAACAAAGACCTTGATCTCCCAACCCAGCAAGAGCTCCTCGCACAGTTCCGTTGCGACGAGATTGCACGAGAAGTTCTTGTAGCCTTCGACGAGATCATCGCTCCCCTAGAAGAGAAGCAGGCGGAAGGTACTAGGCTTGGTAACTTGATCGTTATTGCTGAGCTTGGAATAAGTGGTCTCAAGGCAAGGTCTGCTGCCGTTAAGGCATTCGAGGCAGAGGCAAGCCGTTACCACAAGGGTGTCTACTCGCGCAAGCGTGTGGAACTCGAATCTAAAATCGACACTCGCCTGAAGGCCCTGTACCATGACCAACTCTCTGCCGTGCACAAGGCGGGCGTCAAGTCGTTCAGCGACGCCGTCGGAGATGCCGTCAAGATCGGGCAGAAGAAGGGCGCCTCATACGAGTTTGCGGAGATTGTGGACAAGGAGAAGACCAAGGCGCTGGAGACTTTTGAGGTCGAAGCAAAGAGCCTGGCCGTCCCTGGCGTTCCATGGGCCAACTTCAAGCAACAGTACAAGCTTTTCGGAAAAGAGCTTGACGAAGTTAGCGCGCGCTTACGGCGAGAGGAAATGCGCCGACTGGCAACCCGGATAGAACGCTGGGTTAAGTCTCGCCTTGGTGAATCAGTGGGCTTGGAATTCAACAAGATCGGTTCCGGCCGTGGTGGTTCTGGTGCGCCCGAAGAGGGAACTAAGCCTACCGAGAAGGACCTCTGGGACCGGATATGGACCCTCTTCATTTCGACAGTCAAAGAAGCCGAGACGCGATTCCTCGACCGTGCTCAAAGCTTCGACGCCAGCGAGTCCGAGAAAGAGGTCGGCCTGTGGCGCCTGAGGAGAAAATCGTGGGCGGTGCTGCGAGTGCGAATCGATGAAGAGGTGATGGAAGGTAATATTTTGCTTAAACTGAGAGAAAACTTCGAGGACAAGTTCCGCTACGACGATGCTGGCGTGCCCAGGATATGGAGACCAACAGACGATATCGAGGGTATCTACACCAAGGCACGTGAATCTACGCTAGCCCTCATCCCGTTATTGTCAAGATTCCGACTTGCAGAGAGCTATGCGCCGCCGCCGCTACCGGACTGGATTGGGCATGCCCCTGATGCTGTGGTACCGGATGACGAGGAGGATTTAACCCCTATAGGCGGTGTGGACGAGGAAGAAGGCAAGAGCCTAGAGGAGGAGATGACCGTGCTCAGTGAGGCAAAGCGACAAGATCTAGTTGTGAGGTTCAAGAAGATGGCAGACGGTGTCTACGTCGAGGCAAAGCGCAGTGCAATCGGCGGCGTGACACAGGTCCCGCTGTACTTCTGGGCCTTAATGGTTGCTCTCGGGTGGAACGAGATTGTGGCTGGTAAGTTCACACTGTATCCCCCCTGCATATCCGCAAACTAACGCGCCCGCAGTCATCCGCAATCCGATTTACTTCATCTTCCTGATCCTCGCCGGCATCGGCGCCTACGTGACGTACACGCTCAACCTCTGGGGCCCCATCATCAGGATGTCAAATGCGGCGGCGCAGCAGGCGCTGGACATTGGCAAGGAGCGCCTGCGCGATTTCCTGGAGTCGAATGATGCGGGGAGGCAGGCACTGAATATGGCGTCGGCGAAGGAGGATAGTGATAATATTAACTTGCAGTCTTTGGATAGCAGGGGGAGGAGGAAGGCGAGGATGGCGAGGGGGAAGGAGGAGGATGATAGTGAGGAGGAGATGGACTTGTAAAGTTTTTGGATGGAGGTATGAAGTATGAAGTAATGCTGGATGGGATGGGGTGGGCGGCTGGGGGGAGAGGCGGAATTGTATGTAGTGGGGTTGACGAGGTAGATTAGGGACGTGATATTGTAAATGTTTTAACATAGATGAAGAGCCATCTAGCCAATACTAGATTACTGATATTTATGTCTGTCTATACAGCTATTACACCGACTTCCGAAGGTAAAACCTGAATGTCCAGAAACTAGGCCTATCCTACTGTAAATTCCGTAATATATAAACGCCCCCATCCGCAGTTCAACGCCAGTAGGAAAGTCATTTAGCCATACACATCTCAAACCCTCTTCTCAGAATGCTTCCACACCAGCCTTCCTACCGAACCAATTGCCAAGTTCGTCATCCGCCTTCTGCTCCTTTCCACTATCAGCACTGAAATAATCAGTAACCCGATGCGTGTCCTCATCCTCCTCCGCCGGCCAATCCACATGAGCCGCCATAGCCTTATTATCCTCCAACAAATCCTTAGTCGTCGACCAGGAAAAGCGGCATTCAGGGCCCCAGCCAAAAACCGGATCGATATTACGCTTCAGCCAGGTCGAGCAACGAGCATCTGATGGATAGCCGGACCCCCAGTCTGCTTCGGGCGCTGGTTCGTCTTCGGAGTCACCCATTGTAACGTCTTCTTTGCCCGCGGCATCCTCGTTGGATCCACCATACGCCTCATACAGCACCTCCAGCGCCCTATCTCTCGTGACCTTCGCGCACACACTTGCCGCACTGACACACGGATACAAACTATCCGCCTTCTTCGCCACGGTAATAGACGCGGTAGGGAATATGCGCTCGAGCTTCTTCTGGTACGGGCCAGGCTGGCCAATGGTATCGATGTAGATTTCCCGCACATTGACGCCCATCTCGTAGACCGTCTTGATAAGGTGGATCGTGGCATCCATAGCTTGCTCGTTCAGGTTGTACATCGCGGGCCGCATCATATTGGCGGAGATTGCTCGTGCAGAGAGGACTGAGACGGCCCACCCGCAGTTATCGTAGAGGCTGCTTGGATCGGGGGATGTTTCGGGGGCGGGCGGCACGGTTGGGGTGCAGAGGGTCTCCATTAGCTGGGCGCGGAAGCCGGCGGTGAGGACTTTGGAGTCGTCGAAGTGGTGGGTTTTGGAGAGGAGAGGCGTGGAGAGGGGGACGGGGAGGTAGAATGCGCCGTAGACCATGGGACCGAGGACGGGACCCCGCCCGGCTTCGTCAACGCCGAGAGCGCATGGTGGTCCAGCGGGTGGTTTGGGTAGCGGAGTTGAGGATGAGGGGGCGGGCGCTGATGGTTCTTTTGGAGAAGGAGACGAGGATGAGGGGGCAGGTAGTGACGGTGCGATTGGGAGAAGGGATGGCGGGACTGGAGAGAAATGTGTGTATGATTCGCCGGAGAAAAGTGTAGTGTGGATGACTGAGGGAGGTGTGAAGATTATTGATTGCGAGGGCGCCTCGTTGTCCATATCTACATCAGTCTCATTTTGGGATTCGTTGGCCATGTTTGGTTGTTGTGGCAGAGTATTTCCTGGGTGGCTTTTCAATATATTTATTGAGTACTTGAATTGTCCCCATCACAGCCTTCAACATAAAACCGGGGTGACGCGCTTTGGACGACGCGACGAGCTGTGAGGCTGCATGACAGCCTCGTCGCAATCCATGCGAATGTTCAGTCACATATCACAAAGCAACAGCAAGATTTAACACCAAAATTGAAGGATACGATAGTTATTTAGTTTAATTGAAAGACATTCAACTGCACTGCCTTAATACACTGCTTTATCTTCTGTGGTGGGTTTCAATTGAGTTCTTTTACACTGGATGGTCTTTTTCTGTTTATGATGCCTGGTATGTGAGGTTTGCACCCTGTTGAGACCATTGTTGTTAACTGGCTATGACTTTATGAAATGCGACAACACTCCCTGCCAAATAGTTACATTTCACGATTACACTTTGGCAATCCGTCGTGGGCCAGTACAAAAAACGGCGCATAGAGGCTATTAGCTATAAAAGTTAATATACCAACAAAAGAATCAACACAAGCTCGCGCTTCACAGCACCATCGCCACCGGTATTCAATCAACGCGCATCACGACGCGCCGACACCATGCCTCTAAAACGGACGGCGGCGGCGCCGCGATACAAACCCCGCGAGAACATGTATTTTGAGCCAGGTGTTCGTGGGAGGCATGTTCAATCTATCGGCCTTCAAAATAAATGTACTGATTTTTACAGGAAAACCGGATTGACCGTCCCGGATAGTGGCATTCGCGACGAGTATGGAATCGAACCAATGGACGAGTTGTTTTCGTCGCCCGCGAAACTACAACCCATATCTAGCTCGACCAGGAAGTCTGCGATGAAGAAAAACGCAAACACGACCTTGACGAGCGAGGAGGATATGGATGTTGGGCAAAGCACAATTCCAGAGCCAAGCGCCGTACTTACCGAAAGGAAGAGAGTTAGCATGCGCATGCCGCCTCCGCGGTCAAAATCTCCGGTGAAAACATTCCTGAAGTCGCCGGCAAGGCGACACCCTTCCTTGGGCCCGGTATCGTCACCAACACGCGGCTCAGCCGTATCGCCATCTCGAGTACGGGCTCAACCTCAGGTTGCGCGCCGGCTTGACTTCTCAACGGATGATTTGGATGGAAATGCGCCACAAAGGCTTCCCCATGTTTTGCCGAAAAGGACTTCACAACGAAACCTAGTATCGTCTAGCCCGGCCAAACGACCCAGCGGCGTCAGTTCTGCAACAAGGTCACTGAAGCCCGCTTTTCAGTCCCAAGAAGAGTCGGAAGAGGTGCAGGGGAGCCGCCTATTTGACCTCAGTTCGTCGCGTGATGTCGAAGACGATTATGAGCCCATATATGACGACCAGGCCCTGGGCTCTCCAGAACCAGAGAGAGCTGCGACACCGCCAGAGCCTACACCTCCACCCCCCAAGAAGAGAGGACGCCCGCCGAAACACAACAAGCCTAAGCCATCTAAGAATGCGGGTGTTGACGAAGACCAAGACGAGCGGCCTGCAAAGAAGCAGCGTGGTCCTACAAAGCTAGCAACTCAAAAGGCGCACCCTAAACCAAAACCAGAGCAAGCAACTAGATTACAAAAACAGCCAGCGGCCGATTCTTCGCCAGCGCAAATACAACGGGGCCCACCAAGACCTAGACAGAACGGGCTCTTTATCCTTCGACGAGAAACACCTGAACTTGGGAATTTTGCGACAACTCGATCTGGCAGGGCTTCCATCAAGCCAGTTGCTTACTGGAAGAATGAGACGATCGTGTATGGCGAAGATGATACCGCAGACACCGATGCAAGCTTCCTTCTCCCGACAATTAAGGAGGTCATCCGTCATGATGATGTAGAAAAGGAGAAATCGAAGAGGGGCAAAAAGAGGGGACCGAAGGCCCACAAGAGAGCAGAAGACGAAGAGGAGGATGCCTCTGAACCGTGGGAATCTGAACCGGGGCGCATATATGGCGCTATTAGGGCCTGGAACCCCGACGATCCAACTGGCGCGGAGTCTGCTGATATCGAGGACGAAATTGCTTTCTCTAACGCTGCTATTATAACCAGGGAAATCTCTGGTTCTACTGTCAAGTTTGCCAAGATCCTCACATTGCCCTTCTTTGGATGCGGCATGGTTGATTTGCCGCCTGGCGCTGTTAAGAAACCGAAGAACGCCAGAAAGATGCAGATGATATTCTTTGTACATAAGGGGAAAGTAGTCGTCACAGTAGGCGATAATGACCCATTTCGAATTGGGACAGGAGGGATGTGGCAGGTCCCGAGAGGTGCGACTCCATACCCAGGTTCTACATATATTTTGAGACGCCTACTGACTTGTTTTTCCAGGGAATTTATATAGTATTGGAAATGACTCAGACAAGACGGCACGCGTCTTCTTCGCCCAAGGGTGCGAGGTGGAAGAAGTGGAGTAGAGCAGCGATGCAACGAAATCAGGAGTCAATGTTTGCGTCTTTCTAATATGTGGGTCTGTTACGGCTGGCTCAAAGCGAGGAGTTGTGGATGGGAATGGGAACGTGGCATTAATACCAAATTTGGCCACACTTACTTATGGCGGCATATTAACGTGGTCGGACACCGAGTCGACCGCGACACCGAGTCGATCACTTTTCTATACCCTTACCACCTCGAAATATAATATTCATTAAAACTACTCACTATAAATTGGAAGCATTTATCGTTTGGGTTTAGCTCAAATCCTGAGCTCAATACTGAAAAAACCCTTCAAGCCTCAGTTACCCCTATTCAGGTCCAAGACTCAAACTTGTTCCAGATCAAAGATTTTGACCAAACTATGGACGATATATCATCTCTGATATGGGTTAAACCTTTCCAACCTGTCCTGGAGATAGCAGCTACTTCGGATTTGGAGAAATCATCTCAGGAGGTCATTTTGCCTTTAGCATACCAAGACTACCAACATCTTTTTGACAAGGCAAAGGCATCAATTCTGCCAAAGCACCAGCCTTATGACCATGAGATACCACTCGCAGAAGGCTCAATGCCTCCCTACGGCCCTATCTACTCTCTATCTGAATTAGAGCTGAAAACTCTCAGAGAATACTGTAATGGTGGGTGCACCAGATGTGAGAATCTAGCCACCCAAGGAAGGGATGAATTTACTAAGACAACACACTGTCTTAGGAAACAGAGCCAAAGGGTTGTAGCTTAGACTATTCCACAACACAGCAATCAGGTGTGTGATGTAGTGAAGTGGTTCAGACAAGTTGCAACAAATGTTGAGTCTGAGAACTCAGGGGTAAGTCAGAGGTTAGCACCTCACTGACTTTTCAAAAAACAGAGAATAACAAGATCAATGCTTGGAAGCTTGGAAAAGACGTAGAAGTATGTGCTAGTCGATTTACTGTATTGTCTGCTTGCCCTTTCTTAAGGAAAGGGCAATCCTATTTATGCCAAAGGAGTGTAGTTCTCTCATTTTCCATGACTTTCCATGACTAACCAGGCTTGGTAAATGTATTAGAAATCAAGTGCGACCCACAACTAGCTTGCTAATCATGTAGTGAACGTAAGAGAATCCCATAGAACCATCTCTTGGGTTCCTAGCCTATAGGAAGTGAAAAGGAGGTCCAAGGTCAGAGTACCTATAGATAAATTATGTCATAACTTAACCAATCTTGTGGGTAACTAAGGAGCGATGACGTGTAATGAATCATAGAGGGTTGTAGAAGCTTCTAGAGCTATCGTTCATGTTTCTAGGCCTCTAGTTGGTAGAGATATGCCATGTGGTAGTATTGGCCCACCACCTTAAGGAGGAGATTTTCTTAATAACTTGTTCAATGAGTGTCCAAATGATATGCCGTGATGTATGTAGCATAAACAGATGTAGTAGAAGAGTTTGCAGCAATCGTTGAGTAGTATTGCTTCTGTTGTTGGTGTGATAAGCCAAGATATGTATGTTGACTTGTAGGTTTGAGGAGGAGATTTCTAAGTTTGCTCTTGAGTTTGATAGCAAACTGAGTGCAACGAATGTCAGTATGACACAATGCACCTGCTTCTTTCCAAGCTCTCATGAATGATATTCTAAGACCTTACTTGGATATCTTTGTTGTTGTCTACTTAGACGACATTCTTATATACTCTTTAGACACTCAAGAGCATGTTCTACATGTTAGACAAGTCTTAGAGAAGCTATCTCAAGCACAACTCTTTTGCAAACTTGAGAAATGTCTTTTCCATATGTCTCAAGTTGATTTCTTAGGACATAGAATTTCAACAGAAGGCATTCAGATGGACCCTGAAAAGACAAAAGCAGTACAAACGTGGCCTATTCCTTCCAGCATTAAAGAGGTTCAGTCTTTCCTTGGGTTTGCCAACTATTACAGGAGGTTTATACCAAGATATACATCCTTGGCTTTACCCCTTACTCAATTACTTCACAAGGACACTTTGTATCACTGGGATAAGACACAGCAAGATGCTTTCGATGCTCTTAAAGGAGAATTTAAAGAAGGGAAAATGTTACTACACTTTAACCCCTTGAAACCTGCCACTCTTGAGACAGATGCCTCAGATTATACCAAGCTCCAAAAGACAAACAAGAAGAGCTACAGCCTGTGGCATTTTACTCAAGAAAGCTATCAGCAGCTGAACAAAACTATCCCATTACAGACAAGGAACTGCTTGCCATAGTATGTTCTCTAAAGCATTGGAGATGCTACCTTGAAGGGGCAAACTATCCTATCACTATTTACAGTGACCATTCAAACCTCTTGACCTTTACAACCACTAAACAGCTCAATAGACGACAAGCAAGGTGGTCTGAACAACTAGGAGGTTTTGACTTTGTTATAAAACATGTCTCAGGGGCCAAGAATCAAAGAGCAGATCTCCTCTCAAGAAGACATGACTACCAAGATTCTGCTAAAACTAGCAATACAAAGGCTCTGCTAGACTCAGCAAAGCTTATAGCAGCATCTTTAAGCAACCCTAGTACTACAGAGGACTTAGGGGTAAACTTATCCCCTCAAGACCAAGTTGCCCCCATTACCTCTTCTCAGGAACCAGAGACCTTTAAAGACTATACACCCTCAGCAACACTTCTTAAAGCATTCAAAGATGCTTACAACCATGATCCCTTTGCCAAAAGAACTTTGGAATACCTCCAGAAGAAAGGTTCCTCTCTTGAGAAAGTTGGACTACAGAATTTCTCAAAAAATCAGCATGGACTTCTCTTATTCAAGAACTATATCTATGTCCCAAGGGATAAACGATTACAGCTACACCTCCTACAGCAGTTCCATGATGCTCCAGCTGCAGGGCACTTTGGCTTTGCAAAAACTTATGAACTTCTAACAAGAAAGTTCTACTGGCCTAGTCTAAGGACTACTCTTCAAGACTATATATCTTCTTGCACTACTTGCAACTTGAACAAACCTACACGGAAAAAGCCCTATGGCCTTTTGCAGCCTCTACCTATACCAGAACGCCCATGGGACTCCATATCCATTGACTTTATAGTCAAGTTGCCTCCTTCTATCCCAAAAGGGGGTGCTACCCCTTATGACTCTATCCTTGTGGTGGTAGAAAGGCTCACAAAAATGGCACACTTTGAGCCTTGCAATGAGACTATCACAGCTTCTGAACTTGCGTGGCTATTCCTCAAGGTGGTCTTTAAATATCATGGAATTCCTGGACACTGGATCTCAGATAGGGGAGCAGTTTTCACTTCAAACTTTTTTAAGGAGTTCTCTAAACTCTTAAACATGGAACAACGCTTCTCTACAGCTTATCACCCTCAAACAGATGGCCAGACAGAGAGAGTCAACTCTGTACTTGAACAATATCTAAGAATTTATACAAACTATGCTCAAGACAACTGGGCAGATCTTCTCCATCTTGCAGAATTTGCTTACAACAACACAGTCTCTAACACCACAAAAGAGACACCTTTCTATGCAAACTATGGTTATCACCCTAGGTTTGAAGTGGCAGAACTGAATTGTCCTGAAAATTTCAAAAACCCTTCTGCTACTGAAAGAATCATCTACCTTAAGGGCCTCCAGGACTATCTCAAGGTTCAAATACAGCGTGCACAAGACGAGCAGGCTCAGGCCTTTAACAGGGGGGTGGTTGCACCACAATTCAAAGTTGGTGATCAAGTCTTTTTGTCTAGAAGACATATCACAACTACTAGACCTTCAGACAAACTTGATACTAAAAGACTTGGACCTTTTAAGATCACAAGGACTATTGGCAAGAATGCTTTCGAGCTTGCATTACCACCTACTTGGACTATCCATAATGTCTTCCATGCATCTCTCTTGTCTAAGGCACAAGAAAGTTCCTTAAGACCACTTCAGTCTCCTCCACCTCCTGTTCTGATCTTGGATCAACCAGAATATGAAGTAGAGTCTATCCTTGACAAAAAGACACTTAGAGGTCAGGACTGCTTCCTCGTTAAGTGGAAAGGCTATCCTACAAGTGACAACACTTGGGAGCCTAAGAGAAATCTAAAAAATGCATCTAAGCTCATTCTAGAATTTCTTTCTAAGAAAGCCAACTGGCTAAAGGGCAAGCAGACAGCCAACAAACGTCCTTAAAAGGGGGATCATGTCATACTGACATTCGTTGCACTCAGTTTGCTATCAAACTCAAGAGCAAACTTAGAAATCTCCTCCTCAAACCTACAAGTCACCATACATATCTTGGCTTATCACACCAACAACAGAAGCAATACTACTCAACGATTGCTGCAAACTCTTCTACTACATCTGTTTATGCTACATACATCACGGCATATCATTTGGACACTCATTGAACAAGTTATTAAGAAAATCTCCTCCTTAAGGGGGTGGGCCAATACTACCACATGGCATATCTCTACCAACTAGAGGCCTAGGAACATGAACGATAGCTCTAGAAGCTTCTACAACCCTCTATGATTCATTACACGTCATCGCTCCTTAGTTACCCACAAGATTGGTTAAGTTATGACATAATTTGTCTATAGGTACTCTGACCTTGGACCTCCTTTTCACTTCCTATAGGCTAGGAACCCAAGAGATGGTTCTATGGGATTCTCTTACGTTCACTACATGATTAGCAAGCTAGTTGTGGGTCGCACTTGATTTCTAATACATTTACCAAGCCTGGTTAGTCATGGAAAGTCATGGAAAATGAGAGAACTACACTCCTTTGGCATAAATAGGATTGCCCTTTCCTTAAGAAAGGGCAAGCAGACAATACAGTAAATCGACTAGCACATACTTCTACGTCTTTTCCAAGCTTCCAAGCATTGATCTTGTTATTCTCTGTTTTTTGAAAAGTCAGTGAGGTGCTAACCTCTGACTTACCCCTGAGTTCTCAGACTCAACATTTGTTGCAACTTGTCTAAACCACTTCACCACATCATACACCTGATTGCTGCGTTGTGGAATAGTCTAAGCTACAACCCTTTGGCTCTGTTTCCTAAGACAGTGTGTTGTCTTAGTAAATTCATCCCTTCCTTGGGTGGCTAGATTCTCATATCTGGTGCACCCACCATTACAGTCTTTTACAAGCTTCCAAGCATTCATCTTGTTACTCCTTGTTTCTGAAAAGTCAGTGAGGTGTTAACCTCTGACTTACCCCTGAGTTCCCAGACTCAACATTTGTTGCAACTTGTCTGAACCACTTCACTACATCACACACCTGATTGCTGCGTTGTGGAATAGTCTAAGCTACGACCCTTTGGCTCTGTTTTCTAAGACAGTGTGTTGTCTTAGTAAATTCATCCCTTCCTTGGGTGGCTAGATTCTCACATCTGGTGCACCCACCATTACAGTGGGTGTAACGCTGACTTCTAAACGATAGAAGACACAGAGGTTCTCTTGCGTAAAGGTTTACTTATCAGAGGAGGCAGGGGATCAGACACAAAGGCTTCAAGTAACACGTTACTAGTATATAACAAATACTGTATTGAGTTGAGCACGAAGCTCCTATCTAAGGAAATACTATCTACTTATATAGTGGCGTCGTGCCTAGTGGACTCTTGGGAACTCACTCGAGTCCTCGGAGTCCTGGACTCTTAGGACTCTTCTCATCATCCTGCGAGTCCGTCACGTGCCTAGTGGACTCCTGGGAACTCACTCGAGTCCTCGGAGTCCTGGACTCTTAGGACTCTTCTCATCATCCTGCGAGTCCGTCACGTGATACTTTCGGAACTACTATTCCCCGCTGCCCCTCCAGGTACCAGGGCCGGTCTCATGCGACCTCCCTCCTTCCTGTCCTGTAGTTGGCCAGCCTTCTTGTTCCGTCGTAACAGTGGGCCAATACTACCACATGGCATATCTCTACCAACTAGAGGCCTAGTAACATGAACGATAGCTCTAGAAGCTTCTACAACCCTCTATGATTCATTACACGTCATCGCTCCTTAGTTACCCACAAGATTGGTTAAGTTATGACATAATTTGTCTATAGGTACTCTGACCTTGGACCTCCTTTTCACTTCCTATAGGCTAGGAACCCAAGAGATAGTTCTATGGGATTCTCTTACGTTCACTACATGATTAGCAAGCTAGTTGTGGTCGCACTTGATTTCTAATACATTTACCAAGCCTGGTTAGTCATGGAAAGTCATGGAAAATGAGAGAACTACACTCCTTTGGCATAAATAGGATTGCCCTTTCCTTAAGAAAGGGCAAGCAGGCAATACAGTAAATCGACTATCACATACTTCCACGTCTTTTCCAAGCTTCCAAGCATTCATCTTGTTACTCCTTGTTTCTGAAAAGTCAGTGAGGTGTTAACCTCTGACTTACCCCTGAGTTCCCAGACTCAACATTTGTTGCAACTTGTCTGAACCACTTCACTACATCACATACCTGATTGCTGCGTTGTGGAATAGTCTAAGCTACAACCCTTTGGCTCTGTTTCCTAAGACAGTGTGTTGTCTTAGTAAAATCATCCCTTCCTTGGGTGGCTAGATTCTCACATCTGGTGCACCCACCATTACAATCTTGCAGTTCGCTGGACTGTTCGGAGTTGGAATCACCACATAACAAACACAACTATCTATAACTGCTTTCGGAAATCAACACTCCTTAGCAACCCAATATCTCTTCCTACATTAATAACTCCACCAAATCTATCAGAGCTATATGCACAGGTAGCACAAGCTGGCAATATCCAGGATTCTATGGCAATATCTAACTTTCTTAACCCGGTTGAAGAGTCTATAGTAGAGGATGAAGGAGCATTAAATCATGATGAGATTCTGCAAGAGATTATATCAGAACATCTTGAAGTTCCTGAAGAAGAAGAAGAAGAAGAAGAAGAGGTACTACAGCCACTAGTACCTACCATTCAGGCTGCTAGGAATGCCTTGAATATTCTTATTGAGTTTGCGGAAAGTAGTGGAGATATCAAAACAGGTCATCTACGGGCTATTGAGAGTCTTGACCAGGAATTAGAGGCTTTGGATCAGAATGGGCGTGTGCAAAGGACACTAGATAATTGGCTTACATAAGTGTGTATAAAACGATAACGTGGTTTACCACCAAACGGAACATCCCACCAAATGAAACACTTTCCGATAGCATCGCAACCTCAAACCCAATTACTCCACCCTAACACATTAAAATTAACTACACTCAATTGAATTCTCTTCTCCTAATATCTCTTCAACCTCTTGACAGGTTCGTACATTATGCCCAGTCTTGCCGCACCTCCCACAGCGCCGCGAAGTCGATGGACCAGCCTCTACAGCACCCTCCTCATTTGACCTTTTCTGTCGTTTCAACCCTTTATCCTCTTTTTCAGCGATCAGTTTTTGAGCATCTTCTATAGTAAGTGACCCTCCATCTTGGACACGTGTACGCTTGGCTTTCCGACGCTTTGAAAAGTGCTGTGTTGGCCTTTCGAAGGGTACGGACCTCCTCTTGTATAAGGGTCATTTGGTGCGCAATGCGGTCTGTACCCTTCACCAGCTGCTTTACAGCTGAAAAAATCGTTGTTGGGGAGCTTCCTTGATGAATTCCAATTCTATTCTGTACAAACTTAGACTGCAAAATTGCATCAGCTGGGGTTTGTGGCGTTTGAGGGACCCAAGGGTCAGCCTCTAGTAGGGGGGATCCAGTTGGTGTTGGCGTCCGTAACTTGATATCAAGCTTTGAGAGAACTGCTTCTGGGTTGTACGGGACTAGGCCAGTACCTCGAAAGCCAGCTAGGATATTTTCAGTTGTCATTGTATGGTCGTGGGCAGCCTTGAATGCAATAAAGAACTCAATCTTAGTGATATGGGTAATAGAGGCCTTAATGAAGACCTCAAGTTCTCGACCATACATTCGCTTTAGTACACTAAAACACCCAACATCAAGAGGCTGGGTAAGATGTGAGGAGTGCGCAGGGAGACAGAGCGTAATAATGTTGTTCTCCTTGCAGTACATATCAAACTGGGCAGATAAGTGGCTCTCATGGCCATCTAGGACAATCATCCGCCAGACCCCTTGTGTTCGTACACGTGTATGCTGATTAAAGTGTTTTATCCAGTCTAGACCTGTATCATTGTCGGTCCAGCCATTTGGTGAGGTCTTGATGGCCCAAGTAGGTGGAAGGCCGCACTCTGTGTACCAAGGCGCAAGGTGATGCTTGCCTTGTACAATCAAGTATGCAGGCACTACAAAGCCGTCTGCACTCACACATTCAATCGCTGTTGCCCATTCCCGATTACCAGACTGAAGCTGCTTTGCTCGGCCTTTTCGATCTGAGCTCGTAACAACCATATTCCCACAGATAACACCCATCATAAAGCCCGTCTCATCAAAGTTGTAGAAGTCAGCATCCTGGATGCTGTACTTCGCCTGCATGTTCTTTACCAGCTCAAACCACTTTCTTATACAATCAGGATCTTCGCAGAGGGCTCGCTGGAGGTCGTACGCACGAGAGAGACGCGTCTTAAGCTTTGGTTCATTGTGTACAAAGCGGTAGGGCCAGTTTTTTCCAACTGGGGGTTCGCGACGCGTCGCACGGAGGAGATTCGCTATATCTCGTACATCCTCAATTCGAGGTGGAAATCCTCGCGAATCTAGGTCAAGTACGTATCGTATGAGCTCCTCTTCCTCAATTGGGGTCAATGGACGTTGTTTGTCGCGTCTACCAGCTCGTGGTTGGCTTCCGTGTATGCGACGGGTAAGTGTTACATGTGATGGACAGTTTGTGGGGTGATTTGGTAGCTTGAATGGCTAGTAAAACTCGGCCTTCATTAGCTTTCTGAGGCATCTTTTTGTTGTGGTGTGGTGGAGTAATTGGGTTTGAGGTTGCGATGCTATCGGAAAGTGTTTCATTTGGTGGGATATTCCGTTTGGTGGTAAACCACGTTATATGCTTTAAGACGATATGAAAATGGTGCCTCGAATCCATCGTCTTAACAGGTTTGACTGTACTAATATTTTGTATGGCAAAAACCTAACCCTTTAATAACTTATGCAAAATAACGCTAATACTGCTATAACTTTCACATGTAATAGAGTACTGTATATAGGTCCTATATGTAAGAGGAATATGCTTTGGTAATTTTATTAATGGAGTTATTTAGGTTCGAAGTTTTTGGTTTTAAGTACCATTGCTTACAAGTTTAGCTGCAAAGGTACATACTTCGTTACGCCATTCCACTCGTTACGCCACGACTTACGTTAGTAATAATTGAATTATTGCGATTTTTTGAAGCTGTTGATGGGGTGGCCCCAACCCCACTCCGTATACCCATTACGCCATTATACACATTACGCCATTATACCCCTTACGCCATTATACCCATTACACCACGACCTACTCCGTACGTTAATTTCCTATCTGGAGGCGGCCACACTATTGGCCGCCCATATCTAATGGTGCATCTCACGGCGGAACGTATCGCCGACCCGCGGGGGTATGGTTGGGGGGCCGCTTCTACAACAGCATCCCTCGCGTCACACTCCTACTCCTCTCGCCAACATCACAGCATCCACTACAAGATTATCCACCAAAACCCCCGATATCCCCATCCGACACCATGCCACCCGACCGCTCGGCCTCAAAAACCAAGCCCTTCAAGCCCCAGCGCCCCTCTACCGGCAGCACATCCTCACGCGCCAAACCCGGCCCCGGACCCTCCTCATCTCGCACCACAGCAACCACCGAAACCCCCTCCTCACGCCCCAACCCCGACTATGACAACGACGATGATGCCATTGCGCCCGATGCGCCTACCGAGACTATACCCCCGGCGCTCCTATCGACGCTGCTGACGGAGTTCTTTGCGGACGAGCGCACGAGGATTAGTAGGGGCGCGGATAAGGCGGTGGGGAAGTATATGGAGACTTTTGTGAGGGAGGCGATTGCGAGGGCGGCGTATGAGCGGGGAGGGGATGGGAGAGGGGATGGGTTTTTGGAGGTATGCTGTTCTGATGGAGCGCGGGGAAGCGGGGTGGGGATGAGGGGCTAATACGGCTTTCACAGGTTGAGGATTTGGAGAAGTTGGCGCCGCAGTTGGTGCTTGATTTTTGAAGGGGGGATGATTGAGTGTTGTGATGGAATATTTATCATGAGAGGTTTCCAGAGGGGTTGGTCTGGGGGAATATCTCGGGCGGCACGCTGCTTCGGACATGAGATCTATCGACATTCACGAAGTTCAGCACAGAAGTATCAGCACGGGCGGCTCGATGTGCTCAGAAGCCAGCCAGGCCAAGCGCTTATGGAAAGAGCAGCTTTATGGAGACAACGGTCGAAGTAAAGACACTGCTTCGAAGGCACACGCATAAAGTACGATGCGGGAGATACCGGGAAGGCCGAACGAATCCGGTCATGAGCGCCATGGCCAATTACCCCAAATCCTACAGATGATATCATGAAACAGAACATTATGATCCATGTATAAACTCCGAGATGGACTGAAGAGAAGGTCTAGCCGTCGAAATACAGATGTCAGATCACGTGATCAAGGATGATGAGCTTCAATGTCTGCACTTGTTTCGTTCCATCGCTTTCGGCTATGCAGAAACGATAAGGTTATCCAATCTCAATTAAGATGCAAAACTACCGTTCTCGATGGTGTGTGCGTTGGTTCCCTTGGCTGGTGCCTTCGTCTGATGCCGGCCGGCCTGAGCGGCGGTTCTGTGAAACTCGCTTAACCTCAGAGCAGCATTCCGCGACCATGACAAAACCCTTGTGTGCTTCAGATTTGACTCCAGCAACATCTGGGCGGGCACATCAAGATCCGGCGGCCTGTGCTGTCCAAGATGCATATGGGAGACTCGTACGTTACTTACGAAGAGTATGAAGCATTGAAGCATCGTACTTTAATTGTGTACTGATCCAGATGTGTGGGAATTGTTTAATGCTTCGTTCAGTCTTTCGTGACGGCGACGTACGCTGGTGCGAACATCGTCGACGGTGGAGGCTGAAGTGACACAACCCGTTGACAGGAATAACCTGGCTGCCGTGGTCGAGGCCAAGACGCACGGCGCTACCTTCCCGGCCGTCAATGCACCCCCTTCCATCAGCGATGTTGATGGGACGTCAATACATCTTGGCCACTATAACTCCCATTTCCGACGGCCTTCACGAAACAGTTTCAATACCATACTAGGTCCCTAAGCCACGCCAGCTTTTCTCTTCTCCCGTCCCACCACTAACTCCCCCCTGAGGCACCCAAGCCAATTTCCTGTCTTTCCTTATTTATGCTTTCCTTTTCCCTCGTGTTTCCAGACTTGTCTTTCTTCCTTATCCTGCGTCTTTCTGCTGTTGTTCTCTTCGCTTTCTATTGTCCATTTTCATCTTTCATTCTTCACTTCTACTCGTTAATAAGTCCTGCCGGTCAGTTCAAACATAAAGCGCTAGTCGCCTTCAGAAAATCCACACTCGTTCAATTCAACTTTCATCATCTCCACGAAATCAATCAAATCTCACTCAACCAACTTCACCATGCAATTCTCAAAGATCAGCCTTGCCGCCGCGGCGCTCTACTCCTCTATTGTCTACGCCCAGGGACAGGTCAAGGTCCATGTGGTTACGGTTTCCGGCAAGACCAACACTCTCACTTTCTCCCCAAACAACCTCGTCGCTGAGGTCGGCGACATGGTTCAGTTCCAGTTCGGCGTTGGAAACCACACCGTCACCCAGTCCACCTTCGATGCGCCATGTCTACCTATGGGAGGTGCTGGCACGAACACCACTGCTATCAGCACTGGATTCATGCCTGTGGCAGCCAACGCAACGACCGCTCCGCTATACACGATCCCCATCGTCAACAAGACTCCAATCTGGCTGTACTGCGCCCAGGGCAAGCATTGCCAGAAAGCCATGGTGATGGTCATCAACGAGAAGTAAGTTCACAATGCCGATAATCGTACAGAAATATAGTCTAACCTCTCTGCAGCACCGCTAAGAACGCATCCCGCTCCCTCAACGCCTACATTGCTGGCGCTGCAGCCGCACCGGTCAGCGTGGCACCAAGTGGAAACACCAACACTGGAACAAACGCCGGCTCTGGAAACAAATCGAACACTAGCTCTGGCTCCGACTCTGGATCTAGCACTGGCACCGACACCACCACTTCTGGCACCAACACCACCTCTAGCACTGGTACCAGTTCTGGAAAAGGCACCAGCGCTGGCTCTGTCGGTGCTGGTTCGGGCGTCAAAAACTCTACCACCATTCCAGGCGGCGGTGCCGGCACTCTTAACGCACCATACTTGGCTGGTCTCATCGCTCTCGGTGCTGCCATGTTACTGTAGAGTAGCGGGTCTGTGAGGGGAGTTTTGGTGTTAGAAAGCAACTGTATGACAATTTAGAAGAAAGGGGAAAGGCCGTGAGAAGAGGCGTGCAATAATTTTTTGAGTCTATTTTCTACACTCGTATACCGCGGCTATCGCGATGGAGTATTTGGTTTTTTTTTAGTTTGAGAGAATTGAATGTGGACATTATATTTTTATTTTAAAAAGTTTTAAAATAAATCATTTGTGAATTGAAAATTGTATTTCGCTCTGAACATAAGTCAAAATCCCAAGACTTCGCTATAAGATGGTATTATGAATATGATATACACCTAATTTTAAATGATTTCCATCTCAAACCACATACTGTTAGGTGAAGTTCATATCGGTTTTACAGTTTTGGGTTAAGTTAGTTGAACAGGCACAATGACTATCACGTGCCAAAAGAAGGATAGTTGTGGTGACACAATAATCATCCCAGTGTTATCTGGAATTGAGAAAGCAACATCAAATTCCCACATCCTGTCACCCTTTCTTCTCTAATTACCGTGTGCACAGAGGCAAGGCACTATATAATTTGATAACGACTTGGCCAGAAGAGAGAGCCAAACACGTCGTCACGTGTAATCGACGTCACACGCGGGCTTGTGAACAAACAATTGCACTTCTGCGCGTCCCATTGTTAGAGGACACCATCCGCAGTGATGGCGAGCTTAACGGGGAATGGAAACGGGCCCCCGGGTATCGTGAGAGATCCAGCGACGGTGAGGGGCCTAGAGATCCCTCATGTTTTGCCGCACGAAAAAGTGTTTCCGATTCAGATCGGGAGCAAGCTGTTTAGGTTGAGCGGGGCGAGTATCAGTTCTGATGGTATGTAATTTATCATTTCTGTCTGTCTTATCATGTTCTGGTTCTTTTTTTCTATTGGAGAGTGCTTGGGACGATGGGGATGGATGTCTGGACGCGTCGAGCATGACTGCTTCGAATTGGTGATTATTCATCAGAATATTGAGAGAGCCATTGAGCTATCTGACCCCCTGTCCTTGATGTGCAAATATTCTGTCTGCAAGCTATGCTCTGTTATCTCCCCGAACATACTTTCTTCGCCCAGGTTCCACGCCGTCTAGAACCCCAGCTGAGAAACCTAGAGCACCCTCATATTTCTCAGAGTACTTTAAGTGCCAGCTAGCCCAGGCCGAGATCCGGAAGACAAATGGCGAATCAGACCAAGGCATTAAGACGTTATACATCGATCGAGACCCGACGATATTCTCCGACATATCGCGGCATCTACAGGGCTACCACATCCAGCCTCGAGATGGATCCCACTTCGTCAAGCTATTCGCCGACGCCCAATTCTACCAACGTAAGTGCACATACCATTTCATCCTCACATCCACTAATCCCAAGCCAGTACCAAGGCTAGTAAGCCAGCTCTTCGAAGACAACATCTACATCTCCATCGGCGGTCGCGAATTCCGCGTCCAAAAGGGCCTCTTCACAGCCCCCGGCGACACTCCCAACTACTTCACCCTCGGCTTCGCCGTCATGTTCTCCTCCACCGACGCCGTCTTCCCCGGCCTTGACCGCGCAGGCCTCCTCCGCCCCCCCTCCATCGTCCCCCCCGCCGTTCCCAGCCGATCCGGCGAAGTCTTCGCAGAGCTAATCCACATGCTCAAAGGCTATCCCCTGCACATCCGCAACGAAGCCCACCGCACTGAACTCCTCCGCGATTGCAGATACTTTCTTTTCAAAGGGCTGGAGCAGAAGCTCATCCCCCATTCCATCTCGCATAACCTCCAGCGCGGGAAGGACGAAATCACGATCCGATTAGAAGATATCCGCCAACCGGGCCTAAGCATCACCTTCGATGCGCCCTTCCAGGACTTCCCTTCTTCCGAGCCATTCTCAGGGCATCTCCGCTACTCCGCTCCCAGTATATCGGGGTGGGTGCACTACATGCGCCCCTTCGTTGACACCACGCCGCGCGAACTCATCATCGAGATTAGCGGCGAATGCACACGTCTCGATGTCGACGCCATGCGCGCTGAGTTCTCGGGGGACGCGAAGAAAAGGATTAATCGCCTCATCGAGGTGCTGGCGAATAAAATCAACGTCCCCAATGCGCGACCCATGGGTTTGTTGATGGGGAGTGGTGCGGGGAGTCAGCCGGAGAGTCCGGCGAGTGGGGGGTTGCGGGAGGGAAGTGTGAAGGTTGTGTTTGAGGGGGGGAGTTCGGTTGTGCTGGATGGGAGGGTGTGGAAGGATGAGGAGGAGGGGAAGAGTGGCATGAAGATGGAGGGGGATGGTGTGGAGAATGTGGATGCGCCGTCGAGGAAGAGGAGGAGGGTGGAGGCAGGGGCGGAGAGTGAGGTCTGGGCTGTTAGGACGGGGCAGTGGAGGGTGAGGGTGCAGGCGGCTTCGAATGATAAGAGTACGGTGGAATGTGTTTTGATTGCGGTGAAGATTGATGCTTTTACGGCGGAGGTTGCGAGGAATCAAGAGAGGGGGTTTCTGAGTGGGTAGGCTGTTGGTTTGTAACTGTGAGATTTATTGGGGTATTTAGGGATCTTGTAGTGAATATCATCAATATCGTTGTGCTTTTATTTTCCTCGAGATGTTACAAATATTAAGAAATAAAAGAATATCTTTTAAAAGCACAACTAGTATTTATATGAAATTGCCACTCATTATTCTGTGGTTGAATCCCATGCTGAAAGTAACGAAGCTATAATGTCTGAGAATATCTCCGTATTACAGCAAGCATCCCAAATGCTGCATCGCGAATAGGGCTCACGACGGGAAGTTAAATGGCACAAAAAGCCCACTTAAATACAATTGCCTACCAACCAAGGACTGCAGTTGCTTTGTACTCGTGACACGGAGGAGTTGCATAACATGGCGTCTACGCTGCAAGGGGAATCACAATAGACGTCACAATTACGTTAGGCACAGCGGTTAAAGTAAGCCTCTCTATTTCATAATCAAGTCCCATATCTATCGTCGCATGTGCGCGCAAAACAGCCAACGAAGAGAAAAAAGTAAAATCCAGTGGGGTGTTTGATCGTTATCAAAAGTCAAGAGAAATACATCAGGAAAAAATTGCGTAGGCTATAAAGTACAGCAGCATCAAGGTCTACCCTTAACAACCGCAAGCTGCTCCAGAACCATGGCAATGGATGTCTGCAACAACTTATCCACTCGGCTCCCAACAACAACGTCCACCGCGGCACACCATTATCAGAACCCTCCGTCACACTCCATTTTTATCGACTACTACTTATGGTCGAGTTATCTATTTGAAGGCCTTTCCGAAAAGGATCAGCTGCATCTGATCGTAGATGGACAGGACACCGGCACCGGCAACACCACGAAGGATGTTGGCACCAGCACCCTTGAAGAGAGACTTGACACCCTCCTTGGCGATGATCTGGCGACCAGCATCGAAGGAGCCCTTGTACTTGACGGCCTCGCCAGAGGTCATCATCATGCGACGACGGATAGTGTCCAGAGGGTAAGAAGCGATACCAGCACCAGTGGTGACAGACCATCCGAGAGCGAAAGAAGCAAGGAAGTTACCCTCAAGAGGGCCGACGAGGAGAACTGGCTTGATGGAATCGTACATTCCGAAGTAGAGACCACGGTAGACGACGATACCAACAACGGAGGGAGCGAAACCACGGTAAAGACCGGCAATACCATCGGAAGCGAGGGTCTTCTTGTAAACATCGACTAAGCCGTTGAACTGGCGGTCACCACCGCTCTTGGCGTTCTTGGCATCGTTGGCAAGACGAGTACGGGCGTAATCGAGGGAGTAGACGAAGAGGAGGGAAGTGGCACCAGCAGCCTATATCAGTCAGTTAAAAAGTCTTACGATCAAGGGCTGAACAAAACGTACACCACCGGATGCGAGGTTACCCATCATCCACTTGGCGTAACCATCACGGTCCTTCTTGAAGGCGAACATGGCCTTGTAGGTGTCGCGGAAAGCGAAGTTAAGGGCCTGGGTAGGGAAGTAACGGATGACGTTGGCGGTGTTTCCTCTCCAGAGGGAAGCGACACCCTCCTGGTTGATGGTACGCTTGAAGCACTCAGAGATACCGTCGTACTTGCGGTCGAGACGACCAGACTTCAACATCTCATCCTGAAGTTGTCTATTAGCAATTGGTTCATTGGAAGAATCCCAAAACAACCCAGAAATGCCTGTACCGAAACATCGCTGACGCGTTTGAGCTACCTATGTCACCTGGGGAGATGACGAGCTAGGTGCGATGTTTACAGCACTGCAGATTGAGAGTTTCAAGAGTATTAAGGGTTTTGTAACATACCTGGTTCTGGATCAGGAGCTTGACACGCTCGATAGGAGCAGCAGCAGTCTTGGAGACGGCGGCGGAGACACCACCCACTGGGAGCAATAGTCAGTATTGACCGTCGATGGGAAAGCCTTCCGGGTGCGGAAAATTCGGTCTGTTGCTGACAGCAACAATTTCATCGAATTTATCGCTGGAAGGTATTGGATGTGGTTTTGACATACTCAAGAAATCGACAACGAAGCCCTATTGAAGAATTGAGTTAGTTACTGGACGAAAGGAGCGAAGGTGAAAATTTCAATCGACCCCAAACATCATCTCATGCAGCTCCGCGACATCCAATTGAAGCATCCAATCATCTTAAAAATGGCAGTATGATGTCCATTGAGATCTGTAGATGCTCCATGATGGCGTTGAAGGCGATTGCTGATGAGATGTGCCGAATGTCGATGGTGCTGACCGAGGTGATCCGATGGATGGAGAGAGAAAACTTACGGGCATGCCCATGAAGGACTTCTTATCTTCGACGGCGGCACCCATTTTTGCGGTTTATCAAAGAATGAACCTGATAAATTTGCAGAAGGAGGATTGAGGGGAGATGTGTTCTACGAGAATGAAGAAACTGGTGATGGTAGAGGCAATAGGATGGAAGTATTATAAGAAGGGGAGGAAGACAGAAATGTGAGTAGGCGAGCGGATGAGGAGCGTGCTAGCGACACGCGCTAAGAAAAATTGTGTCGGGGCGATTCGGGACATGCTCTTTTTGCCGCAAGGGAACAAAGATATCAGCATGGGGTTGGGGCCATTGGGGCAAGTTGGGGCCATTGGGGCAAGTTGGAGCCAGTTGGAGGCAGCTGGGACCACAGTTTGAACCAGCAATGAACCACTAATGTTACAGCAAAATGTCTCAATTTACAACAGATTTACGGGTTTAACAGCCCAAGGTATGTACCAAGGTCCAATACGTCCAATACAACAAAATTGGCGATTCAACTCCAACGATATCCATTTATAGTCTGATTGTATGCCAAAAAAAAAGGATGCGGGTAAGCCGAGATACCGTCGTATATGTCAAGAGTAACCGTACATAACGAGTACTGTAATGTTCATACTCTTTATGGACATTACAGTACTCGTTATGAAGGCCATTTTGATTTACTATTTTCTTATTATTTTTCCCAGCCGGAGCCCGAGTCATGAGCAACGTGTTCCCTGTTGTTGCAACCAAGGTCACCAGGAAAAGAAACAACCGATCCGAGGTTGTAGGCTGTAGGCTGTCAGTCACGTGCGATGCGGCAATTAAGGAGCCGTCGGGAAGGGGATTTCTCTTCTCCATAGCATACCTGGACGGATCCAAATGGATCCAAATTAATTTCTTGACTGTGCTCCCTACATGGATAGATAACTCTAGTCCGACTCCGTACATTGCTCCAGACCCCCACCCCAATAAGGGGAAATTCTGGAAATACTGGAAATACTGGAAATACTGAAATACTACCACTAACCCCTCCCTCCCCATCTCGTTTTCGTCCGTCGTCCCCATAAATTATTTTTTCTGTTGGCGGTTATCGGCACGTGATCAGTTATCAAACGTCCAGATCCAGCTAGACGTGCTGTGCTGTACCGAGTACAACCATAGCAACCGCCGAAACCCCGCTAGGCCTCATTTGGCGCCTGTGTTTACTACACGGTTGAAGACTCCAGCATTGCGCGTAACCGAGTCAATGATGCACGATCATCGATATCACAGTCCACGTAATCGGGGTCTTCGGTGTAATTGTCACAGTGCATACGTCCACAATCCTCACATTCACAGATCTTCCGGATACCGATGGATCCAAACTACAAATTTCCGGCCTCGTCCGGGGCCCCGCTCAACCAGCCGCTCAACCAGGCTTCTCCTGACAGAGTCAACCAGCAACGATATGATGTAGATACCTCAGCGAGAGTGCGCCTGTTCGACCAGGAGCAAAGTCACTCGAGGGACAGCACCGTGCACGAGAAAGCGGCAAAGTTCGACACTTTGGCCTTCCAAGGGAAGGCGCTGGAACGGAGAACAAACGATGCGGCGCTCAAGCGCGCAATGTTGGGACGGGAGGAGGCGGAATCAGAGATGCGCCGCTACAGAGATGAGGCACGGTCATTAAGGAAGGAAGTTCAAGAGGGTAAAGATAGGGAGAGGAAAGTGGGAGTAAGGCTGGAAAATGTCATGGTAAGGTTCAATGCCACGGAAGCTAAATATGAAGCTAATTGTTTAGGAAAACTATGGTAGAGCAAAAGAGACACACGGCCACACGCAAGCATTATGGGAGAAGGAAATCAGGAGGACACGAAAGGATACCTTTAAATCACAATCTGTTGTCGTCAAACTTCAAGAAGAACTCAAAGCTGTGCGCACACAACTGAGGAAATCACAATCGGATATGGACGATGAAAAAGAGCGTAGTAATAAGAGGGAACAAGAGGCGTTCGAGGCGCGATATCAACTGGTGGGATTCCAAGAGGAGTTTGCAGGAATGGTGGAAAAAATGAAGTTGGTGGAGCAAGAACGGGATGCGCTGAGGACTATCGCAAAGAATGAGGAGGTAGCGAGGATAGCCGCCGAGGGACAACTTCCCTTGCCAAAGCTGAGCGAAGACGACGAGTTTGCGTCTCCAAGAAAGGCGACCGCTCCTCTGCGGAGAGTGTCTGTCATGTCTTCTCTTGCAAGCGAAGACGAAATCGAGAACCTCAAGCGGGCTCTGGAGTGGGAACATCATAGGGCTGACCGAGCCTTTGACCAGGTGGAGTTTATGGAAGTGGAGTGCCGTTTAAACTGCTGCTCATGCAAAGTCTCCGAGAGGACGAGCATTCCATTGCCCGCCTTCTCTCCGAAGGCAATGCGAACAGCCGGACTAGACACGACAAGAGAAGAACTTATCAAACCTGAGGAAGTAACAGAGGACGAGGTCCAACCTGAAGAATCCGATATAGGCCGCGCAAACGAGGCGCTTCAGCGCACATTATTTATCCCCGCAGAAGGAATATTCCGCACTGTCTCACCTCCGCCGCAAGAATCTCCTTGGATCTCTCCTCCGAAGCAGTACCAGCCATCGAGGGCCGAGCCTCTCATCAACTTCTCCAACACCCCCAATCGCCCCTCATTCCACGCCAGAACCCCTTCATGCGAACCACCCAGCGCTGCTATCCTCCCCGAAGGCACATCTCCCATGTCGCTTCTCGATGCACCACCCAGCCCCGCCGAGAGCGAGGCAACCATCATTTATCGCCAGAGTCCACAGCGCATGAGTGAGGCGCCCCAAGAGGTGCCATCTTACCGTAACCACGGAAGGAACGAGTCCTTGGACCCATCACATTCTGCAAGCCCAAGGTTCTCACACAGCAGGCAACAATCTACGGATCGCGTGGCTCTCACCAAGAAGTTCTCCTCGCATCTTAACAACGCCATCAACCCAACTGTTGAATCATCGAGCCCAGCCCCAATCCCACCAACTCACATCCACGAAGAGCACTCCGAGCCAATCTTCCACACAACCTCAACCACAACTAGAGTCCCTCTAGCACTACCATCCGATTCGGATTCCACACCGATCGAGCGCCCCTCTTCCACCCCCGCCGTCTCATCCTCCCTCGACCCGGCGCTAAGCCCCACGATGTCCAGAGAGGAAGCGCTGGCTATGATACGCGAACGCAGAGGTCGGGCAAGGAGCATGCACCAGACGCAAGTGAGCAAGTTGATGACTCCGAAGAAGGGTCGTGAGGTGTCCGCGCCCTTGAGCTCGGGAATGGCGACGGCGCCTCGGAGCGCACGGAGTATGTCAAGGGGACGGATGAACAGGGCTTGAAGCAATGACTCAGGAATATGACTGCAGTATGGAATTACGAATGCTAGAGAGGCGCGAATATCGGTTGGTCTGGATTTTCTGGGACGAACCGGAACGTGGGGGACGGGGTTTGGGGGCGAAATGGAGAGGGAAGAGAGGATTTGAATTGAGTACCTGTTTGTTTCTATAAGCAGCGCCGCATAGCACTCGGTGTACGGTGTTGTCAAAAACGGTCATATGGTGTTTGGTGGTTGCTTGCTTTTTTTTTCGGAGTAGTTAGCTTTTTATCATTTTCGATCTGGGGCGTCTAACGCCGTTCTCGTTGAGGGAAGGGCGCATAAGGGGAGCTCTGTAGATAATTAGTCGCCTTAATAACTATGATGTTTTTTATTTGGTGTTTTTTGTGTCATTGGATCTTTTTTTGAGTTACTAAAACGGAAAGTTACGAGGGGCGGAGCTAGAGAGAAGACCGATAATTCCATATTATCGTGACTCCGAAGGAATTAAACCTAATATAAAACGGGTGTCTATTAAAGTCCGAATTTATAAGTGGTTCGGTCTAGACTCGACATCTTGGTAATAATAGATTTAAGAAGTATATGTTATCACAATGTCAGACAACAAACCCACCTTCCACCACCTCAACGTGCGCTCCCCCACCACCCCTCCCCTCAACTTACTAACCCCGCCATAGAACTCTCAATCCCAGCGCATTTTCTGGCTCCTCGAAGAGTTCGGCATAGAATACAACCTCGTCCTGCACACCCGCAACCCCCCCACCGACCCCACCGCCCCCTTCCAGTCCCCGCCCGCCCTCGTCGCCGCCTCCCCCCACGGCACAGCACCCCTCCTCATCACCGGCCCAAAAGATGGAAACCGCGCCATCCCCGAATCCCTCGCCATCGCTACATACCTAATCCGTACCTTCGACACTGGGGATCGCTTCGGGCTGAGGGATGGAGACTGGGTGAGAGACGAGGTTATCACCTCCATGGCGTGCACGAATCTGCAGAGGGCGACGGGGTTTATTATGATGCTTGATTTCGGGCTGATACGCAACGGGGAGGGCCCCATGGGCGGCGTAGATGGCCCGGAGTTGCGGATGCAGTTGGGGAATTTGGACAGGAAGTTGGTGGGGGGGGCGGAGGGGGGGTTCTTTATGGGGAGAGGCCGGGGAGGGCGGATGTGGTTTTGGAGTTTCCGATGACGATGGTGAGGCATAGGGGTATTTGGATTTGGGGGAGGAGTTTCCGAGTCTGGATGAGTGGTTGCAGAGGTGTTATGATACGCCGGCGTATAAGAGGGCGTTGGAATGGGTATGATATGAGTGTTCCCTAAGGTGCCGAGGTGAGGAGATGTAGGGGATGTGGAGGTGGGGGGTTGCGATAAACGCTACTCACTATATATATTGTATATTATAGCCGTATGGAAACCCTGTGGCCCATATCTTCTCTCGATACAGGGGCAGGGGCTTCTCATAGCTGACTTCTGGGATATGAGAAGTCTTCAGTTTCCAAAGCCTAACTCCACAGGAGATAGTAAGACCTTACTGCCCTTTTGGTTCCTTGGTGCATGTTAGAAGGGAACTCAAAACATTCACAAGCAAGCAGAACCAATATTCTCAGAATGGTACAGGTACTAAGTATGTTTGTTTCATGAGTGTAGCATTCAAATGAGCAATCTACGTGACATTTTGCATCCTTGCATAGCCCCATAAAGACAAAGCTCGAAAACATGCAAACCCATCCGTTCCACTCCATCCATGCCCAGGAAAACGCAGACACAATTTATCTGTTGGACTTGGCAACACGCTCCAACTCGTCTTTCTTCTTGATGGCGTACGAGTTGCTGCTTCCCTTGGCAGCGTTGATCAGCTCCTCAGCCAAGCACTCAGCGACGGACTTGATGTTGCGGAAAGAGGCCTCGCGGGCACCGATTGTGAGGAGAGCGATGGCCTGGTTGACACGGCGGAGAGGGGAGACATCGACGGCTTGACGACGGACGGTACCGGCGGATCCGATACGGGTGGAGTCCTCGCGAGGTCCGCAGTTGACGATGGCATCGACGGTGACTTGGATGGGGTTCTGGTCGGTCATGATGTGGACCTGGAAATTGTTAGTGGACGGTGGTTGGCAGCATGTTGCAGTTGGGCACGTACGATCTCAAAGGCGTGGGCGACGATGCGGACAGCCATGAGCTTCTTTCCGTTGTTGCGGCCGTTCATCATGAGAGAGTTGGTGAGACGCTCGATGATCGGGCATTGTGCCTTCCTGAAGCGCTTTGCGGCGTAACGGCCAGCGGAGTGGGAGATGTAGACTGGGGCACGGATCTGGATGTAATCGCTGTAGAGTTATATGTTAGCCGTTGTTCTCACGGTTCCTTCTTGTTCTGGCCCGGAATGGCTCTTTCTTATTGTGCGTGCGCCGCTGTCCAACTCTCCAAACCAAGTCGCGGAATAGGGATTCTTACGTCAAAGAGATATCGCGGACCTCAACCTCATCGTAAGCCTGTAAATATACCGTCAGCCCCATTGTTCCTCGCGCCTGGAATTCGACTCGATAAAGTCGTCGGGTTTACGAACCCACTTGTTGAACAGCTTGATGCTGCCAATCTCAGCGGTAACATCCTTGGGCAGGACCTGGTAGCCCTGGATGGCCTCAACTTCGATTTCTCCGCTGTCAGACATGATTGCGATTGTCGATGTCGATGTCGGATGGATTGGTGAAGAAATTGAGCGTCGGCCTCGTCGTTAATTCTGTTGCTCAATTCGCGAAAATGCTTACCGAGTTGTGTGCGCTAACGTCTGTTGGAGCTAGGCAGAATTTAGTCTAGGGCCGGTCGGTCCACCCAGCAAACCCTAAGATTTTGCACACCTCAAACCACTCTGGATTGCGAGAATCCATCCGACATCACCACACACGACAACAAAATGGTGAGTTTGGATTCCCTTCAAAATATGTTGGCGATACAATTATTTTCGACGTCTGGCTACGCATATTTGATTCGAACGACGCTCTGGCGGCATTTCTGGACGCACCAACCCCTCGCCACTCGCACATACCGTCAACGCCCGAGTCGATAAAGGTTCGCTCAAACGAACGACTGAGGCTCTGACTATGTGACTTCCGCACTTGAAAGAGGGAAAAAAATTCTTCTGCATCGGATGGGTAGGAGTTTCTGTCCGCATCGACTTGGCAACAAGAAATCTCGAATTCCCAGCGCGCCAATCCATATCAGCAACCCGGCAAAGACCGTCGCTTCAATATGCACATCCCCTCTCACGAAAGGCACGAACTCTGCGACAGACAACTACCAGGCTCGCTCTCGCCTCAAATATGCTAGCCAGACGTCGAATAGCCGCACGCATTAATTACCACATACTAACCTGTTATGATAGGCTCCAGCAAACACCGGACCCAAGAAGGCTAAGAAGAAGTGGTCGAAGGGAAAGGGTGCGTGAACTTCCACTCTGCTCCTCTGCGCTGCGATACAGTCCCACCGTAGGAGCTGTTGTATGAAAGCCCATCACTGACTGAATCGCATTATAGTCAAGGACAAGGCCCAACACGCCGTCCTCCTCGACAAGGCCACCTCTGACAAGCTTTACAAAGATGTCCAGACCTACCGCCTGATCACCGTCGCGGTCCTGGTCGACAGAATGAAGATCAACGGCTCCGTTGCTCGCAGATGTTTGGCCGACCTGGAGGAGAAGGGCATCATCAAGAAGGTTGTCTCGCACAGTGCACTGAGCATTTACAGTACGTTCATTAAAGAAACCCCTTAAAACATAAAAGCAACAAGCCTAACATCTCACTAGCTCGTGCGATCACTGCCGACGAGTAAAGGATTCTTTTTGAGATTGGTATCTGGTGTTACACGACGTTATGAACCCTATCCTACAATATCGACTACGGTCAGAGTTAGTAGAGGGGCATGATAAGGGAAGGCATTTGCTGGGTCTTTCGGAACTCTCTTCGGTGTAGCATATCCAATGACATGGGATTCTGGACGACAGTTTTTTCTTGATTACCTGTGACTCGTATATGCAAATTTTTTATGACTTAAAGCGCCGAAGAACCATGACAGTGTACTATAATTGTAGATACTGTGAACCTTCCAAAGTGTAGCGTCACACACGATATTCTTTTAAGAGCTCGACCCGTTTTCGAAACTGGTGGTGGCTGATTATAGCACCGATAAGGCTTGGTACTTCTTGAAACTACCAGCGCCTCGGATATAAAATGGTATGGGGACCGTCATCATACGTTTACCACCGTATGCAATACAGACCAATGGCCTCAATCTATTTACAAATGGTCTTCTGAACTTATATTAATATCCAGAACGCAATACATAGGCCAATTGGATGTGGGTTATGAGTTCAGCCAGGGCCGTGAACGTTTAATAGTTAGAGATCTTTAGATAGCTTCTTGCTATCTGTCCTCATTATCCTCTGTTCCCTGTATTTATATCCTTGAAGAACGTCTTGAGTCTGAATCACCCCAAGTTACCGCAAGCTCCGGCGACTATCGTCATAATGTCAGAAGTTCGGCAACGAAGCACCAGGTCAAAGGCTGAAGAAAAGGACATCTCGTCCGCTCCAGCTGTGGCCTCGCTGGTGAAAGAAGAAGATCGTTCAAAGATCACTGTCCTTGAGGTTCTACGGACTATAACATTGCTTCTCCTCCTCTCCGGCCTTGCCAGCTGGTTCGTAACCCGCGACAATGCGGTCTGGGGCCTCAAACGACCCCGCGCAACATATATATCCTACTGGCAGTCAATGCTAGTTAGTACCCCGACGCGGCTCCATTGAATGCATTGATACTAAGACCACTTCCCAGGCTGCACCAGTCCTCCTCACAGATGCCGAGCTCGGAGAATATGATGGTAGCGATCCCACCAAGCCCATCTACCTAGCCGTCAACGGCACAATCTACGATGTGACCGACGGCCGCCGCTTCTACGGCCCAGGCGGCTCGTACCACCAACTCGGCGGCGCCGACTGCTCGCGAGCCCTGGTGACCACCTGCTTCAACAGCGATATCAGTCCCGATATGCGGGGCGTAGAAGAGATGTTCCTTCCCAAGAGCACGCCGCAAGTGGATGCTCAGTATACCACAGAGGAGATGGCAGCCCTACAAGAGGAAGAGCTCAAGATTGCAAAGGAGAAGGCGTATAAGGCCCTGAAGCACTGGGCGGATTTCTTTGCCAATCACAAGAAGTACACGAAGGTTGGAACGGTTAAGAGGGAGAAGGGCTGGGAGACGAAGGGTGAGGTGCCGGTGCTCTGCCAGAATGCGAATAATGCGAGGCCGTTTAGGAAGCCGCCCGTGAAGAGCACATGATAGGTACAAATATATGTTTTATCACACGTATAATAATGTTGGTGATGAGGGGCATTGGTGCAACAGGCTTTCATGAAAGAGGATTTTGATCAAGGGGGTATTTTCTGGTAAATGCTTGAGCACCCGCCTCGTGTATTCAAAACTATATGCATGGTATCTCAGATATCTCCAGTGTTTTGATTCGTCTCCTTGTATCCCCTTGTCTCTTCCCCAAGCTTCTCCAACGCCACTTCATACTCTTGTTTCTGATCCTCCGAGAACACATCCTTTGCAGAAATTGTAATTCTCTCAACCTTCGTTTTCCTTTTGACCCCTCCACTCCTGGCGATGTCATTCCAGAACCACCTTCCCTCAGTTGCTGAAAACAATGTAGTTGCTGCACCCTCCTTGCCTGCACGCGCTGTTCTTCCAACTCTGTGTACATAGCTCGTGATACTTGTCGGCATATCGTAGTTTACCACATGTGCCAAGTTGGGTAGATCTAGACCTCTGGCGACAAGGTCGGATGCTATGAGGACGGAAAGGGCGCCGCTACGGAAGGAGCGTAGTGTGCGCTTTCGTGATGTTGTAGAAGTAATGGCTCCGATTTCAGAGGCGCGAGATGGAACAAGAAGAGCTAATAGGCGGAATAGCCGAACAGCGCTTTCGTTGGATTTGGTGAAGATAAGAACGCCATGAGGCTTGACAAGCTTGATGTTACCTGCCGGCTTTTTCGCTGGGAGCTTCTTAGAAGGCACTGAAGTTGTTGATGAGGCATCGCTGGACGATGAAGAGTCATCGTCTGAAGAATCATCAGAAGAAGAATCGTCACCGGGCGAACTCGAATCGGAGTCCGACGAGGATCTAGAAGAAGAGGTATCATCATCGGAGTCATCGTCTGAAGTATCGCTGTCTGAACCTGAGCTGGATGTAGAGTCTGAGTCGTCCTGGGGCAAACTCTTTGGCGCAAGTAAACCATTCCTCTTGAGAACTTCAAGCAAATAGAGCGGCTTCAATCCTTCTTGATCAATCTTTATGGCAGATTCGTGGAGCGTGTGCGGCAAGTTCAGAGTGTCCACTTGCCCTTCCCCAGCCCCCATACCCTCATTGCCCTCGAGGACGACAAATTTAGGCTTATTAAGCTTCAGTTGTGACAAAAGACCAATGTCTCGCGTCATTGTAGCACTTAGCACGACCTTAGTTATTCTGTCCTTGGACCTCAGCTGACTGGGTGCAGCCGTTTCACGAGAGGTAAGACTGGCCATTACCGTCTCAAGCCATTGTTGGAAGCTTTGATCAAGCAACTTGTCTGCCTCATCGATAACTAGCCATTTTAGGTGCTCGAGCGTAAAGCCAGGAGTAGACTTCAAATGCTCAACCAATCGACCGGGCGTGCAAATCATGATGTCCACCTTAGGACTGTATTGAACAATGTGATCGATAGGCGTCGAAATATCCTCCTCCATAAGAAGATTTGCGACTTCATCTCCGACTGACGACCCACTCCACGCAGCGTTTATGCGTTCTTGGCGTGCACGGTATTCTTTGGGATCATAAACAAAGTCCTGCTTCATCAGAGATGATTGCTCTTGCCTCAGTGTCTGGTTGCCAATGGCTACACCGACATTAATATGTCTTCTGCTCCCAGTGCCATAAGCATTGGCACACATATCTGATACCTCCCGGGCTTGGGTGACGAGCTCTCTCGTGGGCATTACTATCAGACCTCTCAATTGAGTAACCATAGTCTGACTGATGTCCTCCACCATTGGCAAAACATATGCAAGTGTTTTTCCTGATCCAGTTGCGGCTGATACGAGGACATCTCCTGGCTGCTTCTGGGGCCCTGGAAGAAGAAGTGAAAGTACAGCAGCCTGAACTGCAAATGCACTTGGAATCCCTGATTTTTTGAGCGACTCAATAACTGCACTAGGAAGGCCGAGGTCTTCGAACTGTGCTGTAGCGGTAGGCGCGACGGATATCGGACTTCCAAGCCAAGAAGGCAAAGCTGAGTATATTGAGATGGGGGGAGCTTCTGGCACGGGCTCTGGCTGTGGGAGAGGTTCGAGGGCATGAAGCTCGACCTCGGCCTCTTGCGGCTTTTCAGCATCTTCCATCTCAACATCCTCCCCACTTTCGAGTGCTCTCTGCTTTTCCTTTCGAGCAATCTTCTCGGCCTTCTTCAAAGATTTCGCCCTTTTTGCCAAGACTGATCTATGCTTTACATCCCCTTCTTCACCTTCCCGGTATGATTCATCTGTATCTTCCTTTTCTGCCTTCTTTTTAGGCCTTTTTGGCGCTTTTTTCTCCTTCGGCTTGACTTCAACCGGTTTCTCACCTGCGACGGGTGCCGTCTGCAGCTGCGGTCTCTCCTCTACTTCTAGTCCCTGCTCTAATGCTCTCTGATGTGCTCTTCGCGCAATCTTGGCTGCCCTCTTCTCTTCTTTACTCTCATATTGGGCGGTATTGGATTGCGGCGGCGGCGGTGGTCGTTGCGCTAGTTTCAAATCTTTTGGGACATATGGTGACTTTTTGGCTTTTTTGAAATTTGCCGCAGATTCATTTCGGCCTCCGGTTGAATCTTCATGTTTTCTTTTGGGCGCAGTTTTTGGTTGCTGGGCCGGGGCAATGTTCGCCCTGGAAGGATGGATATATGGTTGCGGCGGGCGTTGTTGTGACGGTTGAGGTGGAGTTGGCTGTGGTTGCGGTACAACTACATTTGGAACTATGGTACGCTCCGTAGTCACCTTCTTCTTCGGAGGCACATATCGAGCATATAGTGAAGAGGACATTGCAGCAATTGTTGTAGCCTGTTTGAACCGCTGTCGCTCTTGTTCGCGATCTGGAAGGAACTTTTTCGGAAATAGTCGTTATCGGCCCTATCGGCTTTATCGAGCGCTGCATGCTGATTCGCTGGGCAGTACCTTAATTCTACAATGCGATGCAGCCGACGGGGTCGCAGAGTCTCTCAGGGATAACAATCAACATCTTGCGACTTCTTTGGGAGACTCCTTAACGCCAACTATGCGGTATCACTAGACTCGAGGAGCTGCCTGGTTCACCAGCGGGCTTCTGATCCCGTCAACCTTCACGATGGGTTATAACATTGCTATGGCTTGCGATTTCTTCTTTCCGCAACCAGGAGGAATTGAAAGCCATATTTACCAACTTTCGACAAAGTTAATCGATCGTGGCCACAAGGTTATCATTATAACGCATGCCTATGAAGGTAGAACTGGCGTGCGCTACCTCACGAATGGGCTGAAAGTCTACCATGTGCCTTTCTTCGTTATATACCGAGCCACAACGTTTCCGACGGTCTTTTCGTTCTTCCCAACCTTCAGAAACATCATTATCAGGGAGCAGATTGAAATCATACATGGCCATGCGAGTTTGAGTAGTTTTTGCCACGAGGCAATTCTGCATGCGAGGACTATGGGGCTTCGGACAGTGTTTACGGATCATTCACTTTTTGGGTTTGCGGATGCAGCGAGTATCCTGACAAACAAATTGCTGAAGTTCACCTTGAGTGATGTTGACCATGTTATTTGTGTTAGCCATACCTGGTAGGTCTATACGAAACCCCTGAAAGCGCATCGGCGATACTGACATTACACAGTAAAGAGAACACAGTTTTAAGAGCGTCGCTTGACCCTTTGATGGTCTCAGTCATACCAAACGCCGTTGTAGCCGAAAACTTTCGACCTTTGTCACATCCAGCATACTCGAATGGACCTGATAACCAGTTACAAAATTTTAATGCCCAGGCAGCTACTCCCCTGCCTCATTATCTGGGGCCGAACGATACCATTACAATAGCTGTTATATCGAGGTTATTTTATAACAAGGGGACTGATCTGCTTATTGCAGCTATCCCGCGGATACTCGCAGCCCACCCAAATGTAAGGTTTATCATTGCAGGTTCAGGGCCCAAAGCCATAGACCTCGAGCAAATGCTGGAAAGGAATGTCCTCCAGGACCGCGTTGAATTGCTTGGGCCAGTGCGACACGAAGAGGTCCGAGATGTTATGGTGCGAGGACATATTTACCTCCACCCAAGTTTAACAGAGGCATTTGGAACCGTGATTGTGGAAGCTGCGAGTTGTGGTCTTTACGTTGTTTGCACCCAAGTTGGTGGTATTCCGGAAGTCTTGCCAGCACATATGACCGTGTTCGCAAAGCCGGAAGAGGATGATTTGGTGGCCGCAACGGGCAAAGCCATCGCTGCTCTACGTGCAAACAAGGTTCGAACGGAGCGCTTTCATGACCAAGTGAAGATGATGTATTCTTGGATAGACGTTGCCCGTCGAACAGAAAGAGTCTACGATGGAATATCGGGCGTTCTTAGCGAGGCAGAATTCTACGGATATGACGCCGCCAACGCTGCGAGTTGGAGCGCTACGAGGGGCCGTGCGGGTGTGCAAAGTTTCGCTCTCATTGACCGACTAAAGAGATATTACGGTTGCGGCATCTGGGCAGGGAAGCTCTTTTGCTTATGTATGGTTATCGATTATTTGATCTTCCTTGTTCTCGAAATCTTGGCTCCGAGAGAAAACATCGATATTGCGAGGAATTGGCCAGGGAAGACGATTAATACGTCGGAGAGGGAACGAGAGAAGAAAGATAGTATCGGATGAACTATTGGCCAGGAAGATCCATTTAGCAGTCATGCCGAGAGATGAAGCTATGGTCATGACCTGAAATACCATTGGGTGCGAAGTTTGGGAAATGATATTCCAGATGGATCAAATAGCTTTCGGCACACATTCGAACCACTCCTAAGACTCCGTTACATACGTGGTGAAGCTCGAATGACGACTGCGAAAATTGCGCCGAGGCTAAACGCGGAATCCTGTGAAGGGGATATGTTTGGATTCCAAACGACAAGAATCCAAATTAGCCTCGTCCGAGAATAATATACAATTCGGGGCCTGTCTTATTCCAACACCCAATACACCAGTGAGGCTGTTGGAAGACGGCTGATGGCCGACTTGCGGTATCAAGGAAGTCTATTTGGTTTGGAAAAGCGAGGACATAGATGACAGCACGTAGGAAAATGAATGTTAACTTCGGTTGACTTTATTCACCACAATAACTCCTACTCGTGAGGTCGTGGCTGAAAGCAAGCTTAACCTAATTACTGCCTAAGAAAATATAATAAAGTCACATTTAAACCCAAGTCGTCATTTACCATGATTATTTCGAACACGTCATCAATTTCAATTCAGGCACTTATAAACCCGTGCTGTTGGTCACATTACCATATGTCCGATGAGACACGGTATTCTATGCGATTGCCAGCAATGGAGATTAGCTGGGCTGATCTCAAGAAATAGAAAAGTTGTCAACTTAGACTGGGGTTGCGTAGTCCCGAGCCAGGTACTGAGCGAACTGCATTTAGCCTGGGCAACTGCCGAGCTTGGAGAGGGTTACATGCGTCGTCATTATGTTATTTGCTTAAGTTGTTGGGTGCTCCATGCCTCCTCTTGATCTTCATCGGGATATCTTATTGTGGCTTCAGCTAAAATCCAAGTGATCGGCACTAGGCTATTTTTTTCTCTTGAGGGGATGTGGGGTAGCCAAATATGATTGAGACTAACGATGGCAGCTTCTCATATGGACGAAACAGGAGCAGGCCCTGTGTAGTTCCGCTTGTCCAGTGTGATGAAAAATACGGATAAATAGAAAGGTATATATGGGAGACGATCTCGCAAATTGTTGGTACATAGAGAAATTTTATCACCGTTATCATATCTCATCCCACCAGTCAGAATGCATTACTCTTTCGTCGCCGCCGCTCTCCTGGCACCACTGGCACTTGCTGCCCCACATGAGAAGACTCTCCTTAGCCGCCAGGAGGCCGCTACCAGCCTGAACGAAGTCTTTGTTGGCCACGGAAAGAAGTATTTCGGTGTTGCCACAGACCAGGGCTGCCTCAATGCCGACAAGAACGCTGCTATCATCCAGGCCGACTTCGGACTGGTAACGCCAGAGAACAGCGGAAAGTGGGATACGATCGAGTGTACATATCCAATTTCAAGAGATTATAGAATTGGGCGCTGATTATAGCAGCATCCCAGGGAAACTTCAACTTTGCAGGACTCGATTATCTCGTCGATTGGGCCACGACCAACGGCAAGTTCGCGGACACACCACCGTGTGGCACAGTCAGCTTCCGGGATGGGTTTCAGCCATCACTTACAAAGCGACCCTGACTTCGGTCATTCAGAACCACGTCAGCACTGAGATCGGACGGTATAAAGGCAAGATCTACGCCTGGGATGTTGTCAATGAGATCTTCGACGAGGACGGACTTAGATCTTCTGTCTTCTCCAACGTCCTCGGCGAGGACTTTGTGCGCATCGCCTTCGAGGCCGCAGGTGCCGCTGACCCGAACGCGAAGCTCTACATAAACGACTACAAGTAAGTTTTCCCATCTGATACGAGGTCTACTCGTGATGCTAACGGAGGAACAACCTTGACCAGGCGAACTACGCCAAGACCCAGGGCATGATCACCTATGTCAACAAGTGGGTCGCTGCTGGCGTACCCATTGATGGTATCGGATCCCAAGGCCATCTTACTACTGGCCTTGGCTCCAGTGCGGAAGCCGCTCTTACTGCTCTTGCTGGATCCAGCGTTTCTGAGATTGCAGTTACTGAGCTTGATATTGTTAATGCTGGAGAACCAGACTACGTCGCTGTAACTTCACTCTTATATCTATGCTTTACTGAGAGTGACAGCTAAGGCAGACTAGGTTGCCAAGGCTTGCCTGAACATTGAGAAGTGTGTAGGAATCACTGTTTGGGGTGTTAGCGACAAGGGCTCGTGGAGGGCGAGCTCCAACCCGCTGCTCTTTGACTGAACGAAAAGAATTGGCTTAGCTTTGCACATATTTATCTCTTCCAATGTATATTTTGATTCTTTGCCATATTGAACATAATTAAGCCATGATATACATATTCTTAAGTTTCTATATAATATGACTATCATAGTTCGTAGATATTTAGAAGTCCCGTTTATAGCACAGTTGCTGTGGACGATCCCTTCTCACACAGACGCTCTACTCATGATCACTGTCTATAGTAAGAGCCCGATAGGCACGGTTCCTCTTCAGACTCATGAGCCGCACGAGTAGTTGTCACCGCGTAATTGCTGCAAATCAAGGTTGCTCATAATGGGAACTTAACCCCCTGTTAATACATGGCGGCCGATCTGTCGACATGGAAATATATAACATAGAATCCGCCGAACTATCATCTCCCTTGATCCCTCTTCTGATCTACAAGATCACCAATGCTTAACCACCAGTAAATACTCATCCCAGGCCGCGATCTGCGCCCACACCTCCTTCCTCTGAACCCCCTCCAACAGCGCGATGCGCTCAATACTCGTCTTGCCATCAAAATACTTGGCCCACTTCAAGAAGCGCTTCTTATCCTTCTTAAGGCCGCCCATACCGCTACCATCAGCCCCAATGCCTCTAAACTTAGGTAGTGTCCCCAAAGCACCAACGGACTGTGCCAAGCTACTAGTAACAACTGCAGGTTTACCAACCGGTCCAGTTGCGGTAGTTGTGCTAGCTTTACTGGTCCCAGCGCCTTTGGATTCATCCTCCGGCCCGCCTCCGTCTACGCGCTTTGCGATAGCAGATAGGTACATAGAATCCACGTGCTCAGCCCTCATCGGATCTAGGATAAGCTGTGGCTGTATCCTCACTAAATGCTGCGCCGTATTCAGACTTGGGTTTTTCGTCGCCTCTGGTTTGGGTTTCGCATTGAAATCAGCAAGGTCCTGCGCCGACTTATCCCTGAGTCTCATTAAGCGTGCCTTCTCTGCGGTTGCCTCGGAACTTATTGGCGGCGTTGACGGTGCTGCCTGTGCATGCGGAGAAGTGGGCAGTGGTGTAGCTGCCGCGGTGCTAGAATCATCCTTGGGTTCTTCCATGGCTTCGGCATGGGCGTCTCGAATAGCGGCGCCGTCAAGGGCATGTTGTACTTCATATTTGATCTCCGGCCACGCGATAATCCAGGCGAAAGTACGGAGTTGAGTTGCCCAGCCGTGGCGAAGGAGGAAGGCAAGCATCGCAGTATATATTGGCCTATGTGTCTTGGTTGGTATGAAGGTTTTGTAGGGCCTCGGGGCATGGCTGAGAGCGCTCAAGAGGGTAGGTAAAGGCGGCGCGAGAGGAAATTTCTGTGACCAGAGGGCACAAAACTGAGGAAGAGACGCCATAGGGCAGTTAGGAGACAGGATGTAGGTATCTCGCGGATGGAGCGGAGGAACCGCAATGGCGCGACGGTGGTAGATGAGATGCTGGGCGAGAATGCGAATATCATTCAGAGAGATTGCATGTTGCTGTGCTGTTTGGTGGAATGATAGAGTAGGCCTCACGATCTTGAGGTATTCAAGTAGTGGCCCGGTGAGCTCTCCACCATCGCTTTGGATATCTGCAATGATTTTGTTCTCGTCATCGAGGAGTAGAAGAGCAAAGTGCTTGGAGAGAAGCAAGGTCTCGTCCTCATTTTCCTGGTCGCCAAAGAAGTTGGCAGTTGTGATCCACAAGCCCGGCATGGAAGGCTCGTCAAACTCGGGCAGCATTGACAAAAAGTATGGTTTGGGTATCTGAACAGATAGCCGCACGGGTGGATCGCTGAGCAGCTGGACGACAGCAATACTATTGTTGGATATTGATGTGTAGATGGTTTTCATCGTCTGCGCCAGAGAAGACTTCCGTAAAATAGTGTCCCACAGAGTGCTCATGGGACGGCGCTCTTCCCTTGCCTTCTCTTTCAAGTTCAGTATGCGCTCCGACTCCTTCCAGACGTAATTACTGTAGTTCTGAGCATATCTCAGGGCCTTGTTGATATCCTTCGCCACGTGTTCAAACATATCCGAAACCCTCATCGGCGCCTCTGTCGTCTTCGGATTCATAATAAACACCAAATTGAACATTGTCATCCCGCCATCATTAGTGTCGTCAGACGCGAAAGATGTCCCTTTCGGCTTCCTGACGTTTCTCGCCTCGTCCTCTGCCCCGGACCTCTCAGCCGGGCTTTCTGATATGGCCGTATCATCGGCAATAGACCCATTCTCCTGTCTCTCCTCTTCCTCCTTCCGCCTACGGCTCCTCTTCTCCCTCTTTTTCTTCTTCCATCGCCCATCCTCACGGATATGCATCGGATACGTCACAAACGTCAACGGATCAAGCGTCAACTCGAAACACCTCTTATGAAACGCCCTTGCCGGCGTCAAAATGCTCGCCAGATCCTTCGTATGGAACGCATCTAGATATTCCCAAGGCACCACATGCTGTCCATCCGGCAGCTCGAAATGGTCGTCTCCCTCCCACGGGTTCACGTGACGCGATTTTTTACCAAGCCCCAGCCCTTCGAGGCTGTTGTAGAGGGAGTAATCCCGATCATCGAGCTCATCATCTTCATCTGGTTCGATGTCATCGGCATCTTCTGGCGCGGTGGGGTCGAGCTCCGTGCCGTAGGGAGGCCGGATGGTACGTTCATTGGGCTTTAGACGTGGAGGGTAGTGGAAGATGAAGCGAGGACCGTCTTTGGAGCGCACTATCAATGCGACGCCTAACAGGCTCGAGCCTACACTCATGATTGAAGCGTGCTTCCGTCTACTGCATTTTGGCTGGACTTGGGATCTCAATGGGGGGTTGGAGAGGAAGTGTAACTGTTGTAAGCGCGCTGGTGGTTGCGTTCCTCGCCTAATTGGCTGATGATGCATGGCTCCAAAGCAAGTCATTTAAACTCTACCCAGAGGCTCCAAACTGCACATCTTATCTAACAGTTTGTGTGATCATGCAGAATGGAAGTCTCCAAGCATTTCAAAACTCTGTATGAAAGTGGAATAGGTATTATACAATATACCTTCCGGCAACTAGCTACGCTACCTGGTTGTTCCAACCAACACCCCTTGCTATGCTTTTTCAACGCCCTTCATGCTAATATCATACATATCTCACAACCTTACCCATATATCTCATACATATCTCACACTCCCCACCTCGCGCCACTCCGGTCGTATCTACCACAGAATTTCTTTCTTCTCCTCCTTCCCATCCCCCTTCTTATTGTCTTTGGGTGGTTCATCGGCGAACCCCAGGTTCTTAAATTCGTCTCTCGCCATCAGGTTGCTACATCGCTATCAGCTCATTGTCTCGAGCAGTATATTCGGTGTCTCATCAGGGGCGCATACTTGTCCATGCGGCATGTTAGGTACCACTTTGCCAGATTCCTGCATTCGGGGTCGTTCATGCCCTTGAGCCTCTTCATACACCCCAGGTACTTCTTCATGACGTCCTTGCACTCCCCTAGAAGGTAGCTGTTAGTATAATATCTTCCCTCCAACTCAACGAGTTGATTGTGAGACAGTGAGGTGACTTACCATCATGATCAAGAGGGAAGCTCCCACGCTCCGGACTACACGATCACTCAGTCCTCAACCCCAACTTCAACTAGCCAATCTATTCCGCGCACAGAGACTTACGGCGTAGGCCTCGTATTCATCTTCCCCCCACCAGGTGATCCAAAAGAACTCATTGCGTCGGTTGCTATCTCTCCCTCGTCGCCGATGCTGCGACTAAACTACCTATGGACTTCCGTATTTCAGCCGGAGTTACGTTTTTCCGCTCTGGGCGAAGAACGCCTTCTTCTTGGCTGCTTCTCGGTGACGAGGCAGCTTACGACTCACAAGTTTGTTCTTCGAATTTAGGAATGTAATTATCATGGTAACAGCAGGTTGAAAAGTGTCCGAAAGTCTCTCTTGGCGTAAAGAAATCCGTTCTGGCTGTAGGATTTGTATGGGCATGCGATCTCTGTCGGCTCAACATTCATCCGTTCCGGGTACTGGCTCATCGTCCAGAACATCCAGAACATCCAGCTTATCAATGACGGTTCCCCGCGTTTTTCGACGACGACGCTGCTGGAACCAACGACAGATTGAAAGGTGTCCTGAAGCATCTGTAAGCGTAATGAATATCCTGCAGGTAAAGGTAGTACTCACCGATAAAAGACAGAGGCACCAAGAACGAGGCGAAATGCACATCCGAGCGCTCGTTCTGCTCGAATTGCAGCACGATGCTGTGGAATTACGATGCCGAGTGGCCGGAGCTGATTCATCCTTTTGCGTCGGCGATTGATAAGGAGTTGCCGGTGCCGGAGGAGATGGTGTGTATTTTGGAGGGGAGCAAGCCGGAGTGGGTGCGGTGGCCGGAGGGGAAGAAGGTCGTGGTTAAGCAGTATCATCTTAGTTTGGAGAACTGGCATAGGGAGAAGGGGTTGTATGTTTGAGTAGAGGCAAACCGAAATTGCCCCGGCCTCGGATTGTTCTGTTTTTCAACGAAACGACGAGAATATTTATTTACATGCCCACACGTAGCAAATATATCAAACGCACGTACTTGCGTTCAACGTGGACATTTATTTTTCATCGCACCAAATGCAAGCAAGCCTGAATAATTTATACAACAGTACATATTACGCACACGTTGATTTTTATCTACTCTAAACCAATTTATTATTACACCAATAATCTATTACCGGGCGCCGAGCCATATATAACTTCCAGTTGAATCCTTTTCCTCGATTGGTCTCATCGTTCTGCGAAAACTGGGCCGCTTACAGCACAAGGGCCAATCCAGCAGCACCCAAGATACCAGCCATAGGCGCAGCGGTCCTCATGGCGCCTGCTTTGCTGGTGCCCGAGCTTCCGGCACCTCCAGTGGAGCTGGCTCCGGACTCGGTGGCGGACGACGACTCGCCGCTGGTAGAGGAGGACTCGGTGGCGGACGACGACTCGCTGCCGGTAGAGGAGGACTCGGTGGCGGACGATGATTCGCTGCCGGTGGAGGAGGATGCCTCGGAGCTGGCGGTAGACGAGGCTTCGCTGTTGGAGGAGGCGCCGGTCTCCTGGCTTGCTGAGGAGCCGCCGCCGGTGATGCTGCCGAGGGCGCTGCTGACTTCTCCGCCGGCTGCGGAGGTGATTCCTCCAATGATACTGGGATACGTTAGGATATTGCTGTGGGAGGTTGGTGAGGGGGGTGAGAACTTACTCCACACGCTTCTCTGGCTGCTGGAGACCTGGGGTTGCGATGGCAAGGCCGCTGAGGAGGGCGACGGCGAGGTATTGGAATTGCATTTTGAAGTGAGTGAAGGTTATTAAAGTTTTGAGGCGTGGAAAATGACGAGCAGTTGTGATATGTAGACAAAAAGACTTTTTGAACTTTTGAGATTCGTATGGGAAGAAGAGGACTGGAAAAGAGGACTCCACTCCTACCCTTATATTAAAACCATTCTTACTAATCTGTTGACAGCACTGTTATCATTATGATAGTATGACATATATCAAAGATACAATAGAGTATGATGTGATGCTGATTTGTCGTCATGTAGCCCTTGTAGGGCAATTTAGCTTAGTGAACGAATATCGTCCGACCAATCAACGAGCAAAACCTGTAGCAGATCCGCTATGTGGGCTGATGGTTTGGCAATTCAACATTGCTAAAGATGGTCTGTCGTTGCTTGTTTGCGGCTAAGAATGTTATGCATAGCAAGGTTCTTAGTGTCGGTACATGAGGAAAGTTGGAAATTGGATGCTGGGAACATGGGACAGTTTCACAAGCGCATAGATCACGTGATTAATAATTATGAAATCTACGTACAGTACACACTCCGTATCGTTGTTTTGGAAAACATGTGTGGCGTTGCAGGCGCGCAGATCACGTGATTGATAATTATGAAATCTACGTACAGTACTCCGTATCGTTGTTTTGGGAAAACATGTGTGGCGTTGCAGGCGCGCAGATCACGTGATTGATAATTATGAAATCTATCGTTGTTTTTGGAAACATGTATGGCGTTGCAGATGTGGCGTCGGTACGGGTTGTGGCTGTGTTTTACGGCGGCCCATGACGAAAGCGTCAGGAGGCTTGGGAGAGGTGGGATATTTTGATATTTTGTTCTGGAAAGGTCAGATATCTCCCCTGCTGCCAGACCAGCCACCAGACCAGCCGCGGACAGACCACAGACAGACCACAGACAGACCACAGACAGACCACAGACAGACCACAGACAGACCACAGACAGACCACAGACAGACCACAGACAGGCCACAGACAGACCACAGACAGACCACAGACAGGCCACAGACAGGCCACGGTGGCTGTGTCTTGGGGATATATATATATGTGAAGCGGTGGCTGTTGTCAGGCGCACACAATGCGGCACACCACCCATTGTCTGAGATGTCACGCCATAGCAGCCAGACACAGCCAGAGACAGCCTCGTCGTCTGGTACAAATCCTTTCACGTATATTGTCTGGGAAGGAGGAAGGATGATATTTGGCGCCTGCCTGACTTCTGACTTCTAGCGCCGTCGCGGCACTGCTAGAGCCGTCGATAGGCGCAAAAGCTAACTCACTCCCTGCCGACTTACCCCTCCAACCAACACCCCGCCTAGCCTGTAACCCTTCCCACACTGTAACAACTTTCTATCATCATCATCATCATCATCATCATCATCATCATCATCATCATCATCATCATCATCATCATCATCGCCACCTATACTTCAACTTCATTGCTATCTTAGCTTCTTGCCTTACACTCACTATCGCTCTTAGCTTCAACATACCCCGTGGTGCAATATAGATTTGGTTCTATAGTGAGCTCTACAATCTACTCATCGCACTGGGTTCAAAGCCTGGTTGCTACCCAAAGCTCGTTGCAAACTTCATCTCCAGGTGTTGACGCAGACGTTGTTCTGATATAACATATCCGTCGACATAATGTCAACCTACGACTCCTACGACACCGAAGCTCCACGGCGGCACCGATCCCACCGGCACCACCTCCGGGACGAGCGGGACGACCCTCGTTACGCCGAATCCACGGATACCTACGTCAGAGGCCCGGCTATTGTCGACCCACCATATGTCTCGTCGCGACAAGACTTGACACTTCGCGGACGAGAAGATAGCGACCTATCCATCGAAGAAGTCCCAAGAGCCTTTCCGCCGCCCGGCACGGATGATCGCTATGGCCCTCCTGCGCGATCCCGCTCAGTCGACCGACACCCCCAGTACGGCCAGTACCTCGGGGACACCAGACGCTCCGAGCGAGACGACGATCGCCGTTCGACGACTGAGAAGGGGAAGAAGGGTGTAAGGAGACGCCGCTCGCTGTCGCGCAACCAGAAGATCATGGCCGCTGTCGGCGGCGCTGCTTTGGCTGTTGGCGGCAAGGAGTTATGGGACTATCGCCAATCCAAGGCGCAGGGAGGCGAGCGCAAGGACCGGAACATACTCGCTACTGCTGCTGTTGGTGCGGCTGGCGCCTTCGCTGGCTTTGAGGGTGCGGATATCTACACGAAGAGGTTCGGCGACAAGAAGGAGAAAGAGGTCAAGGAGAAGCACGCTATCGCCTACGACAGGGATGGACACGCAATCGAGTACTACTCGGAGGAGGAAAAGGAGGAGAAGCCCAAGAAGAGCCGCAGAAAGTCCATCGTCGAAGGCGCCATGGGACTTGCTGGCTTGGGCGCAGCTGCAAAAGCGATGGGTGGCCATGATGACGACCGCAGCGACCGTGGTGACCGCAGCGACCGTGGTGACCGCAGCGACCGTGGTGACCGCAGCGACCGTGGTGACCGCGATGATCGTCGCAGACGTCACAGTAGCGAATCGAGCCGCGGAAGCCGTCGAACCAAGGGAGATGGCGAACGAGGCCGAGGCAAGTCACCCGAGGGTGTTGCTAAACTCCAGCAGGCTGCAAAGGCCGCTTTACTTGCTGGTGCAGCTGAGGCCTTCCGCGTTCGCAACGAGCCAGGGGGATGGAACGGTGCTAAAGGCAAGCGCATCTTGACGGCTGCCATCGGAGCTGGTAGTGTTGGTGCAGCCGCAGCTAGCGACAACCCAGAGCACAACAGCAAACGCCATCTCTTGGAAGCTGTGGTTGGCGGTTTGGCAGGTAACAGACTGATCAATGGAGCTCGAAGCGACGATGGCAAATCTTCCCATGGTGGGGGTGGCCGTCACCGCTCTCGTTCTAGATCGGCTATGCCACTCGCTGCTCTTGCTACTGCAGGCTTGGGAGCCATCGCCGCTAAGAAGCGTCACGACCGCTCGACATCCCGCTCTCGTGACGACCGACGAAGACGATCCGGCTCAGAAGACAGCCAAGATTCCCGCGACAGACGCCCCAAGCGCAGCAAGAGCGTCACCGACTACGCGCGAAAGGGCCTAGCAGCACTCGGTCTGAACGACGCCACAGACGACCGTTACGGTAGCAGTAGGAGGGACAGGGACCGTGACATGGACGACTCCCGCAGCGACGTGCGCAGCCACAAGTCATCATCTCGCCGCTACCGCGACGACCGGTACAGGGACCGGGACTTGGATTCCTCGGACGACGACTACGACCGCAACCGCCGCGACGACAGGCATCGGGACAGGGACTACGATGACCGGCGGAGTCACCGGGGTTCGGACGGCAGAAGCAGGCAAGTAGCCGAAGGCAAACAAGCGATATAGCGATTCTGACAGTCTTGGCTGCTCTGCAGATGATAACAAGAGGATCAAGAAGATGAAAGGTAAGCAATTTCTTACTGCTGGTCTTGCGACCGTGGCGACTATTCATGCCGCGCATAATATATATCAGGGCGTGGAGAAGCGGAAGGCGGGGCATAAGGCTGTGGCGGAGGGGGATATGACCCCGGAAGAGGTGAGGAAGGAGAAGGCGAAGGCGAGGATGCGGACGGCGGCTTCGGTTGGCATTGCTGGCCTCGGTATCAAGGGTGCTATCTCTGGTAAGTGAACTCTTCTCATTAACAGCTACTATTATTTGCTAACTCCTCGTGACCAGAATGGAAAGAAATAAGCGAAATGAGAGGAGAATACCGCAAAGCCCAAATCGAACGAGTAGAACGCCACCAAAAACGCCGCGATCGCGCTGCCATCCGCTCCAACCAAGGACGCAGCAGACGCGTCTCTCCCAGTCGCCGCATCGCAGATGCTCCTTACCAGTCGTCGTCGGATCTTTCTCCCCCGGATGCTAGGAATGGTCGTCAGCGCCTCTATATTGATGATGATCCCTATGCGCCGTACGCTCAGGACTTGCCTCCGCCTCCGGGGTATGATTCTCGGGATTCTCGGGATTCTCGCAGGGGATAGAGACCTTCTTTTGACACGACCATTACGACGTTATGACACTACAATACAATACACGCATTCTACTTTAGAAAGGAGTCAGGAACTCCAAGCAATGATACCCTAGCACACACACACACACACATTACATTACATTCCTCACGCCGCCGCCGCCACCCGCACCGCCAGCCTCCACAACGCCTTCCTGCCTGCCTCTACTCATTTTCATTTAACCAAACGGCGTCACCATGCATGCTTTTCTTCATCTCGTGTATGGAGTTCGTTCGTTCTTACCTTATCGCGAGAATACAAAACACTGATTTTCAACCCCCCTGTGATTAGCTCGACGCACTTGAGCGCAAAGCCAGCCCGAGTTTATACCTCTGTGCCTCTTGCGCCCCGACTTCTTTCCTGCCCTTCCGACACACCCCACCTGTGCAGGTGACCTGCAGCTCGACGCAGGCTTGTGCGGCTGGGATGTCGATTTTTACCAGCACGGTGAGCGTTACGACTGCGGATTTTAAGAGATTACGAATTACGAGCGGCGGATACCCACGAACGAATGATGGTTGGATGTGACGGATGCGATTGGGTTCGGGGGTTTTCTACTATTAAATACGTTTTTTATCTTTTCTTACTTAGTTCGTGTTATTTGCGCGATGTTTTTTTTATTTTATATTTGAGATTTCAGATCATTGCAGGGATAGAATGGACTCAACTCCTGGGTTCTTCATGTGTGTGGGAAGAGGGGTGGAGGAATAGGATAGGGATAGGATAGGGATGGGGTAGGGATGGGGTAGGGGGGGCAATGCCTGATGATTATATACTTTTAACGAGGAATGGATTTCGTATATTTGGTTCCTGGGTGTGAGATGTGTGGGTGGTGTATCTACCGACTTATGCTATGAACGAGAAGGGAGGTGTGCAAGATCCGTATACTACAATACTCGGATAGTTCATCAACACCATTTCCCAGTCACAAACTCCAAAAGGCACATCCGGCACACTATCAATATCAAAAAATTCTTAACATCCTCCATCCCCCCTCCTACCCCCCATCCCAAGTTTTCAGTCAATTTTCTATAATTACAGTAACAACAAAGTCCCAAACGAAGTTGATCATATTATTTCCCCCCTTCCCCCTTCCCCCTTCCCCTTTTCCCTCTGGTCCTCCACCCCTGTCCCCCACCGCCCCCGTAAACCCGCGAAATCCCAACGCTTCCCCCTCCCCTTCGCCCATGTCTATGCGTAGAGAAGAAAACCCCATCGAACATAAAAGTTGGAAAAGCGTAGACTCCAGTTGTGCAGGCAGTGCATTGATTGAGATCCTGATACGAAGGAGTTGGGTGGCGATGACTAGTTGGTCGAGGTTCCTTTATTTGGAATCCCGGACTTGCCCCTTGCTCCAAGGCTAAGTGCGATAAAGCGACCCCTCTGCCAGTCGTCGGCGTTCCCACAGCCATGAAGTAGAGCGGGCCTGGTATTCTTGGCACAAAAAGCACAATCGCAAGAAACCACCAAAAATCCACAAAAAAACCACAATCATCCCATTCGCAACAAAAGGATGTCCAAATACGTATTTTTTCCACAAACTCGCGCGCGGTGTATAACCCCCTCCACTGCAACGCCAGCAAGTGTTCGGACGTTGGGTGGGTTTGTGTTGTTGCAAAGACAAAAAGAAGTTTCAAATCTTGAGAAGAACGATGATGTCGTAGATACGAATTTTCCATAAGAAGCTAAGCCGGCTGTTTTCCCTCCTGCGCGATTTCCTGCATAGTTCGTTCGTGTGTGGTCGAGGCAGTTTCAGTTGTACACAAAATAAAATAAAAAGGGTGTTGGTTTGGTTTTTATTACTTGAAGAATTGTTGCGGTTGGTTATTCCGAGATTTTTGTAGAATGAGAAAAAAAAGAGAAGAGTGTGTGAGTGTTTTCCCGCTCCGAAAAGTTGTGGGCAAAAATGAAGTTTTTATGCGAGAGAGAGGCTCATTAAAGTAGGTATATCGGTGATGAAAAGTCCCGCGGGACGCTTGGTGATGTGGTGTGTAAACGGATATGTCGAGAATGAGAGGTATCTTATCATTCGTAGACTGTAGGTAGGGCCAAGATATCGAAGGTTGCAGAACGGAAGAGCGAGAGAGCGACGAGCGGACAGCGGCAAATTTTTACCTCTCCAACTCCTCCCTCAACACCGGATCCACAAACCCATCAACCTTCTTCCGACTCTTCATATCCAACGCTCCATTCCTCCACGCAGCCCTCAACTTCGCAAAAGCCGGCCTATCCCTCGCCCTATCCTCCTCCCTCACCAACTCGACATAATGCCTCGCAAACACCTCCGGCACCGTGCGCTTCTTGCTATTCAACACCTCATCATAAAACGTCACCAGGTGATTCATCCCAAACATCGCCCGGCGCGCGGAATCCTCGTACGCGCACCGCCGGAACTCCTCGTACATCTGCGGATTGAAGTTGCGGATCAGGAAGTGCGCCCAGAACTGGTACAGGACTTTCATGTCGTTGTCGACGTCGGCGGTGGGGGAGGAGGAGCGGTTTTGGAGAGCACGGCTGCGGATGGAGGTGTATGGCTCGCTGGTCTTGGATTCGTTGGGAGGGGTTGGGCCTTGTTGGCTCTTGAGCCACATGACGGGGGGGGCGTTGCCGAAGACGAGGCGCGTGGGGGACATGGTTGAGCTGGGGCTTAGGGAATTTCTTAGGCGTTCGGGAGAGCTGTGGTGGTGATTAGCAACTAGCACATAGCTATGGTGACACTGGCATAACTTACATTTCCGAACTCTCACCGTTGCCGCTTGTCAACGGGCGACCCTGGCGCTTCTCAGCCTCCTGGGCCTCCTCGATGATGAGCCGCGCATCAATCGAACCATTCGAGAATGTCCTCGAGTTCGCATTATAAGGAACCCTCTGCGGTGCCTCTCCAGATGCCTTCTGGCTGTACACGACAGTAAGGCTGCTAATCTCCTCATCCGAGAAGGTAGTAGGAACATCGACATAGTCCGCCGCATTGAACGCCGGCGCAGGCGCAAACTCTGGCACCGCAGCCGAGAGCGGGGAATCGTGAATGGGGGGAGGAACGAATACGTTCTCGCCGCCGTTCAGATTCGGCGACCCTGCAGCATAGGGAGCGAAGCTCTGGACACCGTTCGGGAACGGTGGCGGGGGTCCTCCTTGTGGGCCCTGAGGCATCATCCGCTGAGGCATCTGTCCGCGAGGATGGGATTGGCGGTAAAACCTCTCCGGGCCCTTGTTCCTCGCGGCGTCATCTCTCTCCTCGGTAGGAAGAACCCACTTCTCCCAGCCGTCGTTTCTCCTAAGCCTATCGACGCCATCGTCTCCGACGACAATCCCGATGACATCGGACTCCTGGCACGCGTAGCGCAGGAGCTCAAAGTCCTGGGTGAGGGACTGGATTCTCTTGAATCCTGCGATGAAGGACAGGAAGACAAAGCCTTGCGAATCCATGTGCTTCCTCAGGAAAACATCCTTGCACAGGTTGTCGATGGAGAAGTAGTACTCCAGCTGCATCGTGACCATAGCCATCACGGAATAAGGCTCCGCATATGGGTTGTACGACACAGCGCTCATGCTCTGCATTCCCGGGTAATCAAACATAGCACCATTGGTAGAAATCGGCGACATCATCGGAGGCCCATTCGGGTTCCCTGGATACCTCGGGTACATCGGTCCCGAATTCGGGTTAGACTGCGATCGCGGGGGAGGAACGCCACTGCGTCCACGCTGAGCCGGATGCGGGAAGCCACCCGCGAATGGCTGAGATGGGGGAGTAGGGCTGTATGGGCCATTTGGTCTCATGTTGTAGCCGTTAATTGGCTGCTGGACCTGGCCATTGCTGTAGGCCTGCTGAGGATGTTGCTGTTCGTTGGAGAAGTTGCCGTGGTTGCCACGGCCACGGTATCCGCCACGGCCGCGCTCAGAGCGACCCTCGCCGCGCTCACGCCCTTGGTGTCCGTTGGCGTCCTTCTGGAAGTCGCCGGCGCGGGCATTGAACTCGCTGCGCATGTCATAGCCGGCAGAGTGCGGGTGAGCATGCGAATCAGAGACGCCGTTTGGCTGCTCATTCTTCTGAGACCTCGCGCCATCGCTTGGGCCATTGGTAGGCTCTGTCTGTGTCGCGATGGACGATCGACGACCATTGGAAGATGCTGCGGCGTCGGCCTTTGCTGCCGTGGACTCGGTCTTCTTCTCAGCAGTTGGCGGCTTGCGCGCATCACGATACGAATCGCCTACAGACCTCTTGGAGGCGTTAGGTGGGAGAGACGTAGCACGACCACTGCCAGCGCTGTCTCTGCCACGCTCGCGGTTATCGGGGCCTGTATTCTCGGAAGAAACAGTCTTGTCTCCACCGGGCCCATCATTCGATGACTGGGCACCACGGCCACCGCCATCACGACCAGCAGGACGTCCCGCACGGCCTCTAGCTCCACGAGCTGGCAGCGGGGTGTTGAAAGTGACGGATGGTGTATATGGCACGCTAACCCACTTCTCCTTCTGCCTTGGCTGCTTATTCGCGCTGGACTCTGCGTCCTTCTCGTCCTTGTCGATCTTCTCCTGCGCTTTGCGCTTCTCCTCCTCCAGAGCAGTCTCGGGGGTAGGCCATGAAACGGCGTCTTCAACGGGCGGTGGCAGCTGGTTCGCAGCAGCCTTTTCGTCCTTGTCGCCCACTCGGCTTCCTCGCGGGGCAGATCGCTTGTTGTAATCCTCCTTCCCCCTGGAAGAATCGGCGTTCTTCTTCTGACCCTTGGTCTCTCGTGCTGATCCGTTCTGGCTCGGGCCAGCGGACTTCTCGCCCTCATCGGCCTTGGGTTTCCTCTTCTCGGTGGGCTTCGCCTCAGTCGAGGCCTCGGCCGCTGTGGGCTCCTCGGTCACTGGCTTCGAGGCCATGCGTTGCTGCCAGAAATTTACAGCAGGCGGTGGTGCTGCAACCAGAACCTCCACTGGCTTTGGCTCCTCCTTCTCTTTCTCAGCATCCTTGTCGGCGTTCTTGTCCTTCTTTCCTTTCCTCGTCTTTCGTCGATCGCCATCTGGCTTCTCAGAGACGGTCTCGGACGCGGCTGGTCGGTCCCATGGCGAGTCCGACAGCTTCGGTGCAGCAGCAGCCTCCTCCTCGCGGGGAAGTGTTGATGTCGAAGCGGTGCCGTAGCTCGGCGATGCGGGAACCGAGTTCTGGAAAGACGCAGTGGTCGAGCTGGCCAGGGTTCCGGGAACCTTGGCATCGGCGTCACCGTTGGTGCTCCGATTAGCATCAGACGTGGCTGCAGTATTGCTGAAGTCCAGCGTGGACTCAACGGACAGGCTCGTATCCTTCGATGGTGTGTTCGTGCTCGACGTATTCTGACTTGAGAGCAGCGAGGCGTTCGCCGCAGCGCGGCCCTTCGCAGCCTGGGCGTATGAGAAAGCCGCAGCCGACTCTCTTGTTGTTGCTGTGGTGGTCATTGTGTAGGTGTGTGTGGGTGTGTGTGGTCGAAAAAAAGACTTTTGGGTGTTGAAGCGATTTCCGAGGGCGAAAATGCTTGGGTATCGGTTCTTCCGCTACTACGGCTGGAAGAAGTTCAGCACCTCCAAAGGTGGATGAGCGGAGAGGTGTTGCTAGACCTCCCCGCACGGCACGTACGATTGCCTCTCAGGATTCGTGCTGTCGATTCACCGAGAAAAAAGTTATGCTTGCAACTTGTTCTGGTCAGAGTTCAAGCCACAATTGTAGAGAGAGAGATCGGGTGATCGGAAGTGCTTAGAAGAACAGGTGTAACCTGAGTGAGACCTCTTCGAGAAACGACCAGAGTCGAGTGTATCGGTGTAGGAGTCGGTCGTCGTTTGTGGACTCTTGTGGTTAGATTGTGACGATCTGAAATCCTGCCGCGAAACCAGAGCGCGAGCGATGAAAGTTGTGGGTGCGAGATGCAATGGGCCCCAGCGCTGGAACTCCTGCTCGCGAGGGCGAAATGGCAAGTGGCAATCGACTGGTAAAGATGGACTCTGTAAGGTCAAGGTAGTTAGCATCAATTGTTGTGGCCCGGATGAGGTCGTCAAATAGTAGTTTGTGGTGGAGGGATGGATGGATCACGAGTGGTGCGAAAAAGAAGATGGCCGTTTGGGGCTGTGGGGCACAAGGGAAGCGAACCTCGTGAATGTTCACCTTGCAGCCAGAGGGTGAATATGAACAGGATGAATCTGGCGGCAGAGTCGGTGTTGTTTGGTGATTGAATGGGGAAAGTTTCCAAGGTTGTGAGGTTGGAGGTTGGAGGTTGGAGGTTGGAGGGTGGAGGTTCGGCACGTATCGACTTGCTTGCTGTGTGCTCTGCTTCACAAGCGGAGACACGGGACGGAACACAAAAAGTCGAGAGTCGTCGATCGCTGGCGAAGGAAGCTTCTTTCTTGTCGCTGGTGTCAACGAAGGTCCCTGTTAAACCCAGTTGTTTGGGGAGAGAGAGAGAGAAAGAAGTTCAGGAAAGAGGTGACTTGGGGGAGGGAAGATGGAGGAAGGTCTGAGGTTGATAGGGCTAAAAGTTGCGTTCTTTTTGGGTTGTTGATCTGAATAATGTGGTTCACAAAAATTAGCTCGGCCGTGCTAAACACACGCCCACATACCACACCCGTAACTCGGCTAGGACAGAAAAAACTCGGTATAAACCATCCAGCATCTAGTAGTGTATCCAGCGTCTAATCCAGCTCATCCAGCTTGCATCCAGCATCTAGTAGTGTACCCAGCATCAATCCAGCTCTACCATCCAGAATCTAGTAGTGTATCCAGCGTCTAATCCAGCTCATCCAGCTTGCATCCAGCATCTAGTAGTGTACCCAGCATCAATCCAGCTCATCCAGCTTGCATCCAGCATCTAGTAGTGTATCCAGCATCTAATCCAGCTCATCCAGCTTGCATCCAGCATCTAGTAGTGTACCCAGCATCAATCCAGCTCTACCATCCAGCATCTAGTAGTGTACCCAGCATCCAATCCAGCTTGCATCCAGCATCTAGTAGTGTACCCACCATCTACTCTACCACCCACCATCTAGTACTGTATCCAGCTCTACCATCCAGCATCCAGCTTCATCCAGCCCAGTACACTCCCCATACACCCCCCTACACTCCCCCTAATCCCCCATATCCCCTACACTCCCCCATATCCCCTACACTCCCCCATATCCCCCATATCCCCCTACACCCCCCTACACTCCCCCATATCCCCCATATCCCCCATATCCCCATATCCCCCTACACCTCCCCCATAGTGCCAGAGCCAAACGACCGATGTGGCCTGTGAGTGCAACGATCTCCACGGCCGGCGCTTCCGCGGCAGTCTGTGCACCCCAGTCCAGTAACCAGCCCAGTAACCGAAGTACCGCCGCTACTTGGCTGGCCCTTCTTCTTCAGCACCGACGGGTACGAGTAAGCTTACTCATCTGAGATGTTCCTCCACACCCCCCCACCATATTCCCTTCCCGCCTACTATCCCCCCTCCCCCTACGCATACATGTCCGTACGTGCTGTCTGTGTAACAGCAGTCACAAACACCACAAGAGACACTCTCGTCCCCTCACCTCCCGCACCGCCCCCCCTACCTACCCTTCTCTCATACCTCTCATACCTGTAAAACACAACCCAACCCATCCGTGCATCACCCAGAAAGTATGCGTCCACGCCAAACCATACCGTGCAGGCGCCTCCAACCAGACCCGCAACCTCTTGCTGACGTGCATCATTCGAACCAGGATCACTATGGCATGGCATATGCACACCTGTTTCGAGGATAAACGCACAGAAATACACCCGCGGGGCTCAGGGACCGTGGCATCTTTCCCTCCCCTCCCCAACCTGCCGCCGCTAGCACGCATGCTGCCATCCCTCAGGGCGGGCTGTCTGGCTACTCGATCTTCCCGTTTAAGAGGTGCACCTGCGGCCGCCGCGTCTCATCCTATCAGCGGGGTAACTGGCCAGACCTGTCCTCGTCCTCGGTCTGAAAACGCTAGCCTATGTTGGTTCGGGTCGGGGATGTGCGGGCCTGTGGATGGCGTACAGGTCAACAGCAGGAGGGGGGCAGACTATCGAGTAAAACATCTCTTCTTCTCATTGTATATAAAAGCTGCTCCATATACACGAAATCCCGGGTTGTAATAGCTATCATACTGTACAAGCCTCTGCACACCCAACGTCCTTCGCTCAATACATACAGACATGCTTCGCTAACCCCGCGCGGCAAAAAATTCTCATTCTCATTCCCCATTCTCATCTCGGCTGTATTATTATGTCACTCTCCCTCTCATCGCCTGAGCTCACCCAGACACCCACGCCGCAGCTCTACGGGCACCAAACGTAGTAGCAAGACGCAGTCCACTGGAACCCATAGGGAAATAACTGATAAGATACCAAAGCAGACAAGCCAGCTGTATGATGGCCGAGAGGAGCGTTAAGAGTGTGCTTCGAAGCTATATTGCAAAAACCAACCGGTCAGCTGATATCCCTTCCAAATCTTTCCGCCACTCTCCCAAGAGAGCAGCAGACTCGACAATGACGAAGACATCAAACTTACCCCGAGCGAAAAATACAGCGTCAGCCCAATAGACCCGAAATACGCCGCGGTGAACGGCAGCCGCTGCGCAGACACAAGGTGCCGCCCATAAGTCAGCGGGCCCATCATGACGGCCCACGACGCTAGGAAGAGGACGGACCCGAGTGACCATCTATAAACCGGGCTTGGTGTTAGCTTATGTGCCTTCGGTGCATGAACTGTAGGGGATTCATCAAAAGCCACCGTAAATCGCTGGATCCGCTCTAAGTGGGTGAATGAGTCGCACAGGAATACGCCACACCCATGGTGGGAAGGGGGGGAGACAGGACTAGCATGTGCAAATGGGCGGCTTGCAGTTCGTTGGCGCCATCGTGGTTGGGGGCGTGCGCATGTTGTCTCAGAAGCGCCCCATAACGTGCCAGTGAAGGATGACAGGGGGAGCTGAACTGAAATAGAAAGAAAGCGATTTTTTGAAAGGAACTAGTACTTGCAGTATAGCGAATTTGCGCGGCTTCAACGCCATGACGGGGAAGAGCGCGAAACAGATGACGAAGCAGGCGAGGGCGCCGAGGTTGCACCCACTGAAGATTAGGATTCGGTCCCATCTACTCACTGAGGTAACGTTAGACACGATCGTGGACCCATAACTCTTTTCTTTCTATAAATAATGCAGCAGAGTTTGATAGATCGGGGACCCGCTCACCAGTAGATCGGGACGGAGGGGTAGATCGAGGTTCCATCCCGTCCGTCGCCAACTGGTGGCGGTGGAGGTGCTGGAAATACGAGAGGGGCTTCACTCACGTGCAAAGAAGCCTTCTTCTTCCTCCCTCCTATTGGGTGCAGGTAATGGGGCGCCAGGCCCCTCGGTGGTTGGGAGCTGGACGTAGCCATCCCCGCCGAAGGGGTTGAGCGACTTGATGGATGAGAGGAGGCCGCTCTGCTGCGAGGTGTCTATGGGTGCTTCCTCGCGGCGGGACCAGCCTAGGGAGTTCATGGAATCGCGGAACGATGACGACGCCATGGTCTGGTGTATTCTGGTGTATGTGTATGGGTATGGGTGGGTATGGGTATGGGTATGTGTATGGGTATGGGGGTATGTGTGTCTGAGTGCTACACCGCGCAAGGAGGATCTTCAGGATTCGGGTTGAGCGATCTCATGCAGGAGTAAATGCCGGTAGTTGACTCAGATAACCTCTTGGGATCAATGCCGTTGAGTTGCTCGGTCGAGATGAGTGAGGGTAGGTACGATTTGGGGGTTTTCGATATGCGCCGTGGTGGAGAGTGAGGTCTGGGAGTGTGTCCAATGACCAGTGGTGTAGTCAGGTCTGTCAGGATTATTGGTTGGGCGCGTGATGGTGGAGGTGGTGGAGGTGGTGGAGGTGGTGAGGTGGTGTAGGTGGTGGAGGTGGTGATTATGGTGAAGGTGGTGATTATGATGAAGATGGTGAAGGTGGTGAAGGTGGTGGAGGTTCCCAAGGTCGAGATGGGTGGGGTGGAGGCTGGGAAGGTCGAGCTCTCCTATTGGTGTATTGGCGGGAACGGCGATGGGCTAGAGTGCGGCAGCAGACCAAAGGGCGCAGTAGTGTCGATTCAAGGGCACTACGGTAAGAGTACTCCGTACTATGAATTAACGTCGTGTGTGTGCAAAGTGTGCAAAGTGTATAAAGTGTATAAGTGTATAAAGTGTATAAGTGTATAAGTGTATAAGTGTATAAGTGTATAAGTGTATAAGTGTATAAGTGTATAAGTGTATAAGTATATAAGTGTATAAAGTGTATAAAGTTTATTGTATGTAAGGTGGGAGGTATGGGTATGGGTATTGGGTATGGGTATGGGTATGGGTATGGGTATGGGTATGGGTATGGGTATGGGTATGGGTATGGGTATGGGTATGGGTATGGGTATGGGTATGGGTATGGGTATGGGTATGGGTATGGGTATGGGTATGGGTATGGGTATGGGTATGGGTATGGGTATGGGTATGGGTATGGGTATGGGTATGTGTATTGTGTATGTGTATGGTCGGGAAGGAAGGAAGGCGGCGGGGCACAAGGCGAGGACCGCCGGTCTGTGGCTTGGGGTATCATAGTACTAGTACACGAGGCCCGACTAGATACACTGAGATGCACGGGAAAGGAGAGGGAATGGGAATGGGGGAGGGAGTGGGAATGGGAACGGGAAAGGAGAGGGAATGGGAATGGGAATGGGAATGGGAGGCGTGTCTCAGTGTGCCCGCCACACTGAGACACGCCGACGCCGAGATCGAACCTAGTTCCGAGTCTTCAAAAATAGGTGAGAATGTGTACAGCTTTGGGGGGGTCAAGAGGTCAAGAGGACCAGTCAGGAGAGAGAGAGGGGTGTCTCATGAGAGGATGGAGTCGCTCATCGTTCTCATAGCACCGCCACTCTCCTCCTCCTCCGCCCCGTAAGGATAGAAATAAGCACTGTGTCCCAGAACTTCAACGTTTTTCAAAGTTTCCTACCATCACCCCGACAACTGTGCATGAATCGAGTACCGCTGCGGAAAACACCAAACCACAACAAGCCCAGGCTGGAGCGGTGTGGTGCCTTTTTGTTGCAAGAGAGGCGGTGATTACCAGTCATACAGAACGTTGCTGTACGACTTCTGCAGCATTTCCGACCGAGCACCAACAGCTCAAGCAGTCACCCTTCGGCCCTTCTTCGACTCTACCCACGATTCTTTTCGCCTGGGAGAGACGAGATCCTGCACCTGCATCTGTCAGCCCGCGCCAAGATTCTTTCGAAAAGCGAGAACCCAAGCCGGCGACCTTCGAAGCAAGCATTCCCCACCTTGCCGACGCTCGTTGAACCCATCATATCAGCCTCGGCTTCTAGCCTCCAGCTTGCAATAAACCATTACCGTGGCGAAATTCGATATTGGAGACTCACCCCATACCGATCCCCGATCATACCCAATACACCATCTCATCGTCAAAAGCCACGAGGGTTTAAGTGGATTCTGGTACTGGTACTGCAGATACATCCCATCCCTGTCCATGTTGTGCTATATACACACATATACGCCATCTACCCTTCGGCCTTCTCTCATCTAAAGACAGTTGGAAGGAGAGAAGGAGAGAAGGAGAGAAGGAGAGAAGGAGAGAAGGAGAGAAGGAGAGAAGGAGAGAAGGAGAGAAGGAGAGAAGGAGAGAAGGAGAGAAGGAGAGAAGGAGAGAAGGAGAGAAGGAGAGAAGGAGAGAAGGAGAGAAGGAGAGAAGGAGAGAAGGAGAGAAGGAGAGAAGGAGAGAAGGAGAGAAGGAAGAGGAGAGAGGAGAGGAGAGAGGAGAGAGGAGAGAGGAGAGAGGAGAGAGGAGAGAGGAGAGAGGAGAGAGGAGAGAGGAGAGAGGAGAGAGGAGAGAGGAGAGAGGAGAGAGGAGAGACGAGAGACGAGAGACGAGAGACGAGAGAGGAGAGAGGAGAGAGGAGAGAGGAGAGAGGAGAGACGAGAGACGAGAGACGAGAGACGAGAGACGAGAGACGAGAGACGAGAGACGAGAGACGAGAGACGAGAGACGAGAGACGAGAGACGAGAGACGAGAGACGAGAGAGGAGAGAGGAGAGAGGAGAGACGAGAGACGAGAGAAGGAGAACAGAGAAGGAGAGAAGTAGAAAAGGAGAGAAGGAAAGAAGGAAAAAAGGAAAAAAGGAAAAAAGGAAAGATGAAAAGCTCTTATTAGCGACAAACTATCCCACCCATCTCACCCGCACATACGATCGCGAGCTTTCCGGCCCGCCGCCTGTCCTCGACTACATCACACTTCCGATACTCTTTGAATGCACGAATGCACAGATCAGATACCACAAGATTCAAGACCACTCCCCGCCATTACAGCGAAACACAACAACTCCTCCGCCGATTCGCTCCACTTAAAACAACACACCGATCTTATATTGACACAAACCACCACCACCCCTTTTCGCGCCCTGTCTCTTGGGCCACACTTCACGCCGGCGCCAGACTCGAACAGTAAGCTGTTCACTTCGGCGATAGATCCCTCGTCTTCTCCGGGTCGCCAACCAGCATTCCCGTCTTTCCCGAAACCACAAAGTGTTAATTACCCCATATTCCACACTACTACAACAGTACTCACGATACTGTTACAGCCTCCTCGGTCAACAACTCTTCCCTGGACAGGCTTTCAACAAAACACCTAGACAAGAAAGTGCGCCGATCCTTCTACTTCATTATTGTACGAACTCGTCCCAGGTCTTAACGCGGCCACGTTTTTTACCCGTCATAAATATCGTGAGTGGGAATTCCTCCGCAATCTAGCGACTTGGCTAGCACCGCGTTTTTGTCTGCCTCATCTACATCTACGAGCCCGACCCTACCACCTCGAACTCTCCCTTTATCCACGACAGGCAAAACACGCCACGCCTGCACTTTCACAATACGCTGTCGTTGCTCCATTGTGCCCTTGTCAGACGGCAATTGACGGCTTGCGACACAGATCGTACATCAAGTACAGGATCCTTGTCATCCCACTAGAGTACCTTGCGGATCCGGATTGCGCAGTTTCGCCTCAGCTTCGAAGCGGTAAGAGCGGTAATTGATGCGCCAGCACCACCGAGTCGAACCCTTAATAGCCAAGAGAGCATTGCAACCTTCAGGTAAGCTTGATCCTAATCTCCTCTCACTTTTTTTTTTTTTTCGCATCGTTTGCGACTGTGCCAGTACCGTTCATCATGGAGAGGCTGCCGCACCGCCAAACGTGGAGCGCCGATATGCTCAGAGGGCATAGGCCAGTATGGCTTGTTTCTCACTGGGCATCTCTCATGCTTTGATTCCCCACTCTTGCCGAAGAGGCAGCAGCGGTTCCTTTGTTGTCGCAGGCCGTTATTTGGCCAGAGGCTAATGTTTGTCTTGCTCGATAGGAATTACTACATCTCCGACCCCCGCAATCACCAACTAGCAACCTTCGAAAAGACAAACTTCGGCCCACAACTTGACTGCGCAAACCTTCGGAGAACAGCCGGGGCCTCTTAAAAACAATGGCTGGCACGGGAGCGTCCAGCCCCTTCATCAAGGACGAGCCTGACGACCAGCTCTTCGGCGCCGCCGGTCACAACCAAAGATTCATGGGCAATATCCATCAGCAGTTCAACATGCCACAACAACAATTCAACAACTTCGGTTCCACGCCTGGAACAAATGGAAGCATAAACCCCAACGACCTGTCAATGCCAATGTCAGTTCAAGCGGGTAGTTACCTTGGCGCTGGGTTCCAAGGAAACTTCGCGTCGCAACCATCAAACCCCAACGGCAGTTACTCGAAGGGAATCTCAGCATTAGATGACGATGACCTACTTGAGAGCCTGGGTGGATTCCAAGACCAGCAAAACATAGGCCACAATGGGTTGCCGCAAAACCAGCAGAATTTCAACAACCTCGAGGAATTCGACTTCAACATCCAGACCATGTACCCCGGACAGGCGGCTGTCTCCATGCCGATGGAGCAGCACCCTCAGCTGGTCAACGTCTACTCCAGCACGCCGGACGGAGACCCAATACAGAGCCCATTCGTGCACAACTTCAACCACCAACAAATTAGGCAAATGCAGCAGCAACACCAGCAACAGTTTGGCAGCTCGCTGCAGTCGCCGAACTCCTTCACAAATTCGCCCCTGGCAGCTGAGCTGCATTCTGGTTCCGCAGACAACTATATGAACCAAAAACAACGGACACGGCCGTCACTGCCAATGCAGCGAAAGTCGTCAGCGTCAAGGGGGCCATTAACGCCAAAGACCCCAGGCATCGGTATCGGTGTTGGGTCCATGAACCTCAACGGACAAGAATCGGGATCCTACCCCTCACAGCCTATCCGTACGAGCGCCCATCGCAAGACCCCCTCGACGCAATGGGAGCAGAGCATCGGCAGCCTCCAATCCTTCCCCGGCTCCGGGTTCTCCTCACCCATACAGCAGGGGATGCACCCCAACCCCCAAATCGCCGACATCCTCAAGACGGGCTCCATGCCCACCAAGCTCAACGGCGCACAATCCGGCAGCGCCCCCGCGATGCAAACCCAAGAGATGAAGCGACGCAGGCGGCGCGAGTCACACAACCTCGTCGAGCGCCGCCGCCGCGATAACATCAACGAGCGCATCCAGGAACTTAGCCACCTAGTCCCCATGCACCGTCTCGAGGACGAGAAGGTCCGCAAGGCGCTGCAGAATAACTCCCCACTCTCCCCGACGCTGGGCTCGACGAGCATCTCCCCGCCACAAGCTACGTCTGGGCTTGCGGGGCCGGGAGCTAGGAGAGCGACGGCGGGGAATATTACGCAGGGCATTCCGGTGGAGGAGAAGGATAAGGGGCCGAATAAGGGGGATATTCTTAATGGATCGGTTAGTTGGACGAGGGATCTCATGTGGATGCTCCATGTCAAACTGCAGCAGCAAGAAGAACTCGCCAACCTCATCACGGACCTCGGGGGTACCTACCCCTTCGAACCCACCGAGGACGAGCGACGCATGCAAACAGAGCTGGTAGACGCTATGCACAAGAACGGGGTATCATCCTTCTCGTACTCCCGCGCGCCAGGTACCGGGCTGAGGGTGCCAAAGCATACGGATATTAAGGGGGACCCTGTGGGCGCGGCGAGGGGCGATGTGGATAGTAGCAGTAATAGCGTTAGTCCTGCGGAGAATGGGGGGGAGGACGTGGCGACGGCGGTGGGTGTGGGGGGGCAGTATTGGAGTGGACATAATAGTGGGGGGAGTGGAGCGGGGAGTGTGAGTTTTAAGGAGGAGGATGAGTATGGGATGGATCTTACGCAGTAGTTGAGCTGCGTATTGATTTCGTCTCAGACCTTTGCCTTCCTTTTACTTTGCTTTTGCTTGCCTGCGCGCTTTGCTTGAACTTTCAGAGTTGCCCCGGGTCCGGCGAGGGGTTTCAAGTCATTTCTCATATCTACCTATGATACCTGGCACAACAACGGCGTTACGACTTGAAATGTGGCTTACGATGTTCTTCGCTTTTGCTTTTTGTTTTTGTTTCTGCCTTGCTTTGCGTTAGTTCAAGTCCACGCTTCTACGCGCGCGAGAATCCGCTTCTTTGTTGGTGTTTTTGGCGGGCAGGGATTTGGGGGGATCTGGTTCTAGGTTCGGTCAGGTCTGCGGACCGGAAGCCTTCTGTTTTGCGTGTATTACACACTTTTGTTTTTATCTCTTTGTAATGTTGAGGATGTGGGCTTGGGTGGTTGAATTGGCTTTAATCCATCATCAGTTTTTATTTATTTCTTGCTTCTGGGAAGAGCGCGAGCAGGATGTGGTAGAGCGGTGGAATTTCGGGAGGTTGAAAGAGAGGATGTAACTGGCAGGGCCAGTATGCTGGGGGTTTGTCCCAGGGATGAAAGGGGGGGAGGGGAGAACTTACATCGTTTATGCGTTCGTTACGTACGTATGCGGTCTAGTTAGGGGGGGGGAATGCAGTGTTGTTCTATAGAGTTTTTTGAGTTTTTATGTGCTGTATGTGATGTGATGTGGTGTGATACTATGAGGATGTGAGGATGTGAGGATGTGAAGATGTGATATTATGAGGATGTGAGGATGTGAAGTGAAATGATGTGACGTTGTGCTGGCATCAAATTAGTTTTAACATGTCCTCTATACATACACCCCCCCCTTCCTCCCTCCACCCTCATCCCCTCCCCTCCCTTCCACCATCCATCCACACCCACCACCCACCAACCAACTAGAGAAAATCTTAACAAAATCAACCCCCCCCCAACTACCGCGCCCGCCCCCTATACGCCTCATACCCCGTCTCCTCCCCCATCACCCTCCTCGGACTCATCTGCACCGGCGAAACACGCACCTCATCCCTCGCATCCTCCCTGTACCCCTCCTGGTCCCCACGATGGAGGAGTTCGAATTCATCCTACAACGCGAAAAAAAAAATCTCAGTAAACAACACCAACATACTTGCACACCATTAAACCGGAGTCGCCACGGGGACACCCACAGTATCTCTATCGCGATCCCTCCCCCCCGCTTGGTTATTGGAATCGCCCGCCCCATCAAGTCCCTGCCCCTGATACCCGCTCCTCTCCCCGCTCCCCCCAAGATCCTCCATCATTACTGCTTCCCCGCCTTTTTTCGCTTCATTTCCGCCAACGTATCCACCCGTCCCAACACCAGTCCAGAACGCCCTCGCCCTGCTCCTCGGTCCCCAACTCCATCCCGCGCCGCGGCTGAGGGGGAGGTGGTAGTACCTAAACGCCGCGAAGGCCGCGACGGTGCCGATCAAGAAGCCGGAGAGGATGTCGAAGCCGTGGTGGCGGAAGTCAGAGTAGCGGGAGGCGGTGATGTACATAGCTGCTCCCGTGGGGGTGAATGCCAGAGCTAGCAAGTACAGGGGAGGCGAGGCGGCTTGGTTGCGCGCGGCGATCTGGCGGTGACCGAGCTTCGAAGCCTGCGCGCCGTTGTCGTCGCGGTCGTATTTTGAGGCGTAACTCCCTGAGGAGGAAGAGGGGAGGCGGGAGGGGAAGGCGGAGTAGTAGGAGCTATCTGACTGTCCTGGCTGTTTTGGGTATAGGAAGGGCAGGGTGAGAGCGAGCTTGGAGGCGAGGAAGAGAGAGAGGTAGACGAGGCCTGAGGCGGCGAAGGAGGAGTGTCCGCTGGGCCAGGAGCGCCATCCGTCGTCCAGAAGGTCGGGGTCGGGATTCGTGCAGATCCCCGCGTGGACGAGCGTCACCGTCGTTCCCTTTACCGCTGGGATGCCCGCAACGGCGTATTTAGCGATCTGACTCAAATCCGGCATACATCTCGCAATAACATCCGGGCGCGGCTTGCCGACCAGGTTCTTAAGCCCCGATGTGATGAGCCAGGAAGAGGCGCAGGACATGCCCAGCCCGAGCCAGCCGGTGAACCATTCCCAGAGCTTGCGGCGCCAGATGAGGCCTTTGGGGACGGATTTTGGGACGGAGGGGCCGGGGACGAGGAGGAGGGAGGTGAGCAAGATTATGGCTGCTGGGGCGGCCAGGCTGACGATGATGACGACGGCGACGGTGACGGTGTCGGGGTTGTTGGGGTAGGAGAGCTCGGGGTTGGAGAGGGAGATGGGGCGTTTGTTGGGGGAGATGGTGCCGAGGGCGACGCCGATGGCTGCTGCTCCGCTGGAGGGTTGGGGTCAGCGGTTGTATGAGAGAGAGGGATGGCGGTGGATGGCGGTGAAGCTGAGGTAGAGGTGAATGAGTGTGAAGCTAGCTAGAACTTACATGATGATGATCCAGTCGAGAACATAGCTCAGCATGAGGCGGATGGACACGCGCGAGGTTTCTCTCCGCGCCATGCTTGCAGCGGGCTGGTTGTTCCTCCTATCTGGCTGGTCATGCACTATGTGTCAAAAGAGAGATGCACTGTTTCAAGAAGTAAGAAGTAGGATTTATTTCGTATCAAGAAGCTGTAGTAGCTAACGCGACAGCCGCCTGGGAGGTGAATTCGAAGTGAATTCAACAATTGAATGTGGAAAAAGGGACGCAAAACGCAAGAAAAAGAGGGAGTAACGGGGGTTTTGTCGCTCCAAGTAGCAGATAAGAGCGCCTCTGTCTCCCATTCGCTGGTAGATGGATCGACGGTCCAGCCCCAACTTCGTCCGAGAAGTTCTAGTGGGTGTACTGGACTCCAAGTTCTCTGGTTACTCCATAAACGCTGACGACAAAAAACGGCCACAGCAACCAGAGAGGGCGGTGCAGCTGAACCATGGGAGCAAATTGGGCGAAGCAAATTGGGCGGAGCAAATTGGGCGGAGCAAAATTGGGCAGATCGATCGGTGGCGGCGGCGGCGCTTACTGTTACTGTTTTTGTTTACCTTATCCCTCACTACGTACTCGCTACTCTTTTCTTAATATAGAAAACAAGCTTTTAAAATAAGAAACATACTGTCGTCATAATTATAATTTAATCCTCGTTCTTCATCAAGACCCCACTACACATATAAGCCTCACGAAGGGGGGAACTTGCCCGCCAACCCATAATCCTCAGCGCCACCATGTCATCACAAACTCCCAAAGGTGCGTCCTCCCCCTTCCCCCGCCAGCAAACCCCAGCTAACCCCTAGCAGATCTAAACAAAACCCTCTCCTCCCTCTCCCTCAGCTCATCGTCCTCATCCCGAAAGCCAGCGCCGGCCCCCCTCGCCGATTCCTGGGAAGACGACGACGACGACGACGACGACGACGACGCCCCCTCTCCCTCAGCAAATAACGAAGACGACGACGACCCCCTAACACGCCACCCCTCCAACCCCACCGCGCCCCCACCAACCCCCATCTTCCCCCCTCCAACCTCGCTGCCTACTAGCCCTTCTGCGGGGGTCAGCAGTATCGCGGATACGTTTGGGGGGTATTCCTCCCCTCCCCCCTCATCACCGTCATCGTCAGCGCCATTAGGTGGGGGAGGGAAGAGGCAGGAGAAAACGGATGCGGTGGCGCGGAGGATGATCGCGGGGGCGTTGGGGATTAGGGCGCCGAAGAAGACGGAGGAGGAGAGGGCTTATGAGAGGGCGGTGAGGGAGGAGGTTGTTAAGAGGCGGGAGAGGGAGAGGGAGGAGAAGGTGAGGGGGGAGGAGGAGAGGGAGAGGGCTAGGAGGAGTGTCTGGGAGGATTAGATGAGGACAGGAAGGGGGAGAGGGATGAAGGGAGGGTGGGTAGAGAAGTGTAAATAGAAGGGGGTATTAAACTACTTCATCAGGCAGAAAATAATCTGTATCACACATCCATCACTCAATATATCAAACGTGCCATCATCATCCACAGTGACGCCAATATAGATCAGATCAGAAAACCCTGTATTCGCAAGCACCCCTCTAATCTAGCCAAGCAGAAACAAGGCGGATCGGAGAGATCTATATTCCCAAGCCAGAAGCAAGCACATAGATCTCTCTTATCTCATCCACCCACCGCCCACCACCCACCGCTCAATATCAAAGATCGAAGATCACAAGAAGAAACGCCATGAATCCGCCCCAGAAAGAGAGCGAATCCCATCCCATCCCACCATAATACCAAATAAACCCCTCCATCGTCGTCTCGTCAACAAGCTCAAAGTCTCGTCTCGACGGACACTGCATGGCTCAGTCCAAATCCTCATCTCATCTCGCAAAATAAAATGTCAATTTCGTTTTTGTCTGTTTCGTTTCGTGACCCCGCGACTGCCTTTTTTTTGGGGGTTGCATGTGCAAGGAGGGGGTTTAGGCAGACCCGCCGATCTGCTCTTGGTGCACCTCGAGGGTGTCGCCGTCTTGCATGTCGAGCTGGGGGGAGTCAGTTACGCCAATAACAAAGAGCGGGGTCCATCATCATCATCATCGCGGGGCTCGCCCACCCACCCATCCATCCAAGTCCACCCAAGCAAAGTAAGAAAAAGGAAAGTAGGCATCAACTCACAGTATCAGGCGAATCCGTAGCCTGCACGCGACTCCCGTCAAACAAGAACCTAACCGAACTAGGCGCCTTGCCCTGCCTCTCGCAGAAGGCATCCATCAGCTTCTTGAGCTGCGTCGTACGCTTGATCTTGAAGAAGACCTCGTTGTTGTTATCGGTCACTTTGATGTTGAGGTGCTCTGTCTGCTGCGCCTCTTCGGGCTTGCTGGGCGCGCTGCCGGGGGAGCCGTTCTCGTCGGAGCCGGACATGGTGAGGTTGTGGTGAGAGCTGGCTGGAGGGGGGGAGAGTGTTAGAAACGTGTGTTGGGGGTTTTGGGGGGGTTGGGGGGGTTGGGGGTTGGGGGTTGGGGGTGAGGAGGGGGGACGTACTGTGTGTGTGCGTTTCTAAATGAGGGGGTGAAGCTGGAGGATGTTGGATCGTTGGGGGGGGTGGTTGGATGTTGGATGTTGGTGGTGAAGGTAGGTTGCGATTTTGTCGTAGGCGGGCTGGTGAAAGGGCCGCCGTGGCGTGGCGCGAACTGCGGCTTTGGTCCGCGCTAATTGATACGCGATGTGGTGTTATCCGCCGATCCCAGAGGAAGAAGTACGGGCAAGTGTCGCAGCTGCGTTTGGAATTCACACTTCTTTTGGCTTCTATGCCCAATTAGAGCTTGATGTTTATTCGGAGTCTTTGAGTTATAGAGCACTGTCTATTGTATACGCTTTTCTGTTGGACAGGATAGCTACGGCGGATTAAGGGTACGGTTCATACTCGGCTTTCTATCAAATTATGGTATGTATGCTGTCATCCCACACAAGGAAGCGGTTTTCGCTGACTACCACAGGCACCAAAGGACGATATTACAACGGATCCTCCGTGTCACCCACGGGCTGTTAGTATTCCATCTTGACTCTTCTTATATCGTTACAACTTCACTTCAAGATCACCACTCACAGGTCCCTTATAGTGTGCCATTCAAAGTATGTCATACCATCCCGAAATGGGGATTTCGTTGACATATCCTTCAGACTGTATACAAAAGAACAATTATGACGAGTCAAAGTGTAAAGCTGAGATAGACGCCCTGTACGAGTGCTGCAACGCCTTCTATGAGAAGTACGGAGATGCCGCAAAGACAGTGAGCTGCCCAAAGGCGAGCCTGCTCAGACTGAAGATGAGGCAGCTCGCGCAAGGCAAGGGATCAAAGTAGGTATAGACCTGGCGCGACTATTCGGCGCATATCTATAGAAAGCCACTATGTATGAACTACTCAAGGATATGTCTGAAGAGGGAGAATAGCTTCCTCCTCTCCTCTTCAACAGCCTCGAGCAAATCTGTGTACAAAAATGAAATATATACCACTCCAATTTAACGTCCACCTTCATCCCCACGAGAGGTAAGGGTTCTGTTGTAAGGAAGCGGAGTCCTTCTTGGCGATCTTCAGCACGCAGTGAGATCCTCTTGGGACCTGATCAAGCATTGAATGTTTGACCCGAGACTCTAAATAGATGGCCGAAAACATTGTAAAGAGAAAAGAAGAGGAGAGTTGCGAGGGAGGAAATTCTGAATTTATCTGGTCCGCGTGCCAAGACCACGCTTAGCCGTAATGGGCGAGCTGATGATGGACGCGCCTCAGGTACAACTTCAGAAAAACAATCCAAGAACAGCGCATGGAGCTGTATCGACTAAGAGCTCCGACGTTCTGGGTTTGATTTGTGCTTGAGCAGTATCGTCTGTTTCTTCGGACCTACTTGAAACTACTCGTAGTATTCGTTTTTGTTATCTCCTCCAGCCATGGCCCCAATGACCAGACGGGGACGCCAGACAGCTCCCAACGAGTTCTTGAACCCTCAAGCCATCGTGCCGCATGCCAGCCGCGAGGAGAGCTGGCAGCTTGAAGGGGTAAGCAGGTTGGATTCTACTTCTTAGATGCCCCATTCTGACCATGTACAGGACGATTCCCGATCCGAAAGAGAGCTCTCTGAAAACCCTTCTGGTTCCTTCCAAGACTATGACGGCGAGTTTGAATACGATACTATAAGTAAGCCACCAAGCCCTCCTGCGATTACGAGCTTCAACTAATAGCTATTCTCTTTAGAATACCAGCCGACACGAGACTTTGACAGCGGAGACAGCCATGAAGATATCCTCCACCCTCTGCGTGAAGCCGCAAACAGGGTTGGCCGGGAGGTCGAGAAATTCGCGGAAGTTCTGGACGGCTACAACCCCCTGAAGGCTGTCGACGATGCCGACAGAAAGGATATGACATTTGATCTCATCGATTCATACCACGGTATTGCGATTGAGGCTGTGAAGAGACTCCGTGCGCAGCATAAGCGTCGACAGATAGGCCAAACTGGGAGGAAAAATATACTTGGGTTCACGGCAGATCATGATGAAGATGCGATGGATGAAGATGGATCTGATGACCAGGAACTAATTGAATCGAACCCGAAGATTACGCCTGAGGACCTCAAGCGGTGGGAGCAGGAAGCTCGTACGTGGGATCTGTTACGCCGAATGACCATATTGCAATATGGCCCGCCGCAGACCCAAGACGCGCCTCCGATCCACCGCTATTCTTCGGAGCGTCACATCTGGACTTCATTTTTACAGAATGATACGCTTGGGTTGGAGCGACACACCGTGCTCGAGTGGCTCAAAAACACAGCTGATGAGTCTGGTGAGGATATCGATCTGTTAGTCCAAGAGCTTCAGCAGAATGCCGAGAGAGGCGATATCACCGCACATGGATGGCTACACACGAAATCCGCAATCAAAAATCAAAAGCGACTCCACGCGTGGCCGTACATCCTTGATCCTACCAACCCAGACGTCAGCCGCGTCCTCCGCAATGCGTCTAAAACAGAGGCTCTCGTCACACAACTGGATCCGGATGCGCCCATACGCCAGAACCTCAACCTGGAAGCACCAGATCAGTACTTCGAGAGGGCTATATGGCGCGGCTGCTACGAGCTCCTCCGTCGTGGAAAGAGCGGCGAGGATATCAGAGAATGGTGTCAAGACCGCCAAGAGATCTGGCGCGCGGTGAGCATGTCGGGCTTTCCAGATGACGATTCGCAAAACGATACCGCAGACCATGGCTCGAGGGCACTGTGGCGCCGCATGTGCCACGCCTTGGCCAAGCGGGGAGGCTCCGATATATATGAGACTGCCGTGTATGGTATTCTCGCCGGCGACTTCTGGAGTGTTGCGCCAATCTGCAAGTCCTGGGACGACCAGATGTTCGTTCATTACAACTCGCTGATCCGAAGCCAGTACGAGGCGTTCGTTCTGAAGAACTTCCCAAGCCGTGCGCCCCAGGACCAGGTCCAATCGATTGAGGCGTTTGATGCTATCAGCTTCCACGGCGACCCAGTGACCGTGGGGCCGAGAACTGTGGATTTGCTGAATGCCAAACCTGAACTCATAAAGGAGGCACAGCAGCCCTTGAAGATGCTCCAGGGGGTTCTTATCGCGAATACATTCCGCGATTTCATACGCGAACAGGGAATTGCCATCTCCAAAGCCGCAAATGCCCAGGATACGTCGAAATTGATCGACGATCTCCAGACAGATCCGAAGAATGAGGACAAGGTTGTGTATATCAAGACGGAAGACTTTGACAGTCTCCGAGTCTTGGCACATATGGTCCTTGCCTTCAAGAGCCTGGGCATGACCTTTGGCAACGAGAAGGATACCTACGCCATCGAAAGCGTGGTCGTAGCCTACATCTCCTTCCTCCGCCTTGCCGGCAAAGAAGAGCTCATCCCTCTCTACGCAGCCCAGCTCTCCGACGCCAGGACCTACTCGACCCTCTCACGCGAGCTCCTCGACGTCACCGACCCCGACCAGCGCATCACCCAAATCAAGCTAATGAAAGAACTTGGCCTAGACGTCCAGCGCTTCGTGCGCCTCCAAGCCGCCTTCCTCCTCGTCGACTACCCCGACCAAACCCCCGGCTACCCCGCCGCGCGCACCTTCTCCATCCTCGTCCCAGGCCAACACTCCAACCAAGGCCTCAGTCAAAAGCTCCGCCCTAACTTCATCGGCAACGCCGTCGCCCGCCCCGAAGCCCTCCTCATCCGCGCCTTCGAATGGCACCTCCTCGTCGACGGGATGTGGAGCGAAACCTTCCGGACCGGCACCGCGCTCTTCGTCCGCTTCTTCAAGCACGGCCACGTCGCCGCCGCGCGCGAGCTGGCGGGGTGCATGCCCTCCCGCGACATCGCCGCGGCCAAAACCCCCGTCCTCCTCGGCGAAACACTCGAGCTGTCCCAGCTCGCCGATTGCGGCGATGGCACGGACCTCGAGAGCCTCCTCCGCAAACACATGGCTGACGAGGCGCGTGCGTACGTCGAGCTCGAGGGTCTGGTCAATGCGCTTGACTTCATCGAGGGCGTCGCGGGTATCATCGACTCTCTGCAATTGTCGCAGGTGTATGTCTCCACCCCATCTTCTTTCCCCTACTTCCCCCGCCGCCCCAAGGCCGAGACTCCAGAGCATCAGCGCCAGCAGTTGCGGCAGCGGCTAGAGCAGCAGAGCCAGAGCCCCCCTTATGACCTTCACCTCCTGACACACCGCAGTAAACAAGATGAGCGATTGAGCAAGAAGCTGCGCCTCGAGTTTCATAATAATTTTGCCAATATCCGGCACAGCGTCGCGCCGTTGCTGGATAATTGGCTTGTCAAGAGTCGTCAAGGTATGTCTCTTCTCAACAACCCCTGTTTTTACTCATCCATTCTAATAACCCCCAAGCAAACCCTTCCCTCATCCCCCTCCACGCAACATACCTCCCCCCCACCCTCCTCGCCTACGCCGCCCTCCTTAACAACGCAGGTCTCTACATCTCGCGCGACCACTTCCTCGAGAGTATGGAGCTCGCCAGCGTCATCGCCACGAACACCGAGCTTACGAATGTCTTTCTCGGCCCCGACGCTCCCTCATCGCAGGGAGGAGCCGCTACGGAAGAGGAGAAGGAAGGATTGGGCCGCAACGCGATGGCAGATCTGGTACAGGATGTTGCGGGCGATGCAGTGGCGTTGCTGTTTAGTACCGGCCCTGATAAGAGTCGGATGCGTGGTGGGAGGAGAGCGAGAGAGGGGGGGTGGAAGGGAGACGTTTGGGGGCTGGGGAAGTAAGACGGGGGAGAGGGGATCTAGAATGGGGGATATGATGAAAATTTGGAGGGAGAATGGGATGGATGGGGGATGGGTGGGTTGTGCTTCTACATACATACATTACAAAGACAAGATACTGTATTCTCATATCAAGGAATTTCACGATTCTTAAAGCCATCACACTTCTCACACATCACACATCTCCCACATTTCACTTTTCACTTCACATCACACAATTAAATCCCCAAGTATGGCAGGTAAACTTCGAATTCTCATTCCCCATCCCCCCACCAAGTTGCCGTTCAGCATACATACATGCATTCGTGCAAACATACAAGCCTGAAGCCTACAAACAAACAAACGAACAAACGAACAAGCATGCGTGCATACATGCCCATTTTAATGTCCCTTGCTCATAATCGCGCTGCGCTCATCGCTGTGTCGCGTTAAAAGATACAAGTCCCTTTTCCCTTTCGCCCTTCAAACCGGGTGAAAGGAAGGTTGATAAAAAAGTGAAAAATAAAAATAAAAAACGGACCAAAGCCACCCGCACCAATGGTGCGTGAGCTCGAACCATTTTTTGGAAGACAAGAAACAAGAAATTAAAAGGATTAAAAAAACTTGTAATGATGCCTAAAAGCACAAAAAAACACCACCGAATCCAGACCGTTTAAACAGTCCCGGAATCATCCCATACACCACCCAGTTAAAATGCAAGAAAGCCATCCCATCCATAAAAAACGAGCGGACGAGGTAAAAAATAACAAGTAGAAGAAAGAGCACACAAAAGCTTTTAAAGGATTAAAAAAGACAATAAGCCCACTCCTAACACAGCCCTCCATCCCCCCAAAAAAGAGACGCTGCTTTTTTCGCCAGAAACACCTTTTCCCCCAAAAAGTAAGTTGGCATAAAAGCCGCTATCCCATCCGTCCCGTGTAAACGCCCAAAGAAAACATAAAGCCGCCAGCCCAGCCCCGGCGCCAAAATGCACCGTTGTTCGCTGTTCGTTTTGGTTTGTTGTTACACCAGATATCCCATGTCCATGACCACCCAAAACACCAGAGTTAAAAAGCAAAAAAAACCATCCAAGAACACCAAAGTTAAAAAGACAAGAAGCCACCAAAAGCAAAAATCCATCCAAAACACCAGGTTTAAACCAAAAATCCACTCCAATCCAAAGCGCCATTCAATCCAATTTTTTTGTTGTTGTTTGTTTGCTTTATATTTTCTTTTTCCTAAAAAAAAAAAAAAAGTTGCATCGCTGGTTGGCTGCGTCAAAAGCGCGCCGCCACTGCCGCTGTGGCGTCGTCGGTTGAATTTGTCCGAGAGAAATGCGGGGTGTGTGTGTGACAACTCAGGTCGCACAACACCCACCCGCCAGTTCGGTCGTACCGCGAGTATAAATCAACGACAACCGAGCACACCGTAAAAAGTCGTGGTGTAATAAAAGTGTAAGTTGATGATAATCCAGTCATTCGAAGAGAAAAAGAAGTGATCAAGAAGGGGTGATTTAAAAACCATGCGGACAGGTATCCAGGCATCCGAAAACGCATCAAGCGGGAACCAAGCGCGGTAACCAGTCGTCAGAAGTCAGGGACCGATGGAAATCGAGAGAAGAAGCAGGCAAGGGACAAGAGGGACCAAAATCCAGGTACAGGGACAACAGTAAGGTAAACGGAGACCCTGCACCCTACAACCTCGCCGGCCCCGGCGTCCCCTCCTCACTCTCCACACTCCCCCCCCTCCCCTCCCCAACCTGATCCCCCACCGCCGCCGCCAACGCATCCAAACCCTGATTATCCTCCCCCGCGCCCATTGCGCTACTCTCCCCCCTCACAACCTGATTCGGCCACCTCCCCACCTCCTGCATCTGCCTCGCCTGCAACCTAACCATATCGCGCGTCAACCCTCTGCCTTCCCGGCGCATCGCCACAGCGGCTGAACTCGCGCCCTTGCGGAGCCCACGACGGCCCGGTCCGCCGGAGGAGGAGGTGGTCGGGCGCGGGCGGCGGGAGTCCTTGTAGTGCGTCTCGAGGTGCTGTTTCATGTTATCGGCGCGGGTGAACTTCTTGAGGCAGCCGGGGAAGGCGCATTGGATGCCCTTCTCGCAGGTGTGGATCTTGGAGTGGCGCGAGGCGTGGCCGGAGGTCGTGAATGTCTTCTCACAGCCGACGGCGTCGGCGTAGCGGCAGTGATAGCGTTTAGTTCCCGAGGCCGTGACGGTGGTTGCTGGGGGCGGCGCGAATGCCGGGATCTGAGGAACCATGTGCCCCTGCGACGCGGCGTAGGCTGCCATCGCGGGGTCGTGGTAGTGCTGCTCATGATAATGATGGGCGTGCATCGGGACGCCGTGGGGTGCCGGGAGGGTTCCTGGGAAGCGCGGGAGAAGCGCCTGGGGCGGCTTGGCGTAGCCGTCGAAGTGGCGGGTTCCGGGCTCGAATTGCGTCGGGTCGGGGTACATGGACCCTGGGCCCATGGAGCTGAAGGATGCGTTGCGCGAGGGCGGGTAGCTGTACTCCGGGAGAGCGTCGCGGGGGGTGGAGGGCGAGACGGGTTCGACGGTGGCGATGCTGTCGCGGGAGCCGCAGCGGAAGAGTTGCGGCGTTGGCGGTGACGTCTGGCGGCCGTTCCGGGGTCGCATCATGCCGTCGTGGTAGGAGTGTCTGCGGTCATCGCCCATGTGGTGGTAGTACTCCCTCACCGACGACGTACTCAGCGAGTTCGCCAGCAGCGGTCCCCGCATATCAGGCGCGGAGAACGGGTCGTGTGCGTAGTCAGCCACGCCGTCGTCGCGGGTGCTCAAGTCCCAGTGCGTTCTGCGGCGGCGGAGCTCGGGGATGGGAGCACGCTGCTCGCCCAGGGGGGGGAGCTGGATGGGCGAGCGCTGGGCGGGGGAGCCGTGGGGGGAGCGCTGGCGGAGGGGCAGGCTGAGGTCTTGGGGTTGCCAGGGCGGGAGGTGGGAGGCGACGCGGCGGCGCTCGGGGATGCTGATGTTGGCGCGGATGTCGTGGGGGCTGGGGAGGGTGCATGGGGAGACGGGCTCGGAGGAGGCGGCGTGGCAGAGGATGTCGATGTCCCGGCCGGACTTGTTGCGTATCCGCAAAGGGTTGGTAGCCATGTTGGTGGTTTTGTATGATGCTTGTGAGAGTTGGAGATGGATGTGAACTGGGAGAGTTGTGGAGAAGTTGGTGGTACGGTTGGTGGGTATAAGCAACGTCCTATGAGACCGGCTGACGGGTGGCGACGTTCTTATAGAATGTTGAAGTCGGCAGGAGAGGATAAAGAGTGGGTGTCAGTCAGAGTAAAGTGGGCAGATAGCAGACAGGGCTAGGTAGTGGGGAAGGGAGGTAGAATGGCAGTGGCAGCGGCAGCGGGCAGTGGCAGTGGCAGTAGCAGTAGCAGTCGTAGTAGTAGCAGTAATAATAGTAGTAGCAGTAATAGTAGTAGCAGTGGTAGTAGTAGTAGTAGTAGGAGCAGCAGTCGTAGAAGTAGTAGTAGTAGAGTAGGAGGAGGTAAGGTAAGGTACGTATAGTTTAGTATAGTTTAGTATAGTTTAGTATAGTTTAGTATAGTTTAGTATAGTTTAGTATAGTTTAGTATATAGTATCGAGTAGTTTAGATACCATCGAGTACATGGAGAATACACGCAGTATGTACAAGACACCGTTAAGGTGCAAAGCATAAAGCGTAATGTGAGTGCATAACAAGGGAAAAGTATGGGTCTTAGCAGGGGGTGGAATATGGGTAGATATGGGTAGATATGGGTAGATATAGGTAGAGTGTGGGTACAGTCTAGGTATACATCAGGTAGATGCACTGTATGGGGCGATGGGCGATGGGCGATGGGCGATGGGCGATGGGCGATGGCGATGGCGATGGCGATGCGATGGCGATGGCGATGGCTATGGCTATGGCTATGGTCGATGGGCGATGGGGATTTATGGGGTGTGGGTGGTGTGGGTTAGGAAGGAAACCTTTACGTTAGTAACTGATCTAGTAAACTGGTCTAGTAAACTGGTCTAGGTGGCTGGTCTAGGTGACGGATCTAGGCTGATCTAGTTGCAGGTGCGAGATGGTGGACAGCGACGTCGAGACTATGGAGCATTGTAGGATGATAGCACGTACGATGTAAAAAAAATAAACCCTCGAATCTCCCATCAGAAGTAGCCAGCAGCTACGGGGGGGTTTATCTTTAATGAATTTGCGCCTATGCCTATGCGTGCGGGTTTACGTACGTGCAGTGGTCCGGTCGTGCCTGCCTGCCTCTACCTCCTCTACTAACACCAACCAACACCTCACAAAACGGGGTGAGAACCCCTCCCCGTCCTCACTCACCCACTGCATCGCTCGGGGCATCTCCCATCGATGCAATACAAACCATGCAGGCTATAACTGCCAATGTCCGATCCTGTGCTACTGTACCTCTAGGCCCCCTATAGAAGATTCCCTTTCTGCAGGACAGTGCCTTTTGAGGAGGAAAAAAGGGGGGGAGAGGGGGAGAGGGGAGAGGGGGAGAGGGGGAGAGGGGGAGAGGGGGGGGGGGGTGAGGGGGTGAGGGGGTGAGGGGGGAGAGATGGGAGAGGGGGGAGTGATAGATGATAGATCATTACGAAACCTCAATGAACGCTGTCGGTGTCTGCAGCGTGTTGTGTTGTTGTCGTGTATCGCTGCAGATTGTTATAGTGTGACAAATCCCGTACCTTTCTGTTACGACGGAGGGGCCGGAGGGACGAAGGCGCAAACGTTAGAATGGGACCTCGACTTCGACTTACAGATTGGCAAGTCGGGCATCTAGAGTACAGTCGTCTGCTGCGAGTATAGGACCACATTGTAAGAGCGGTGCTTGCGCTAGACTGGACTAGAGTACGTACAGCAGAGTTATTCTGTATGGACGGTACCTAGCGACGGGTCTACGAAAAGGGGGCCCATCGCCCATCTAGGCGTTGTCGAATGTTAATTGTATGTATGTGTGGGATAGCAACGACTGACAGGCGCAGGCTAACTCAGCGAGAATAGCAATCGCGCTGGCGTTACAGAGGTAGCTGTCAAAGGTGTCAATATCGTCAATATCGTCAATATCGTCAATATCGTCAATATCGTCAATATCGTCAATATCGTCAATATCGTCAATTCGTCAATATCGTCACCGGCGAGGAGTCACACATGGGTATGATACGTATACATACCATGGTTAGACTGCAGTTGGGAAGCCAATATTGGGAAGGAAATGTCAGGTCATGATGGACATCGAGAGTGACATGCTAGGATCCGGGCGTCGATGGATGGTCGTCGGCGTTGCGGGGGAGCGACGACGACAAGACACGAGAGACGATCAGTGTCTTGTACGGCGAGTCGTGCAGTAGAGGGTTTCAGCTCAAATAGCATAACATGATTGCATATATTGCATATATTGCATATATTAGACATGATTGCATACTCGTTACTTTGGGTCAATAATTGTTAACAGGGGACCCATGTACGTAGTTCCACCTCAACGCTGTTTTAAAAAGTTGCGAGAAATAATAATATATATAACACCATAACATTACTCGGGTTTTTATTGGACTACTCTACTACGGGGGTAGCGACGATCACCAACCTACATACATTTATTAATCCAAAGTACGAGTATATTGCATATATTGCATATATTGCATATATTTCATATATTCGAATAGGTTTTAGGTTAAAGCCACGGGCAGGCTACGGCCTTTCTCTCTATAGTTAGTGGAATCACGTGAGTGTATGAAACCCCAGGACATACTCGTAGAGAACCAAAAAAACAGTCCATATTAGGTTTGGCATTGCAATTGAAACTACGCTAGTAGAGATGTTGCAAGAGTGTCGAATATTTCCTCTTTCCTCTTTCGGTATGCATCATGTTATGCAATCCGGCGCTGAAACCCTCTACTGTCGATCGGCGATCATCATCGACGGTGGTATGGGGTGGTAGTAGTGCATGTACTGTGGATTAATTGTGGATTAACTGTGGATTAAGTGGGTTAACTGTCGATTAACTGTCGATTAACTGTCGATTAACTGTCGATTAACTGTCGATTAACTGTCGATTAACTGTCGATTAACTGTCGATTAACTGTCGACTAACTGTCGACTAACTGTCGATTAGCTGTGGATTCTCCCCCACCCACCCCTCCCTTCCTCCCTTCCTCCCATCCAGAGCTGACCCGACTTTTAGGGGGAGGCGAGTCTTGATGATGTTTGAGTAACTATGGTAAAACCATGGAGCCACTTTTGTTATGTTTTTGGATTGATGTTATTCACTAAATGCGCAGAGGATGGGAAGGATAGTAGTGGCCAGTACAGCCAACCGACCATGTCCCAAACGCAACTGTCCCAATACTGTCACTCCCATCAGGTCCCCTCCTGCGCTCCCCATTCCCCTGTGCCACAACCCTGTGCCTGTGATGAGTAGTCAAATCAGTCACCCTCGTCACCCTCCCTCGTCACCCTCTCTCGTCACCCTCTCTCGTCACCCTCCCTCGTCTCCCTCCCTCGCGCCATCCCTCCCCTCTCCTCTCTTAACACTCTGACGTCACCACCTTTCGTCCTCCGACCGGCGTGTGTGGGCGATGCCCGGGCCAGCAGAGCTTGGTGTGGAGGTGGTGGAGGTGGTGGAGGCGGAACGGACGACTTCGGCCAGGAGAGCTTGGTGGTGGAGATGGTGGAGGTGGTGGAGGTGGTGGAGGTGGTGGAGGTGGTGGAGGTGGTGGAGGCGGAACGGACGACTTCGGTCCAAGGAGGGGAACAACGATTGCACATTCCCATTCAAGCCGTAACGGATCTTCCATACCACCACCACCAACCATCCACCACCACCTCTTCACACTCTCTCACAGACACACAGACAAGACGCAACCTGCACCTGCATCAGGAGCCATCTCCGGGTGTCACTCACATCTCCGGCCCCTCCCCCCCTCCCTTCAAAATTCCCCATCCCCCTTCCCTCCAATTTCCCAATTTTCCCCATCCGCCTCTCCATTTCCCATCTCCCCGTCCTCTGCGCGTACGTGGGCTCCTTGGGCGGTCCGCTGGTGGTGTACCGCACCGTACCCACCGGCTCCACGATCGGGGGGGGTGGGGTAGTGTATTGGTAACTCTTTCATCTGTAGAGTGTGGTACGGGGACGGTACACAGCAGTACAGAGGACAGAGGACTCTATCAGCGGGATGGCTGTATGGCTGTGAGAGTTGCGACGGCAGGGAAGGGAAGAGCTGTGTGGCTGTGAGAGATGCGACGGCAGGGAAGGGGAAAGCTGTATGGCTGTGAGAGTTGCGACGGCAGGGAAGAGAGGAGCTGTATGGCTGTGAGAGTTGCGACGGCAGGGAAGAGAGAGCTGTATGGCTGTGAGAGTTGCGACGGCAGGGAAGAGAGAGCTGTATGGCTGTGAGAGTTGCGACGGCAGGGAAGGGGAAAGCTGTATGGCTGTGAGAGTTGCGACGGCAGGGAAAGGAAGAGCTGTATGGCTTGCGACAGTTGCCAGAGACAGGGATGCGGAAGAAGATACGTACCTAAACCCACCAGCCCACACGCCCGGCGCGAATCTAGATCCGGCCATCGCTGCAGATGGGGCTTGGATGGGGGTTGGGGGGGAGGTGGGAGAGACCCTGCTTGACGTCACGGTGTGGTGTCGTTCTAAGTGCTGAGGAGGCTGACTGTGATGACTGGAGGGGGTGATTTGGGGAAGTGTATACTCGCCGTCGCTGGTGACGACGACGACAACGGCGACGACTAATACCACCATACCACCCCACCATACCACCCAGGATGAATCCAGTAGCTAATGCACGCCATACTCCCTGTCATAATCCCTCACCACTCACCACCTCACCACCACTCACCACCACTCACCACCACTCACCACCACTCACCACCACTCACCACCACTCACCACCAATAAACCCCGTAGCCCTAACCCTAACCACCCCTGCCTGCTGCCCTACCCCCACCGAAAAGCAGGGCAACGACTCTCTCACCAGCCGTCGTCGACGAGCGGGTACCACCACCCCACCGCCCAACTCTACTCAACACCCCAGCCACCTAGGGTTCGAGCTCGGCGATCAAGGCGGCCGGCGAGTGGGGGGAGCGGGATCGCCGGATCGGGGGGGACTTGCGAGAGTGAGAGGTGATGCCCGTATTGAGCGGGTGCCGGGGGGGGAGCGCTGGGGCAGCATTGGGTTTGGGGCGGGCGGGGTGTGGATGGTGCCCAGCGAAGACGTACAGTATCTCGTTCCCCTCGAGCTATGATGCCCTGAGCTATGCCCTTCCCCCCTCCAGCCATCCCGTGGGGGGTCTGGCGCTGGGTTCGGCCTTTTGGGGGGGTGGTTGAGGGTGTTGGGAGGGTGGTGTGCTGTTTAGTTCGCCGTTTGGGGCAGTGGTAGGCCGTTTGCGAGGGTGGTTGAGGGGGGGTTAGAGGGGTTAGGAGGTTAGGAGGGGGTTAGGACAATGGTTGAGGGGGGTTGAGGGGGGTTAGAGGGGTTAGGAGGTTCGGAGGGGGTTAGGACGGTGGTTGAGGGGGGTTGAGGGGGGTTAGGACGGTGGTTGAGGGGGTTAGGACGGTGGTTGAGGGGGTTAGGACGGTGGTTGAGGGGGTTAGGACGGTGGTTGAAGGGCGGTAGGGGGTGTCATGGGGGCTATGGAGGGTGCTGGCGCGCTAAAATGCCGCTGCTGCAGCTGGTCACGGCGAGGAGGGGGGTGATGGGGGTGTTGAGGTGTCAGGAGGGAGTTAGTTTGCGGGAGTTAGGGGGTGAGGGAGCGAGGGATGGGGGATGGGGGAGTTGGGGATTAGTGAGAGGGAGGGGCTACACTACACTACACCCTCTACCCTCTACCCTCTACCCTCTACCCTCTACCCTCTACCCTCTACCCTCTACCCTCTACCCTCTACCCTCTACCCTCTACCCTCTACCCTCTACCCTCTACCCTCTACCCTCTACCCTCTACCCTCTACCCTCTACCCTCTACCCTCTACCCTCTACCCTCTACCTCTACCCCCTACCTCTACCCCCTACCTCTACCCTCTACCTCTACCCTCTACCTCTACCCCCTACCCTACCTCTACCCTCTACCTCTACCCTCTACCTCTACCCCCAAGGCCTAACTACCGTCACTACCGCCAGCTGACCAGATATCCCCCCCTCCCATCCTCCCCCTCCCTGACCCCAAGCTCCCTCCCCCCGCTCAGTTCACAAAAACAATAAGCTCCAAGCACCTCCATCGTGTCATCAGACATACCTCTAGCTCGACTCAACATACCCAGCCGCCCCGTTCCCCGCACCGAACGTCCGGCATGGAGGAGACTAGACCGATCGATCGGCCGGGCGGGTGTGCTTGCGTGCATGGCGAAGCTGCTAGTGTGCCAAGGAGGCGGAAAACGGGAAAGTTAGGGGATGTGGTGGATCGGATTGCAATCGTTAGGGAGGGATCAAGCGGATAGACGGGCATCAAATTCATCGATGGTGCTGAGGTAGGTAGATCGGGTTGGGCGATGTTTGATTGAGATATGGCTACTTTGGGTGTACTAGAGGTCTACTCAGAGTCTACTTGCCACTCTGGTTCTATTGAATGATTTACTTGGAGGTAAGTAAGTAAATCATTCAATAGAACTAAGATGTGCGATTTCCCACTACTATCCAGAGGAGGAAGGGTTCGAGATGTGGACATTTGATCAACGCCGGATTTGGTCATGTGAATCTCCCGCCGCCGTTGAGTGAATATCGTTAATAGTTCAACGGGTTTGTTTGATTTACATTTTTTCAAATTGTGCATTCTCCATCAAACTTTTACTTCAACGCCGGTAAGTTAAACGCCGGATTAGGCCATGTGAAGCCGTTGAGTAGGATTGAGATATAGTTCACGCCGTTGGATTGAGATTTTAGGATACCATGTGCTTTCTATCCAACTTAACGGCAAGCTAGGCGCCGGATTTGGTCATGTGGATCCCCGGCCGTTTGATTGGGATTTCGATAACCTCTTATGTATGGTTTACATTTCAGGGCCCCTTCTTATCCTCTGCTCTGTTCGAGGGCCAAGGGGGGTTCAGGCACAGGCGTTATCAAGCAGGGAATGCCGGATTGAGCCATGTGAAGCCGTTTGATTTACAGTGCCCCTTCTATGAAGATTATAGGGGGACTTTCAGGTACGAAGGCCACCTTAATGGACACAGAGGCGCCGGATAAGGACAGGTGAAGCCGTTTGATTTACCCTTCAATCTTTTCATGGCGTTTTCGAGGGGACTTTCAGGTACGGAACACCGGATTAAGCCAGGTGAGGCCCGTTTTATCGAGGGGACTGCAGGTACGATAACCATATCAACGGTTAGAAAGGCGCCGGATTGAGCCAGGTGAGGTGCTCTGATTTACCCTTCGATTCCTCCACAGCGGTTTTTCGAGGGGACTTTCAGGTACGAGGGCCACCTTAATGGCTGGAAAGACGCCGGATTGAGGCAGATGAGGTGGTTTGATTTACCCCTTCTATGGCGTTTGAGAGGGGACTGCTGCAGGTATGGAATGCCGGATTAGGCCATGTGAGGACCGTTGGTTGAGACCCCCGTTCCATATAGTTCCCTATCTGCACTGCCTTCGAGGGGGGTTCACTGGGGGGGTTCACTGGAAGCCTGTGGTTTTACTGGAATGGCAGGGGAATCGCCGGATGAGGTGCGTTTTGATTAAGATTTGATTAATATTCATTTGCTCCGTACTTAGTCCTTGCATTCGATGACTCTCGTCCAAGGCTCTTAGCTGCAGTTTTCGTACCCTTAGATGGGGGGTTAAGATAGGATGTTAGATTAACAGCAAGCAAGACGCCGCATTGGGATGGATGATTGGGGATTTTCAATATCGTTCATGCATGATTTACATCCAAGCTTGCCCTCCCCTGCTTCCCCCCCTCTCGCCCCCCTTTGCCCCCCCCTTTCCCCCCCTCTCTCCCCGATCAGCATCAGCGGTACTAACTTAACCTAGCCTCGGCACTCCACGTACCCACCGCGGACGCCCGTGCGTCCCGCAACGCTGCTCCCCGCGCCTTAGCTAGGCCTTGGCGCTAGAGCGATTTGTTAAACAGCATCACCTCATCATTACTAAAACACTAGTAACAGACACCACTACGCCAGGGTTAATCTCCCCTGCACCAGAATTGGAAGAAATACAACGCGTCGGGTATAGCGCGTGTCTCGAAGATCTCAAATACACCCCAGCACAGCTACGTGCGCGACCCCGCTCGTTCGCCGCCCTGGTCGCCGCCGAGGCCACTACCACGCAAGGGTAGGGGGACGGGGACGGATACCCCAGCTTGCCCAGACGGGGTTGCGATGGCCCGGCCGGTAGCTCGGTCGCTGAGCCTCAGCTGAACTAACTTCACCTCGCCGTCGGCGTGCTCGCCGATTCGGAAGGTCCCGCCCCCTGCTGGGTTATCGTGGTTGATCCGAGCGTGTTGCCCGGTGATGGGCCGCTGACAGTGTGTGATGGCGGGCTGTGAAGGTGGGTTGGTTGCGGGGAGGGGAGCGACGTCATGGTTTCTGGGAGAGGGGGGATAACGCGCCAGGCTCAGGGGGAGGGGGGGAGCTGGGCAGCAGCAGCAGGAGTAGGGAGGGCATGAGAGCTGCACACTGGCGATGCCGGCGGTGCCACGGCGGCACTTCGATGCAGGACGGCGGTGCAGCGGCGGCACGTTGCTGTGCCACGGTGCCACTACGGCAGTTTGCAAGTCACGCCGAGAGGGAGGGGTGGATAATGAGACATTGTAAGCAAGATGCAGGACACAATGATGATGATTTGAGCGCTACGGCGTCTGCTTCTACATGCTTTCGAGCGAGACAGCGCTGTCTGGCAGTGTCTAGATGGTTGGCTGTTGCTGCTATTATCGACGAACAGGTGTGAGGTCCAAAACACGGTCTTGGGAGCGGTACAGTACAAGATACAAGATAGCTGCGTAGACCGTTGGTGCCGAATGTATGTAGGGGGGTGTCACGCACACCCTGCTTGTTTCTGCGGCAGGTGATGCATCGCATCGCCGCGCATCGCATTCAAGCAGGGCCGACCTGCTGCCCTGCTGTTCGTTCTGCTCTGCAGCGGCACAACGGCGATGCGTACAGTAAGGGGTCGCTCGCGCAGTGCAACGGTGGCTGATCGCGGTGGTGGCGTCCATGATGCTACCCTATCGACGATGGTGGCGCGCCGATGCGTCCTGGTTGGTGGGATGGGGGTCGTATCGTAGGGTGCCATTCCATTCCATAAGGCTGGATCAGGGGATTATGCTGAGTTCCCTGTCCATATCCCGCCCCCTTCCCTGTCGAGTTGCGACTGCCAGCGTCCTAAACAAACCCGCCCTCTCCCCATAACGGTAACATCCCCGCCCTCGACGGGGCCGGTGTGCTAGGCGTGAACGGCCAGAACGGCTTGGGGGAGGTTCGAGGCGGCAGGAAGGGGGGCTACATATCCCCAGAGGAGGGTTACATCACTTTGCATCTCGATGAATCGAGAGTCGAGCCGTTTCCGTGGTGATGGTGGTGGCTCGATGGGGGGATGGGGGGATGGGGGGATGGAGGGGGGGGCGCGTGGTGGGTGGGCGTGTGCCGTGCTGTGGTGCGACGCGGGCACGAGGGGCGCGTGGGTTTGCGGTGCGTGTGATGCTGTGGTACGGTGGGGATGGCGTGTATTGGGGCTGAGAGGCGGGATGGGGTGCTGTGTGGTTTGTTTGGGGGGTGAGGGGAGAATGGATTGGTGGCGTTCGCGTGGTGGTGGAGGGTGGATTGGAGGATTGGAGGCTGGTTTTGTTGTTGGGTTCTGGAATTGGATTGTAGATATGATATTTAGAGGGAGAAGGAGAGGTGAGAGAGATGAGTTGGATTTAACTTTATATGGTTGAATCGTGTATGTAAATGAATAAAATCCATAGCAAACTTATATTTATGTTTTCTTTTTCTTGAAGTTTAATGTTTTTGAAGTGAGAATAAAAAATATATAATAAGATTGATTCTCGCCCTGTGAAATATCATCATCATCAATGGACAGAAAGATATAAACACATTTACCCCTATCAACACGTCTGGTCAAAGACGTAAAAAGAGAGAAAGAATCGCGTGGATTTGAATATCACAAAATCAATGGACAGATAAATCCATAAACGCCTACCTATATCACAACTACACTCGCCAGTCCTGGCTGAAAACGAATAAATAGAAATAGTAAGAGCTTCTCAGAACGTCTCCAATTTGTATTTCTTGGATGTGTATTCCACGATCCAGTATTAAATCTTCGACCACCCCCTATTCTCTCCATACCTCCCATCGTCGTGCCCCGCAACGCCTCAAGATCCACGCGGATATCCCTCTATGTACACCCCACCATTCGCCAAATGCCAAACGCCCCTATAATACACAAATCTACACCTCCTCTCCGTCCCTCATCCCTTTAACTACCCCCCGGCAACGCGGGCGGGCCCATCCCACTCTTCACCCTCTTCGCATCCGGCACCTTAAACCCCCCATTCCCACCACCAACCTGCGTAAACGTCCCCCCCTTAAACCACCCCTCCTCCTCCGCCTTCCTCTTCCTCGCAACCTCATCCCTAATCTTGGGATCCACCAACTCCAGCCCCTGCACCGGCGTAAAAACAACACTACTCGCCGTCCCCGCCGCCCCCACTCCACTCTCCCTAAGTCCCTTCCCTCTAAGATCCATGGCCCCGACGCCACCGCCGAATCCGCGGAGACTCGACGCCGTTCCGCTGCCGGGTGCGGGCGTCGCGGCGCCCCAGCCGGGATTCTTTTTCCCGAGCTTCGCGCGCGTGCGCGGATCAATCTGTAGTCTCCTAATCCTCCCCGCCTCAACCCCTTGCTTCTCACCCCCGCCCTCCGCCTCCTCCTTCCCAAACACCATCCTATTCTGCGCCTTCCGCAGATCCGTCATAGCAGTAGCCTCCTTGGCCTTCCTCGCGCGCCTCCCTCCCCGCTTACGGCTCGGCTTGTCATCCGGCGCTGGTAGCGCGCGCGCTCCCTTGTTGGGAGGGGGGATGGTGAGTTTCTCCAGCCGCTCGAGACAGGCTGCTTTTAGCTCCTCGCCTGTTGCACCGGAGGGGGAGGAGTGCACGCGGTCGACGCGCGCGGCGAGGACGAGTTTTGCTGCGACGATGCGCTGGGCTTGGCGGCGGAGGTCGGGGGGTACCCCCGCGATGATGGGGGAGTGGTAGAGGAATCCCTGTTGGCGGGCTCCGACGTTCGTGGCGAAGCCTGTTCCGGCTGTCTTCTTAGAGCCGAGGGAGGCGAGGTTGCAAGCTGGTGTTTTGGCCAGGCCAGTCAGGCCGCCTGCGAAGTTGAGGAGTTGCGCTGCGGTGAGAGAGCCGATTAGGGCGGTGAGGTTTGGGGCGAAGAGTGTCATCCGCGATTGTACGTAGTCGGTTAAGGTGCGCTTGGCGCGGTCGAGGGAGAGGGTCATTTCGCAGGCGTGCAGGACGCGGGAGAGTTCCGAGGGGGTGAGGGCGCGGCCTTTGGTGGTGGTTGCTTCGACCGTGACGATCATGAGAGAGGGGCCGTCCAGGACGGCGCGGAGGGTTGTGCCGAGGAGGTTGTCGGTGGAGGTTTGGAGGCGCTTTATGTTCTCGTTGTCCATGGGGCCGTTGCCGATTATGGCGACGACTTTGGCGTAATCGAGGGGGTTTTGGACCATTGTCTCGAGCTCGGGGAAGCGCGTGGAGTAATGGTCTCGGATGAACTTGTGGACGAGGATGATCTCGCTGTCGATGGATGTTGAGAGCGTGTTCGATTGGGTTAAAAGGTGGTACTCGGGGTTGTCCTCAATCGAGCCGACGTGCGTTGTCTGCTGGTCCGCTGGTAGGTTCTGGAAATATGATATCTTCTGTAGGCGCGCGGAAGATGTCAGGACTGGTACAAATAGAAGATGTAAACCTCTGTTCAGAGACGGGGCTGGGAAGGGGGAGTACTGACCTCTAATACTGGCTCGAGGGTCTTCATCAGACCCGCGACGCTGCGCACATCATCGACGCCTCCAAGCTGCATCTTCTCGACCTTGGCCTTCGTCGTCTCTTCACCATCCATCAGATCTATCGCATTGCCCGCGCCCGCCATGTCCTCGTCCTCTTCCATATCCTCCTCGTCCCCATCGAGCTCCATGGTCTCGCCATTCCCGTTGTTTGTCGGCGCATGCCAGTCCGCCTCGGGGAAGAGGCCGCCATTCTCGGTCTCGGGCTCCCCCTCTGAGCCCGAGTCCTCAAAGTCGTTCAAAAGTTCATCGGCAAGAGTCGACATCTTGACGTATAAGTCTTGAGAGCGAACGAGATTGCTGCGTTGCGTTGGAATATTTGGAAGGCTGCGGTCGTGACAATAATTATTGTCGCCTCGCGCTAATGTGATTTGGTTTAGCGTGCCTCGGACAAGGCTGAGAACTTTAAATGGCAGCCTTGTGATAGAATGAGGGTAGTACGATGATGGGATAATGGTCACCAAAGCAGCAGAATATGATAACATTGGACCATTTCACCAAAACTACACGCTAAATATCAAAAGCAACCCCATGGCAACGTGTCCTCTTAATCAACCCTGTCCTGAGGGTCAATCTATGCCCTGAAGTAGCTTTTTGGCGCCTATGACGAAATGTTTACTTCCCTAGTGACCCTTCATCAATGGGACAAGGTGGTACTTATGTGTACATAGGGAACTGAGGAGTTATAGGACTTTAATAGTTTCATTTTGGCTTAAAAACTAGCAATTGGACGCGCATGGGATCGAAAGGGCCTCGTAAGGGGTGGGAGGGTGCAAGGGAGGACGAGGACGAGGGGTCATGATACCTGACGTCATAATGTCCTCCTCTATCAACAAACGACTCAGGCTGGGCTGACCTTTTCTGATCTGATCCAATATTCAGTATCTTTACTACGCAATCGAAGCCCAACTCTTGCATTGTTTACGTGTTGAAACGCCATGCCTACCAAACCGCTAATCCTTGCTGTCAATGCGGGCTCCTCCTCCGTCAAAGTCAGTGTCTTTACACTCTCCTCCTCGGAACCACACCAAATTGCAGAAGCTCAGCTCGATGGGCTGACGGCCCCGCCGGCAAAGCTATCATACACCCGTGGCTCCACTACAGTATCCAAAGGAAAGGAGCGGAAACAGGACGTCAAGGACCAAGGCGCCGCGTTCTCGATCCTCTTGGATGAGCTGGTAAATGACTCAAAGCTAACCGAGCTAGCAAGCAAGAAGGACATTACGCATGTATGCCACCGTGTTGTGCATGGTGGAGACTACTCCAAGCAACAGGCTATCACGAAGGAGACACTCCAGACTCTGGAAGAACTGAGTAGCCTGGCACCACTTCACAATGCCCCCGCCCTATCAATAGTGCGCAGCTGTCTTGACAAGCTGCCCGGCACGCGCAACGTCGCATGCTTTGACACACAGTTCCACCGGGGCTTACCAGAGCATGTCCGCACGTACCCAATCAACCAAGAAGTGGCGCGCAAGAATGGATTGCGGAAGTATGGGTTCCATGGGTTATCTTATTCATTTATCACACGTACCGTAGCAGGATTCTTGGGCAAGAAGCCAGAGGAGACTAACTTGATTGCCCTGCATCTCGGGTCTGGAGCGAGTGCGTGTGCCATTAAGGGAGGTAAGAGCTGGGATACGAGTATGGGCCTCACGCCGCTGGCGGGGCTGCCAGGCGCGACACGGAGCGGGAGCGTAGATCCTAGGTAAGTGCTTTGGCCTTGGAGGGTTTGCACCGTCTAATAGCTACAGTCTCGTCTTTCATTATGCCTCAGACGTGGGCAAGCTGTCACCCGCGTCTACAAAAGACCTCCACGTCTCGCGCGCTGAGGACATACTAAACAAGCAGTCCGGCTGGAAAGCGCTGACTGGCACGACGGACTTTGGTGCCATCAGCGCGGGGTACGACAAGGACCCCGCGAAGAAGCTGGCGTTTGATTTGTTTGTTGACCGTATCTGTGGCTTTATCGGCGCATACTACGTTAGCCTGCACGGCGAGGTAGATGCTCTGGTCTTCGCTGGCGGGATTGGTGAGAAGAGCGCTGAGCTGAGGAAGAGTGTTGTTGAGCGGTGCGCATGTTTGGGGTTTGCAATAGGAGAGGAGGCGAATGGTAAAGGGGGAGGTGATGACGTGGTGCGGGATATTAGTAGGAAGGGAAAGCACAAGGTGCTTATTTGTAAGACAGATGAGCAGCTTGAGATGGCGAGGGAAGTGGTGGAGATTGAGAGCTTGAGCGGGTAATATGTAATGTTTGGGGGTAATTTTATAGTTTGTGGCTATCCTAATAACTTATGATGAGTTTGAAGTTTGAGCAGCCTCTATTGCAAACCCAAACACTTATGTATGCAACTTTTAGATTTGATAGACCAAACATTTGCATTCATATAGTCCCATATAATGTTATTACCCAATCAGTATCGTAAACCCAACCATACTCACTCAGCCTATCATAAAACCGCTCGATAAACTCCAATCCCACAAACGCCACATAAATCGTTTCCACATGTCCGGATCATCCCAAGCGCCACCACATACAAAACTCCTAACAACCAACACCCTTCACGGAACTCCATACCCCCCATCCTCAACCTCCGTGCCCTTCCCCTGCGTCCACCGCGCAAACGCATCCTCATACACATCCTCTCCACAGACTGTCGCCCTAACTGCCTCACACCCTTCTACAGCACCAACCCACCTCTCCCAGCGGCTTCCCGGCTCTGGATCCGGCCAGCCGCGGGACTTCTTGAGCATGCGGCTACATCTTAGCATCCACGGCGCGAACACGATATCAACGTGTCCGAGCGTCGCGCCGAGGAAGAAAGGGCCCTCGACGTCCGCAGCCTCAACCATCTTGTTGATCTCGTCCTGTAGTGTCGCTACCGCCCCCAGCGTCTTGTCTGCAGGGCTGAACTGCAGCACCCTGTAGAACGCTGGCACCACGGCGCGGTTTACGTGGTCTGCCCAGAGACGCGCCGTAGCTCGCAGGCATGGATCGCTTGGCATCAGGGGGATGCCAAGGTCGAGGTCGTCCAGATACTCCAAGAGCACTGTGGAGTCGCTGCAGCCCCAGTTGCCGTGGCGGAGGGTGGGAACAGGACCGGCGGGGTTGATTTCTAGATGAGCGGCGGGTTTTCTCAGGGGGTCGACTTCGATATATTGGTATGGGATGTCCTTGGCTTCTAGGGCGATCCAGACTCGGTGCACGTAGGGGCTGCTGCATGTCCCGAAGAGTTTAAGATCTTGGTCCTTTGAGCGTTTGCGGGTCGTCACAAGGGCAGCACCGCTGGCCTTGGGGTTGGTTGATTTCTGATATGTGTTAGAGCGTCTGATTAAGGAGCAGGGAAATATAGAACATGAAAAGCATGACTAACCATAGACTTTCTCTTTTCTTTGTCTCTCTTCATGAGAAAGCGTTGGACGCTGTTCTTCTTGACCCTGTCACTTTCTTCTAGCGTGTGTTTATGAGGTCCAGCAATCCCATCTCCTTTACCGTTCCCGCCATTACCATTGACCCGTTGTATTGTGTAGAATCGTTCACCGGTGCTCCCAGGGTGGCCTTGTTCACCAGAACCACCATAAGGCCGCCGAGAGTCTTGAACGCCTAGCCCTGTAGTGGTGTTGGGCGAGTAGAACTCCCCATTATGATTTCCATCAATGCTCTGGCCCTCATCGGGGACGAAATCTGGGCGCAACATGGCTCCAGGCAAGTACTCTGTAATCTTGATTTTGACATCGCATAGATCACGCTCGCGTGCCACACGCTTGCGCTTTTTCTTATTCGGATCTTCGGACTTGGGTGTGCCCGGCGGGCGTCCTTTCAACCTGCAATCCCAGTAGTGAGAGACGAATGGCTTGCGCTTATATCGTTGTGTTGATCGATGAGAGTAGACATTGTCGACATGCGCAAAGTATGTTTCGAACCTGCGGCTGTTAGTATATATAATCGCATGAGTGTTCGTATTACCTACTGGTCTTGACTCAAGGTTATCATTTCGTCCACGTCGAATAGCTTCTTGCGCCATTCAGCAATGTTCGGAGGGTCCGCAACGACCCGGGTGCTTAAATGGCCATTGCTCTTCTGGTCCGGGCCACCGGGAGACCCAAAGATATCTTCATCTTCCTGCAATTTCGCAATCGCATTGTGTTGCAGATGGGTCAGGATGGGGAAGGGATGGTGCGGTTGGTGTTGCTGAGGGGTATGCGGGCTCCCAGAAGGCTGGTGGTGCATATGTCGATGGCCATGATTACCATCAAACGTGTTTGGCGAATGAAAGACCTGGGTGTGCGAGGCACTCTGAAAACTCTGCAAGCCTTGTTGAAACACGGCGTCGTTATCATCAAGGCCGCTCAGACCGAGCCCGTTCTGTGGCCCTAGACTCTGGTGGGACATGTGAGGCTGGCCGTGCTGGAGACCATGAGACACCTGCGGTTGCAGATTGCGATAGCTCGAGGGCATTTGCTGGTGAAGAACTGCCTCGGCCTCCATCATTGCTGGAGATTCATCTGTTTATCCCTCTGTATACTGGTTGGCGCTTCCTCATCGATTGCATTGCTACCACCCGCTTCTCCGCGGCCAATGCGGTATGTGAAGGGTCCAAGTCCAAGGTCCAAGCAAGGACGGATAGGAGGTGGACCGGATGGTCACGACCACCGTTACCCAAATAACCACGAAGTAACGTAAAAATTACTGTATAGCCACCGCGACCAGTTGAGGACAATCGCAAGGAGCAAAAGGGAAGCAAAAATAAAACAAACCCAGACAAAAAAGGGAGCAAAATGTTATGAACGATGCAGGGATCGAACCTGCGACCTTTTCCGCGTCTGATGACTTTGTAAAGGAAACGTGATAACCACTACACTAATCGTCCATTGTGGTGATACTGGCTCGGCTAAGCTGATCAATACCATCCATAGAACGTGGATGTCATTAATGCTTGTCCTTTAGAGTGTTGGAAGTGACCGCGCTTGGTGGGGAATTGGCAAAGAAAGCGTTTGGAATCACAGCAGGTTTCTATGAAAACGGATGATAATTATCACCCATAGCGACCGAGTTAGCTCATCTTTAGGTGTAAATGCAGTACTCTATAAACTCTCAGAACAAGTTCTGCCTATATTATAAGGCTCTTATTGGCTATGCTATCAACATAGAGCGGCCGCTAGTTTTAAGTATGCTTTCTTGGCGTGTCTACCTCCCAACCCAAAAGTATATCAAATATCTAACAAAACCAACCCAAGTCTGCAACCCAACAACACACGCCCCTCCGAGCTCTCCTCCTCCACCGCCATCATGGAGTCCTCCCATGGCCCTCCGCGGGTCAAAAACAAGGCCCCCGCGCCTCAACAAATCTCCGCCGAACAGCTTCTGCGCGAGGCCGTCGACCGACAGGAGCCTGGCCTTCAAGCGCCTACGCAGCGCTTCGCAGATCTAGAGGAGCTTCATGAGTTTCAGGGTCGGAAAAGGAAAGAGTTTGAGGACTATGTGCAACGGAACCGGATTAATATGAACAATTGGATGCGCTATGCACAATGGGAACTGGAGCAAAAAGAATTCAAGCGCGCGAGGAGTATCTTCGAGAGAGCGCTGGATGTGGACTCGACGAGCGTTACGCTGTGGATACGATATATTGAGGCGGAGATGAAGACGAGGAATATCAACCATGCGAGGAATTTGCTGGACAGAGCAGTGACGATTCTACCCCGCGTGGATAAGCTGTGGTACAAATATGCCTATATGGAGGAGATGCTAGGAAATATCCCCGGAACAAGACAAGTGTTTGAGCGCTGGATGAGCTGGGAGCCAGATGAGGCGGCGTGGAGCAGCTACATTAAGCTTGAGAAACGATATGGGGAATACCAGCGAGCCCGAGATATCTTTGCGCGCTTCACGACAGTACACCCGGAGCCAAGAAACTGGATTAAGTGGACACGCTTCGAGGAGGAATATGGAACGAGCGATCTGGTGCGCGAGGTGTTCGGTATGGCTGTTGAAGCTCTGGGAGAAGACTTTATGGACGAGCGACTCTTCATCGCATACGCACGTTACGAAGCCAAACTCAAGGAATACGAGCGCGCCCGCGCCATCTACAAATACTCCTTAGATCGTCTCCCAAGATCGAAATCTTTAGCCCTACACAAGTCATACACGACTTTCGAGAAGCAATTCGGTGACCGCGAGGGTGTGGAGGACGTCATATTATCGAAACGCCGGGTGCAGTATGAAGAACAACTCAAAGAGAACTCGAAGAACTATGATACCTGGATCGATTACGCACGCTTGGAAGAGACATCGGGTGACCTGGACAGGGTGCGCGACGTATACGAACGTGCGATTGCGCAACTACCGCCGAGTCAGGAAAAGAGGCATTGGAGGCGATACATTTATCTGTGGATCTTCTATGCCATCTGGGAAGAGATGGAAGCTGGTGATGTATCTCGGGCGCGCCAGGTGTACGCCGAATGCATGCGCCTAGTTCCGCATAAGAAGTTCACATTCGCCAAGATCTGGCTCCTTGCAGCGATGTTTGAAGTCCGCCAAAAGGATCTGGGGAAGGCTAGGAAGATGCTGGGGCAGGCAATTGGGATGTGCCCGAAAGACAAATTGTTCACTGGGTATGTCGCTCTGGAACTCAAGCTGTTCGAGTTTGCGCGATGCAGGACGCTGTATCAGAAGGCGCTCATGTTCAACCCTGCGAACTCATCAGCTTGGATAAGGTTTGCAGAGTTGGAGCGCGGACTGGATGATCTGGAGAGGGCACGGGCCGTGTATGAGCTGGCTATTAACCAACAAATGCTTGATATGCCAGAACTGGTGTGGAAGAGCTATATCGACTTTGAGGAGGAGGAGGGAGAGTACGAGCGCACAAGGAGTCTGTACGAAAGGTTATTAGAGAAGACAGGACACGTGAAGGTCTGGATCTCATATGCGCACTTTGAGATCAATATTCCCGACGAGGAAGAGGAAGGAGAAGAAGAAGAAAGGCCGATTAGCGATGCTGCGAAGGACAGAGCGAGGAAGGTATTTGAGCGTGCACACAAGAGTATGAAAGAACGGGATTTGAAGGAGGAGAGGGCGGCACTGCTGGCGGCGCACCTAAGCTTTGAGATGACTCATGGCGACGAGGCGAGCCAGGAGGGGCTGACGAAGAAGCAGCCAAGGAAGACGAAGAGGAGGAGAAAGATGGACGATGATACCTATGAGGAGTATGTGGATTACGTGTTCCCGGACGAGGAAGAGGGGAAGAAGAGACTTGGTGGGCTTATGGAAGCTGCAAGGCTGTGGAAGGAGAAGGGCGGGGGCGTGTAAGAATGGCGGTGCTGGTATCTACAAAGATCGTACTAATGAAATCGAAGTTTGGACATCAAAAGATTTGTGGTCCATTGTTGAATGTAAATACACCTCAAGTAGAGGTGTTTTAACGTCTTGAAACGCATGTATGGCCACGAAATTAATGTGTTCGCTCAATAGTTTCGAAGCTCCTTTTATATCAATTAATCCTGCACCACGCTGGCATCAGGTTTAATAGTTGTCCAAGGAGATACTCCATTCCGCAAAAAACGCTACTCACAAGACCAAGCGCTTCAAGTCAACATGTAGAACTCTTGATTCTGATATAATTATTCCCATAAAAGACGAAAGCCCCCGCACCTTCCACCCAACCCCTTCCCCTCTCATCCCATAGAGAAAGAAAGGAGAATAGCATCGTACAAAGCCACTAATCGTATCGCCAGAACCCAGCAAAGAGCCAATCCGCCTGGTGAGATTGCAAGCGTCTCGCATCTACAGCACAAACCGCTTCCGCCACGGATGGCTCCGGAATTGTATACCATAAGGGATAAAAATTATACATCGACATAGGGCCAAAGGAGAAGTGCATCGCAAAGCTAACTTTCAACAATATTCACATATTTACGACGAGACGGATGATGCGACTGGCCTGGTTGTCCCGAAAGTGCTGGTCATCTCCTTGGCATATCTTTCGCGCTCTGCCACAGCGAGGTCCTCATACAACTGCGTAGAAGTGTCAGTTCTTTCTCGTGGATTAGCTCATATAAAACGCACCTTCTTCTCAGATTCTGACAGGGCCTTGTACTCCTGGGTCAGAACCTTCGCTGCCTCGACTGGAGAGATTCCCTTGAAGTCGCCGCTGGCGTATCTCTCCTTGACAAAATGTATGTATGCGGGCAAAGGTCTCTTGGGGATTCTGGGGTCATCGATCTTCAGATGCTTTCCTTGTTTTATCAAGCCAAGGTGCTTTAAACGTTGCTGGGCATGGTTTGAGTCGTATATCTGTTGTGGGGATAGGGATGCCAGCCAGGATTCGTAGCTTGCATCATTTGTGGCCTTATTTGCGTTGGCTTTTTGGTTATAGGTCTACGAATGTCAGCATAGACCTTGTAGTGCCACTGGATACAGTATCAGATGGACTCACCTCTCGTGTAGATGGATCTAGAGTCTTGTATCTGGCGGACGAATCTTTGACCAAGTCTGCCATTGGAAGCCCCGGGTGCTGCGAGACGGACTCTGAGTTCAATACTGTCCAGGCCGTAGCAGGGAGCTTCTTTGGTGGAGTCAAGACCTTGGCCTTTAGCTCTCGAATTTTGGCTTTCTCATCCTCCACGACCTTCCTATCCTTCTTCCTCTGTGCCTGTACCTTCACCTTAATAGCATCCGCCTCCTTCTTCTTCTGTGCCTGTATCTTCACCTTAATAGCATCCGCCTCCTTCTTCTCTTGCTGCTTCCCGGTCAGCACCTTCTTCGCCTTCTTCGCTGCCGGTTTCTTCACGGCCTTCTTGGTAGTGGTAGAGGCGCGTTTCTTAGCTGGCTTATCTGAAGCTGGCTTGGTCGGCTTGGTGGTAGAAGCGCTGTAAAGACGCTTGCTGGAGAGAATGACAAGAGCGCGTCTATGAAAATCCGATTGTAGCGCATTCTTTCCACTCTGGGTGATCTGGACGCGCTGGATCTGTTGCGGGACGCGTGCTGTTGATCTACCTCCCCTAATCCTCCCAATTGCTGCTCTGCCGATTGCGGAAAACATGGCGATGTTGCGATTCAAGTTCTGTGTTCTTCAATGGAGATGTATTCCGTATATTTGCGACGACCAAGTCTCGATCTCTCAAAGGACTTCGTGGACGTCTCAGTTGTCCCTGAAACAACGAGGAGGCTGGAGCGAGCTCAAGTGGGACCTGGAGCTTTTGAGCTTATGCTGCAACGGGACACACGGCGACCGAAATGAACCAGTAGTGCAATTTAAGCATTTGCCTTGTGAATTCAAGTTGATATTGCGACAGTCGGTCAATTACTTATGCCTGGGAACAATAACCAGCCACCAGTCTGATTTATACGGCACTCGCACGGAACGACGGTAGAAATATAGTTGAGAATTGCGAGAAGCTTACAAGAGTACTTCTAACTTAAGTCATAACGGCGCAGCCATGGCGCGTCGAAGGGATTCTCGCTCACCATCGGCTACAGGATCTCACCACTCCTCCAAAAGAAGCAGAAGAGACGATGACATTCGACACGACAGAGACCGTCGGGATGACCCACGAGGGGCGCCACGGCGGAGGAGCCGTTCTCGCAGCATCGATGTAAGAAGTCGTGATGAGTATCAGAAGAGTTCTTTTGCTAACGACTATTTCAAGCGACGCCACCGAGATTCACGCGATTTACCCCGCCAACGAGATCGCTCAATAGGTCGAAGAGACGATGGGTATAGACGACGAGATAGGTCTCGAGACCGCAGACCCTCCAGAGAGAGGCAACTAGACAGAGACCGCTCTCCAGACCGAAGGCGACGCCGAAGCCGTGATCGAGATTACAGGGACAGGCGAGATGACTCCCGTGACACGCTTCATAGACGCCACGAGGATCAAACTAACTCATACTCACGTTCTAGACCTTATGATGGTCGTGATAGTAGGACAAACCGGGAACCTGATGGAAAGCGCAATGCTGTATGTTCTACACTCCTTTATCAAATTGAGAAGTAATCTAACAAACTTCTTCAGGCCGAACAACATCCAGCGCCCAGTGCACCGACCGATGAACAAAAGAAGGCGGAAAGACTGGCAAAGTTAGAAGCCTGGAAGAAGAAGGTTGCTGAACAGAAGGAGCAGAAAGAGAAGCTGGAAGCAGGTGGCACACGGAAACTACTGGACCAAATCGACGTGAAGGCTAATGGCTCGCCGAGTGCGACACCTGGATCGACAGCACTGTTGGCTGACACGGCGTCTCCAGGCTCCCCTGCGCCATATGCTGGAAAGTTTGACCCCAAAGCAATTGCAAGGAGAGCATCTGAAAAACTGAATGCTGCTGCTGCTCTTAACAAGAACACACCAGGCATTGAATTGGCTCAAACGTCCGCTACTTCACTATCTGCGACAAACGGTGTTCAAGCCGACAAAAACCTTCCAGCGTTTTCTAGTTCTTCAAGAGGCAAGCTACACCTATCTGCAACTGTATCTACAACATTGCTAACTAAGACAATAGCCTCTGCATTACCCAAAGCCCGTGGAAATCTAAGCGCATTTGGCCTTGGAGCGAAATCTGCCCAGGACCAAGAGAAATCTTCAGCAAAGAGGGGCTTGGTGTTTGGAGATGATGAAGGAATGAGGAAGAAACTTGAAAAGCTACCGTCCCTTCCCGTGGCAAACAATGAAGACGACGATACTGCGCAAGCTAACGGTGATGAGAAAAGCGATGATGACGGCGATGTCGACATGGAAGCTGGGACTGAAGAAGAGGCCGCAGCAGCAGCCCGAGCTGCAGCTGAACGACGAGAAGAACGTTTGCAGGCTGAGAACAACACTCAGGCTGACGGTGCAGCTGCCGATGTCGCAATGGCGGAAGCCCCTGAAGCACAACCCGAGCAAGCTGCTGCAGAAGAAGAAGAGGAGGAAGAAGTTGATCCCCTGGATGCTTTCATGGAGGAAATGGGAGACCCCTTTGCGGCGCCAAAGACAACCACCAATTTCAATAAAAACAAGAGCAAGAGCCAACACGAACCGGAGCCGATCTTTGGTGACGAAGAGGACCAGGCTGGAACATTGGATTCGGAGCCCGAAGATATTCTAGCTATGGTCAGCAAAGTACGAAAGAAGAAGGATTTGCCAGTGATCAACTACGCAAAGCTGGACCTGGCGCCATTTCGTAAGAATTTCTATACGGAACCAGCGGAGCTTGCTGGGATGACGGAAGCTGCACTAGCGGATCTACGTCTCGAGCTCGATGGGATTAAGGTGTCGGGAAAGAACGTGCCAATACCTGTGCAGAAATGGTCACAATGCGGTCTCAACATTCAGTCGCTGGATGTTATCAAAAGGCTTGGCTACGAAAGGCCCACTGCTATTCAGATGCAAGCTCTCCCTGCCATCATGTCAGGTAGGGATGTTATCGGTGTGGCCAAGACTGGATCAGGAAAGACCATGGCCTTCATGTTACCTATGTTCCGACACATTCGTGACCAACCGCCTCTTGAAGGCTCGGATGGACCTATCGGTCTAATCATGACACCAACAAGAGAACTCGCAACCCAGATTCACAAGGAGGCCAAGCCATTTCTAAAATCTATGAATCTTCGTGCTGTTTGTGCCTATGGAGGCGCCCCTATCAAAGATCAAATTGCCGAGCTCAAGCGCGGCGCCGAGATCATCGTGTGCACTCCTGGCCGCATGATTGATCTCCTCGCTGCCAATTCTGGTCGGGTAACTAACTTGAGACGCGTGACATATGTTGTCCTCGACGAAGCAGACCGCATGTTCGATATGGGCTTCGAGCCGCAAGTCATGAAAATCTTTGCCAATATCCGCCCCAATAGGCAGACCATTATGTTCTCCGCTACCATGCCAAGGATTATGGACGCCCTCGCCAAGAAGACCTTGAATGATCCTGTGGAAATCACTGTCGGTGGAAGGAGTGTAGTCGCACCCGAAATCACCCAAATAGTAGAGGTCCGTGAGGAGGATGATAAGTTCATCCGCCTACTGGAGCTTCTTGGCGAACTATACGACAAGGACGAAGATGCGCGCACCCTCGTGTTTGTCGACCGCCAGGAGAAAGCCGACGATTTGCTCAAAGATCTCATGCGGAAAGGCTACCCCTGCATGTCGATTCACGGTGGCAAAGACCAAATTGACAGAGATTCCACCATTGACGATTTCAAGGCTGGTGTAACGCCAATTATGATTGCGACATCTGTTGCTGCACGAGGATTGGACGTGAAGCAGCTAAAACTCGTTGTCAACTATGATGCGCCCAATCATCTGGAAGATTATGTTCATAGAGCTGGCCGAACTGGTAGGGCGGGTAATACGGGCACAGCAGTTACATTCATCACAGGGGATCAAGAGCAATACTCAGTTGGCATATCGAAGGCCCTGGAACAAAGCGGGCAGCCCGTCCCAGACCGCCTCAATGAAATGAGGAAGGCCTTCAGAGCCAAGGTTAAGACTGGCAAATCCCAAGACAGTTCTGGCTTTGGTGGTAAGGGTCTAGAGCGCCTCGACCAGGAGCGTGAAGCCGCACGGATGCGCGAGCGTAAGACGCACAAGACCGAAGGCGACGACGAAGAAGAAAAGGAAGAGAAGGGCGACGACGGGATCCTACTCAAGGCCGCCTCCACCGTCCAGTCAGCGACAACCCCTGCACCTGCACCTGCAGCTCCAGCGCAGCTCGTGGGGGTACCCAAGGGCATTGATCTGGACGGTAAGATTACAGTGCACCGCACCGAGACCGCAACCGCGGGCTCCGGGTCCAAGAACCCACTGGACAAGGTGGCATCGGCCATCGACGCCATCAACTCGCGCCTCAACAAGACCGGGCAGCTGCGCTCGGGGGTGCCGATCGATAACAAGGGCCCCGACGCAGGCGCCTTCCACGCGACGCTCGAGATCAACGACTTCCCACAGAAAGCGCGCTGGGCCGTCACGAATCGCACTAATGTCGCCAAGATCCTCGAGGCGACAGGGACCAGCATCACGACGAAGGGGAGCTTCTATCCGGCGGGCAAGGAGGTGCAGGCCGGTGGGGACCCGAAATTGTATATCCTGGTGGAGGGCGATACGGAGCTCGTGGTCACGAACGCTATGAGGGAGCTAATGCGGTTGTTGAAGGAGGGGACCATGGCGGCGGCGGAGGTGGATAGTAGGGCGCCTGTTGGGGGGAGATACACGGTTACTTAGGTGTTAGCTATATTATGAGATACCAAAATGGCGCATTGGGGCGGTGGTCAAGAGATGCCTCTTGTCTCTGAAATATCAACAGAATGTACCAAGCACAGTCTCTTACATACCATGCATGTAACGTTGTCAACAGCGAGTCGTGGCCCATCCCATGATCGACTCGAGGAAAATATAACCCACCTTCCTCTCCAAGTTGTAACTGCATATTTCTCCTCCAATAATCCATCCCATCACTAGACATCAGGGTTTCGTTCCTAGGACACCAACACCACCTCACCACCATAGTCAGCCGTGGCGTCCCTGCACTGCACGCGGACCACTAACACTGTCTTCGGACGGTCCTAATCCCATAGTACTGTTGGTGCGTCCAACCAGTCATGCACCGCGCTAAATCGTCATCCCAACCGTCTGGGCAACAACTTGGCCTCTTACGCCGCAGGGCAGACAATCCGAGTGGTGACGGCGTGTAACCGCCTCCCATCCCGTTCCCATTGTGCAAGAGCCGGGAAAGTTTAAAAAACGAGGCAGCCGCGGCTTTTGCTTACTTTTGTGGCCGCCACAACCGCCGCCACAACCGCCTCCACCACCACAACCATCACCACAACCTCACCACAACCATTACCACAACCATCACCACAACCATCACCACAACCATCACCACAACCATCACCACAAACCGATTCCGGTCCTCGCCTTGTAGAGCAACAAAGCCCACTTTGACAGCCGCTATGATGGGGCGAGACTGGAGACGGGGCGGGGATCCGTAGCTGACGTAGTGCGAGTGGGTGTGTGGGGGCAGCGGCGGTGTGGGAAGGTGCACCCACTGTGGCCATACCCCATAGCGACATGGCCTACGTAAACCCCATGCGACAGGCTGTCTTTGTCGGCGAGATATGAGGTATCCTCAGACATCCTCAGACATCCTCAGACATCCTCAGACATCCTCAACTACTACCCTTACAGACTATGTACCCTTACTAACTCAACTCTCCTTTAGTCCTGACAATAGACTCCCTTAGTCGGCGACGCTGTGTCGTCCAATGGCTTGGGCATGATGGAAGGCGGCGTGTCGTGCATTGGATCGACCTTCGCTGGACACTTCTTGGTACCGCTTTAGGAATCCTGCGAACCAAATGTACCTCCACTACCCTTGCCCTCTGGCATTAACTTACTTTAATACTCTACTTTCTTACTTATTAAACCTGCTTAGCTCGCCGCCGTTTCTCTCCTCTTCTTCTCTATCCCTTTCGACTTTTGCTGGAATTTGCTTTTCTAGCTTCCGGGTTTCTTAACTCAACGTCAATCAAGTTTCGAAGGGTCCAGGCAATCTAATCGCCGATCATCAGTTGTTGCGTCCGCCCCATAAGTTACTCTCCAGACTCGAGAAGAATACCCTTTCTTGAAACAACCCAACCTCGGAAAAAGGCTCGCGCCCCAATCGCAGTATTCTTACGGCGGTAAATGCAGACCGCTTTCGTCATCCTATCTGACCCCCAAGCCCACTTCGAGCCAATCGTGCATTGGCCCAGTCGAAAATGGCGCTGAATCCGAACCACAAAGGTTCCGAATCCTCTCTACCAAACTACACGTTTTCCCCAACCGCCCCAATGGCCAAGGAGAAGCGTATCGAAGACGGCGTCCTGGCCGACGATGAGGGCAACAGGACCCGAAAGGGCGGCTTGAAGGTCGGCGCCAGAATTGCGCCAGTCCTCCCCCATCTGAGGGGCGCCGACTTCTCGGACTCGGACTCGGTCAATGGACAGGATGTGCTGGAGAAGCAGCTTGAGTTGGAGTCGGGGAATGCGCTGCAGTATCGTACTTGCAGCTGGCAAAAGGTAAGGGTTCAATGGCGCGCTGTGTGTTTTTTGCGGGCTCAGATATTAAGTTTCTCACCTAGACTGCCTTCCTCCTCTTCTCAGAGTACATCTGCTTGGCCATCATGTCATTTCCATGGTCCTACTCCATCCTCGGACTTGTCCCTGGACTCATCCTGACCGTCGTCGTGGCAGCCGTCGTGCTCTACACGTCCCTCGTGCTCTGGGAGTTCTGTCTCCGTCACCCAGAAGTCAGGGACGTGTGTGACATCGGCCAAATGCTGTTCTGGGGTAAAACCTGGGTCTGGTACGCCACGGCCGTCATGTTCATCCTGAACAACACCTTCATCCAGGGCCTCCACGTCCTGGTGACCGCCAAGTACCTCAACACCATGACGCACCACAGCCAATGCACCGTCGTCTTCGCCGTGATCTCCACTATCATCTGCTGGTTCTGCTCGCTCCCCCGCACCTTCGACGCGCTCTCCAAGATCGCCTGCGCCACCGCCTTCTTCACCTTCGTCTCCGCCCTCCTCGCCACCATCTTCTCCGGCCTGGAAGACAAGCCCCTCGGCTTCACCGAGGAACTCGGCGCCCCGATCTACACCGCCTTCCCCCTCCCCGGCACCACCTTCGTGGCCGCCATGTCCGCCTTCCTCAACATCTCCTACACCTTCATCGGGCAAATCACCCTCCCCAGCTTCATCGCCGAGATGCGCGAGCCCAAGGACTTCCCCAAGGCCCTGTGGGCCGTCACCATCGCCGAGATCATCGTCTTCTCCGTCGTCGGCGCGGTCATCTACGTCTACACCGGTAACCAGTACATGACCGCCCCCGCCTTCGGCTCCCTCGGCAACGAGATCTACAAGAAGGTGTCTTTCTCCTTCATGATCCCCACCCTCATCTTCCTCGGCGTCCTCTACGCCACCGTCTCCGCCCGCTTCATCTTCTTCCGCATCTTCGAGGGCACGATCCACAAGTCCTCGCACACCGTCATCGGATGGTCCGCCTGGGCTGGTATCCTCGCGTTCACCTGGCTCGGAGCCTTCGTCATCGCGGAGGTCATCCCGTTCTTCTCGGACTTGCTGAGCTTGATGTCCTCCCTCTTCGACTCCTTCTTCGGATTCATCTTCTGGGGCGTAGCGTACATCCGCATGCGTCGCGTTGATGGCGGCGTGAGGTGGCTGCACGAGCAGAGCTTGGATGGATACGCTGTCTTGGGGCTGAATCTCTTCATTATTGTGGTGGGGTTCTTCTTCCTCACTGTGGGAACGTATGTGTCGGTGCAGAGTATCATGAATAGCTATGCGGCGAATGCTGTTGGTGGCGTGTTCACTTGCGCGGATAATGGGATTTAAAGGGTGTCCTATTAGGGATGTGAGAAATATATACGTACACTTGTGGGGCTCTCGTGTGTTGGAAGGCGCAGGTGTTTGGGGGCTTTTTATTTGGATGGACATTTTGTTTTTATGAATGGCTATTTGGATGATGCCAGAGTTGTCGTAGAATTTTGATAGTTGGATTAATATATACTTCACAACAAATCTGCTCCGCCCCCGCTTTTTACACAAGTTATGTGATTGTGTTTTCCATATCACCTTATTAACTGTTATCTCCCAACCTTTCGTACACCCTTCCTGAGACATGGAGTACAAGAATCGCCAACACAACGAAGTCCCACCTCCCTCACCCCTCCCTCCTCCGCTCCATCTCCCCCAGCATATACCGCGTGCTCACTCATACGGTTCCATCAACGTATTCCCCAACACCCCCTCCCTAAACTCCTTCTCCCCCAAATGACTACTATGCGCCCACGGCTTCAGCTCCATCTCCTGCCCAATCGTATGCGCGAAACACTGCGACCACTTGAGGCGCGGATACGCATTCGTCACGTTCATGATCGTTTGGGGGTGTACGAGTTCTGCGTTCTTGCCTATGTTGTCTGTGGTGTTGTTAGTCTTTTGGTGTCCACATATGGTCTTGTGCTCTGCACCTTGGGGGGTTAGCCGCCACTCCACCGGTGACCCCGGCAGCCGCCGTGGCCCTGGCCACGACTCCACTTGCCGGAACACCAAACAGCATTCAAACTACTTATAAGATGGTTTTAGGGAAAGGAATAAGACGAACCGAAAATAGTAGCCAACAACACCAAAGCCGTAACACTCGTCACCCACCCCGTCTCCCCCAAATCCTGATGCCTTATCACCGCCTCCGCCACGCTCTCCGCCTGAGCCGTTGGCGCCCCCTCCTTCTTCAATAAATCCAACACCAGCAATCCGCCGTGGAACTCGAAACTCAGGAGCGTGGATGTGATATTCATCGGCGTCGTCCCGATATCGTGAAGGAGGGAGGTGAGCAGGTATGTTGCGATCCAGCTTGGTGTTAGGAGGTCGGGGAAGGAGAATTTAGCTATTGCGATCCCTATGTGCTTGTGTCAGACAGGGTTTTGGAGAAGGGGGGAGGGTATATACCGTAGTAGAACACACGCATACTATGGTTAAACGTCTCCACGGGCAATTCCTTTCTCCCATACTCGATAACCTTGGTAACGAGCGGCGAATCGGGGAGGGGGATATCAACCACGCTCAACTCGGTAGGTTGCTTTGAGTCGACGCGGCTGGCAAGGAGGGCGGCGGTGGAGCGGGGAAGGGCGCTGAAGCCGTAGGCTTTGATGTCTTCTTCGCGCGCCACTTTGGAGCCGGGGGTGTGGTGGTGGGAGAGGGGGTTGGGGATGATGGGGTGGGGTTGTGGTGGTGGTGGTTGTGGCATTGTGAGAATTTGTGAGGGGTGTTTGGTGGTTTATATATAAATTATGCAGCTGTTGCTGGCTGGGGATGGGTAAATGCAGGAAGGATTGAGGGGTTATATTGATTTATTTGATTGTCAGCGCTGGGGTTGGATTACTCATTACATCGTTGGAGGATGATGATGGTGGTGGTGGTGGTGGTGGTGGTGGTTTGAGGCGATTGCGGGGTGTGGATATGACGTCGCGTGTATAGTAAAGGGTGGTACGAGGAGAGTTAGGTCTTATGTCAGCTTTATGTCAGCAATTTTGTGGGGAGTCACGGCATTGTGCTGCTATACGATATTGAGCTGGAAATGAAGGAGGAGAATAAATATTATTTACTCTCTAGCCCACGAAGCAATTCCCGTCCCTGTCGCTCCGGCGATCAGTGCCAAGACCGCAGCCTTGTCGGTTGACGCTAGCGGACCGCAAGCTCGACGTCGCCAGGCCGCGAATACGGTCCCTTTCCAATCCACCACCCGCCAACCTCCGCACCGCAACGACCTCCATGCCACTTCCCTAATCGATATAACCTCGCCCCGAAAACCCCATCACTGCTAGCTACTTCCGGCCCGTGCCAACAATCTCACGGTGAGCCTACTCTACACCAAACCCGCCGTAATGGCGTACTTCTTCAGCACGCCTGTCGACATCGACGTCGTGCTCGAGGACACGAGTGATCGGCAGATGGTGGATGTGAAGCTCGATAAGAATCGGAGAGAGAAGGCGCCGCTGTATAGGGATGAGGAGAGCGTGAGGGGCGCCGTCACGGTGAGGCCGAAGGATGGGAAGAGGTTGGAGCATACGGGGATTAAGGTCCAGTTTATAGGGACGATTGGTGGGTTCTTGCTTTCTCTCTCTCCTGCTGTTGGCTGGATATAGGTGTGCTGGGATGAGCGGGACACGTGAAAGTTGGGCACCTAGAAGCTGCCGGTGTTCAAGGAATGATGAATGGATTGACCACATAACTAACCGTCCCCCCGCACAGAGATGTTCTTCGACCGCGGCAACCACTACGAATTCCTCTCCCTAGGCCAAGAGCTCGCCGCCCCCGGCGACCTGCAACACCCCCAAACGTTCCCCTTCAACTTCAAAAACGTCGAGAAGCAATACGAATCCTACAACGGGATCAACGTCAAGCTCCGCTACTTCGTGCGCGTCACCGTCTCGCGCCGCATGGCCGACGTCATCCGCGAAAAGGACATCTGGGTGTATTCCTACAAAGTGCCTCCGGAGACGCAGAGCAGTATCAAGATGGATGTCGGCATTGAGGATTGCCTGCATATCGAGTTCGAGTACAGTAAGAGCAAGTACCATCTTAAGGATGTGATTGTGGGGAGGATTTACTTTTTGCTTGTGAGGCTGAAGATTAAGCATATGGAGTTGAGTATTATTAGGAGGGAGACGACGGGGACGGCGCCGAATCAGTATAATGAGAGTGAGACGTTGGTGAGGTTTGAGATTATGGATGGGAGTCCGTCGAGAGGTATGTTTTTGTCACCCGTCCTTCCTCTCACCATCCCCCCTGTTTTCCTATAAGTTTTATGGGACACCAACTAACAAGCACAGGCGAAACAATCCCCATCCGCCTCTTCCTCGGCGGCTTCGACCTAACCCCCACATTCCGCGAAGTCAACAAGAAATACTCCACCCGCTACTACCTCAGTCTCGTCCTCATCGACGAAGGTACTTTCTTCCCTCCCTCCCCATTCCCCCATTTCTCACGCCCCCCCCCTTCAATCCTTCCACCGCGGGGAAACCAAAAGAAAGAACCCCAAACTAACACACCCACAGACGCACGCCGCTACTTCAAACAATCCGAAATCGTCCTCTACCGCCAGAACCCGCAGATCGCGGATGCGCAGACGCAGAATACACAGATTGTTGGGGCGCCGCCGCCGGAGAGGGTGGAGCAGTAGGTGGATCGTGAAGCATGAAGGAGGTTAATGGCTTGGTAACAGAAGGGAGGTGGGGGATTGAAGGGAGGCGCGGGTGGAGGGGTGGATCTTGATGAGGAGGCGGGTGGTGTATATAGTATCGTGGAAGATGTAGCGGGGAGTTAATGCATTATTCAACTACAAATATTCGTCCTAGCCCTCCTTGTGTGGCTCGAAGTATGGTGAAGGGGGTATGTGCTGCGAGTCGACACTGCAACTACAATCGCCTTCCTCTCTTCCAGTCGACAGTGAGTAAGAAGCCCATACCATGATACCCACCCCAAGAGATTACAGGCATTCAATTGCACAGTGACTTGCATAGAAAATCGTTTATAGATTTAACTTTCCTTTTCTTTTCATTCCCTTTGTCCGTTGTCTACTAAATCATTGGACAAAGCCAAGATAAAACGTGTGGTATCCGCTCAACCCCTCGTCCTTGAACGCACTTTTCTCAAGACAACATCGCCCTCCCACTTTTTCATTGATAGGCGTTATCATTACCCCCCCCCCTCCATTTCCCCATCCTTTCCCTTCTCCTTTTCCATTCCGCCATCCCTCACTTCATTTTTCTCTCCCCCAAGGCCGTCCATTTTCCATTTTCCTATCCCATCCCATCCCTTTTTTTTTAAAAAAAATCCTCCCATCCATCCCATTTAAGGCGCCGTCTAAGACAATAAGAACATGCGAAGAAGAAAAAAAAATCTTGACCAAAGTCATTATTACTTTTTTGTCCAACTAACAAGAAAAAAAATCGCACAGGTAAGGAGAAACATCCAGAATAGATAGACGGGCTGGCAATTAGTGCAGGGCGCTTTCGCTAACATTTTGAGGCTGATTAATGCTTGCAAGTGCTCGCTGAATCGTATGGTGAAGGTGTTGGTTTGATGTGATGTGATGTGATGTGACGGTGGTGGTGGTGTGTGAGATCAAAAGTGAGGAGATCAACTCATGGCCCAGTTTGATTGGGCTGTCATTGATTGCCGTGAAGCCTATTACTGTTAGCACACTGTGAAGATACAAAGGTAGGCAATTAACATACCATCATCGACCCCCCATCAATCTCAATATCCATCCCTACCCGTCCCTCCTCCGCCCCTCCCGGCGGCACACTCGGACTTGGACTCAAAAGCTGACTCCCCGTCTCGCTCGTCCCCTCCCCTCTCTTCCCCCCCAACGCCTTCCTCGCCCCCACCTCACTCAACCCATCCTTCCTAACATGAATCTTCAAATGCCGTCTCAACTGATCGCGCCGCCTAAAACTCTTCCCACACACCCCACACCGACACTCCTCCTCCGGCTCATGGATCTTCTTATGCTTACTCAGATTACTGCTCTCCGCGAAGCGACGTCCACAGCCGGGGAAATCGCACAACAGCGGCTTCTCGCGCGTATGCTTGGTGCGCGTATGCATCGTCAATTGACTCGCCTGCGCGGCCTCGTAGTCGCAGCCCGGTTCTTTGCATTTAAACGGCTTGTCCCCCGTGTGCGTGCGCATGTGGCTCTCGAGGGTCTGGGAGGTGCTGAACTCGTGGTGGCATTCGGGGCACTTACACGCCTTGTGCCCAGTGTGGGACTGCATATGTCTATCCAACTTCGAGCGCTGCGCGAAGCCCGCACGGTCGGCGGGGAGGGAGAGACGACTGCATCCTGACCAGCGGCAGACGAAGCCGAGGGATTTGGAGAGCGGCGCGGTGTGCACGGATTGGATGTGCGATTGCAGTGCTGCTTTTGTGGCGAAGGTTTTTCCGCAGGGCGTGGAGGTGGGGGTGTCGTGCCATTGGCAGACGGGGACGGGGAAGTTGGGGTCGGGTTGCGAGGCGGGGGTTAAGAGGGCGGCGTCGGAGGGGGGGTGAGGCGAGGAGTAGGTCGATGCGGCGGAGGGAGTTGGTTCGGTGGAGAAGGCGAAGGGGTCTTGGGAGGAGGAGGAGCGGGAGGAGAGGTCGCGGAGGGACATGGCGTATTGGAGGGTTGAGTTTTGGAAGGAGGGAGGACCCATGTTATGGTAGGTCTCGTGACTTTGGCAGAAATTGCTGTTGTTGTTGATGTATTGGCACATACCACTGTCCTGCGCCGCTCCCATCATGCCGCCATTGTTGTAGGAAGGCATGTAGGCGTTGGTGAACATGCACGCGCCGAAGTGGGGTGGGTGAGTGGCATTCGTGTACCCGTTCGCGATCGTAGCGCAAAATTCGTAGTTTTGCGAGCCGTTGTAAAATTGCCCGCCCGACATTGCCGGGGGCTTCATGGCTGCTAGACTCGCTGCCGCGGACACGATATCCATCCCAAAGCTCCCTGCGCATTTTGTGGTCCCGCTGTGACAGACGTTTGAACCGTGGCAGGTGTCAATGGGCAGGCAGTAAGGGTTGGTGCACTCGACGAGATCGTCACCAGTACAACCAGTACAGTCGGGTTCGTGGCACTGCTGGACGTGGCACTCCGGGCTGTCGCATCTCTCCTCGTAGATGATTGTAGACCTGTTGCTGTGTCCGCCGCTGAAGTAGTGGTCGTGGTGCGACTGGTGGAAGGAATCTTCGGTCGTGGGATGGGGAGACGGCGCTTCGGTATTCGTGGCTTGGGTATATGCATTCGACGAGCTATCCCATGGCAACGCGTTCGCCCAGACGTCTGCCGCGTCAATCGAGCCATCCTGCGAGAACATCATGTCCATATTTCCTCCCGACGACGGGTTGTAGGCGCGGTTGTCGTTCATTATCTCGAGCTGCCTAGAGAGTCATTAGCGGTCTGGTACCCCGACGAGCGACACGAACACGACTGGCGACTGGCGACAAGATTAAAAAATGCAGAGGGAGTTTCTTACCCAAGCAGCGCTTCGAACGGAGTTGCTCCCATTCGCAGCTCGCAAGGTAGCTGGGACGTGTGTCGAGGTCGGAATCAAAGGTCGAGGCTCAAACCCATCAAGGTTACTATCGGAAGCAGTGGGATAACGCAGATAGCGCGCACGGAGTCGAGGGTTGTTGAGTGTCGAATGAGAAATATATCAGTAGACAAGAAGGGCAAGATGTTGTTTCGTGAACCTAGAATAAATGGGAGGGATCTTCGAGGGGCAGTAACAGGACAGAACAACAAGATTTCGGTCGGGAAGTGTTGGTGGTGAGAAGTTTGGCGGGGGGGGGGGGGCATGGAGAAAGGTCTTCATTGACGATTTTTCGCAGTGGCCCCAACCCACAAGGTTACTTAGTGTAGCACAGTACAAATCAGAGGCGTTGATGACGAAAGGGGAAGTAGAAGCGAGTGCGGGCTTTACCGGAAGAGGTGTAGCGGATTGGAAAATTACCTTGGAGGTTGACGCTGGGGGGTAAGGTGGACCAATCAGAGGGGTTTAATAAGAATTGGGGCGTGATTAGATAATAAAACCGGGGTACGTACTCTGAGGTAGAAGTTACCAAGGGAGGAGGAAGGAAGGGTGAAGGGGAGGGTGAAGGGAAGGATGAAGGAAGGGTGAAGGAAGGGTGAAGGAAGGGTGAAGGGTATAATATAATAGAGATAATATATAATAGAGACAATAGAGATAATAGAGGGAATAGAGGGAATAGAGGGTATAGAGGGTATAGAGGGTATAGAGGGTATAGACGGAATAGAGGGTATAGACGGAATAGAGGGTATAGAGGGTATAGACGGAATAGACGGAATAGGGTATAGAGGTATAAGGGAATAGAGGGGTCTAGAGGGTAACTTAGAGGAAGAAAAGACCCTAGGTTAGCTATGACAGCTCCGACTAACTAGAGAATACTTGGATTGTTATAGCATCAACAGAACAAATCTCTTCTATTCCCTTCGTCTATACCCTCTATTCCTATTCCCTTCGTCTATACTCTATACCCTCTATTCCTATCCCCTTCCTAGCTATAGAAGACGATCGTAGGGGGTATAGACGAAGGGAATAGGAATAGACGGTATAGACGAATAGAGGGAATAGACGGTATAGAGATAATAGAGATAATAGAATAGAGGTATAGCCAAGGCTGGATAAATTAATTTGCTCATCCCTCAGCCGCCATTTCCAGCCAAGACCAAGGCCGGATAAATTAATTTGCCCATAGCTCCCTCCTCCTCTACTGCACCACCACAACCGGGCCGGAAAAACCGCCAGGAGCTCCCCCCCAACCTCCCAAGACTCTAAGCCCCTCTGCGCACGATTGTGCCCCATCACCACTCAGCAAACACGCAAATCCACAGCGTAAAGAGTCATTCATTCAATTGCCTTTATTATCCCCTACACTCCCACCTCAAACCCATATCCAAACCAAAGTAACCCCCCGGGCACACCCAATATACCCCGCCCACAACGCCAACACACCACCACGCCACCACGCCACCCCGCCACCCCGCCACCCCGCCACCATCCCATCTCCCATCCTCATCCACCACCACAACAACAATGGGCAACCTCTGCGGCTCCGAATCCAAATCCCCCGACGCCTTCTCAACCCCCGGCCGCGCCCTCTCCTCCGCCCCTCCTCAGAACGCGACGTCTAGACCTCCTGCTAAGATCGCTGGTGGACCGCCGCAGCGATTGGGTGGGGGCGCGGCGGGGGGAGGAGGAGGGGGGGATCCGAGGAGGGATGCCGCTAATGCTGCTGAGGTATGAGATCTCCTTTTGCTTTTCCCCGGTTTAGATGGCATTTGGTTGGAGTAGGGCGAGTGGGGAGTGTTGGGGATGGGAGAGGCGATGGGGGGTATGAGAGGATGTATGCTGATGGTGTGATAACACAGGCCCGCGCAAAAGCAGCAGCGAAACCGACAGGGAAATTAGGACAGCAGTTGAATGCGCAGAAGATGCAGAGGAGGACGGATGCCTTGCAGGAGGCTAGTAGGGAGGAGGTTGCGAGGAGAGGTGCCGATGCTGCGGCGGCGGCGAGGAGTTATAATTGAGTAGGGTGCGGGGATGAAGAGAGATGAGGGAGAGGAGTTGGAAGAGGTGGGGAAGATATGGGGAGGAGATGGGGGCGAGTGAAGGCGGGGGGGGGGGGACGAGATTGCCTGGGATGATGTGATGACGGTGGTGATTGATGATGAGGGGGAGTATGGGGCTTGCATTTATCATTTCTAGCGTTGATTTTGCTTGAATACGAGATGGCTTGGAGGTTATCGTGCGGCTACAGCAGGTACTGAGTAAGCGGAACAGAATACATGCTTCCTTCTTTCTTTGGCTCACGTTGGATTGAATGGATAGGGTAGAAGTGATAACAAGAATATTGACACGACTAGCTGTGGTCCTGCCACTGCGTACATTGAAATCTAACACACTTCCTTATCCATCAATACATAAATAACACACATACCCAGCCCCCATAATAGAACCAAAGGCAAAATCCGTCTAGCTATCAACCTCCAATCCAAAACCCCCACAACTCCAAACCCCCTCCCCCCATTAACCCCCCCATCCCCAAACTCTTCATACACAACCCTACTCCTTCCCACCCCTCTCCCTCTCCCTCCCTACCCCCTACAAACCCTCTCCACCCTCTCCCCCACAACCGGGAAAACATCCCTCTCCGCCCTCGTCCCCATCCAACAATCCAAATGCCCATACCCCTCAATCACAACCCTCTCATACCCCTCCCCCCCAAACATATCCCTCAGCGTCTCATACGTCGTCAACGTGCTCTCAGGCTGGAGGACATGGTTATCTGCTCCACTAAACAGGAAGATCGGTAACCCCTTCAGACGCCGCAAGTTCGTGGGCGTAGTCAGCTTTTGCGCTAAGGGGAAGTTCGTGGTTACGTGGCCGTGCTCGCCCATCGACATGAGGAGGTGCTCGAGGGACATGTTGACGCCGCCGAAGAAGCGGTGGGTTTGTGCGTGGGTGGCTACGTTGAGGTTGGCGTGGTTCCAGCATCTGTGTCGTTGGTTAGCCTCCAGGATCCGGCGAAGAGGGGTATAAAAGGGGCCGGGGGGGGGGGAGGATGGGACACACCTCCCAAAAACAAAAGACGTCCGATGACAAGCAACATTATTACACATCTCTCTCGGCTCCACCGGATAAAACCGCGAATCGTCTGCAAACTGAAGATCTGGTGGTCCACCGAGGCGCCAGGGATCATGAAGAGGTCGTGCACCGGGTAAGTAGGATCGGGATGCGTGGATTCCCATTTGTTCATGTATGTCTTTACGCCGTCGGAGGCGATCACTGCGATGGCGCCGTCGGAGGTGCAGGTGTTGATGAAGCCGCGGGGGGTGTGGGAGGGGTATTGGAGGGGGCTGAAGGGGGTGAAGAAGAGAGAGGCAGCTTGCTTGGCGAAGTAGGAGAGGAAGGTGATGGTGGAGGTGGCTTTGGCGATTAGGCCGTCGCCAGAGGGCTTGAGGGTGAGTGCTTCGGATAGGAAATCTGTGGGCTTGATGTGGAGTATACCGCGTCCGATGACTGTGCTGTTGAGTCGCTTGATGGTGACATAGAGAGTTGACGTTGCCCTCCAGAGAGCGATGGGGTTGAGGACCACACCGGCATTAACCGTTTTAAACCCTTCAAACTGGTACTTCTCGCGATCGGTTCCTATCATCTGAAAGCTGTAGGTCAAATTCTTAGTCCCCGATATCGACTGGTTCGCCGAAAAGAGTCCGAAATCGCCACGCTTTATCATAAAGGGACTCCCTGGTAGACCAGAACAGACGAGCGTTCCAGTCAACATTGCAGAATGATCAGGCCGACGGACAATAGTATGGGTATTCCACGCTTTGACGCTCAGGAAAAACCTCGCGCCCTCGCATAGTCCTTGCCCGGTGCGAGCCGCAACTTCAAAGTCGTCTGTTCGGTCTCCTTCCATGTTTTCGCCGAAGTGGATGAATCCGGACATGACTTCTGAGAATTCGAAGCCGCTCGCTTTTCCTGCTGCGGTCTCTTCAATAAGGCTTTCGGCATTGACGATACTGTCATCTCCAGTAATTACGTGTTTTGGGAATCCGAAGAGATTCAGAAGGCCTAGGAATGTTAGCTTTCATGGGTACCTATGCAGATTTGGTTTCAAATAAACGCACCATTCTTCGTATCATAGTCAATTGTTACACCCATTCTATCCGCCGTATATTTTACCGAGCGCTCAGCAAGAGCAGTGATAGTGGCAAGGGGGTTGACGCCCAAAGCCGTTGGAACAATTGCTCCATCGGTAACAATGAGCCCTTCATAGGTCTCTTTGCCGTTCCCTTTGAACACTTGCCCAAAATGGTTCGTGGTGCCGGTTCTTCCTGTGCCACAGCTACTCATACAAGCTCCCCTATTTCTCGTTAGCAACCGCTCAATCAACCTATGGCGAGAGATTCTTACCCAATAGGATGTACAGTAATTTCCTGCTTTCCAAGAGCAGCGTAAAATGGGCTATTCACAAACGTCCCTCCCACAGCAGAGGTAGCCTGAGCCAGTATATCGTTGAGATACTCGACATGGTCCGACCTTCCCACGCCCAGGAACTTCAAGAGGGGCTTATCATTCTTCAGAGAAAGAATGGCCTGGTTTGAATCATGCGACATAACGAGATAAACCATGGTCTTCTCAACACTACCTTTCTGATAATACGGACCAAGTATATGACTCCCTATACTCGCAAGCTTGCTCCTCACGTTACCAATCACGCTAACGTCGTGGTGGGCGGTACCTGGCATCAACTCAAGCATTACTTGAAATAATGGAGCCAGTGCCTTTGGAATTGCTCCCTCTTCAATGACAAAGCCATCAAGCGGATTCTCGTGACCTTCACGGCAATCAATTATGCCAGCAATCGTGGGGCCGATAGGATGATACGGAGATGGGAATTCCCTCCCAATCGCATTCACATTTTCATTGCAGTTGTATCCGAAAGCGAGGATATCGCCATTCCCACTCATACCGGTCCCTAGCGTCGAACTCGTTGACAATCCCATGGCTTTGCTCCGGAGTAGAATCTCTGTTGTCCCCAAGGATCCGGCTCCTAAGAAGACACACTTTTTGGCGTGAACCCACATGAGATCTTCATCGAGGTGCTCTGTAAAGGCTCCCCGGCCGCTGCCATGCCATGCAAAGTAGACGATATATCCCTCGTCGGGATGCTCTTTTATATACCGGACTTCGCATTCGCAGAACATCTCAGCGCCCCAGTTCCATGCGTCGCTGAGATAGTTGACGAGCGTGCTAGACTTGCTACCGTCATTGAGCCCCGTAGTATCTTGGCCTGTCAACGCAGAAGCATTCATCTCCACACCTGTACTGTTCGCCCCAGCAGAGAACCGAGTGGTCTGCGGGACGCGTCGGAACTTGTCTCCCCACCCGAGATGGTTGGCCTGTGTCTCGAGCATGTTCAACTTCGACAGCTCAGGCCACTCATCAGGATACTTTTGGGGTTCGAGCATTTTCTCAGCCAGCTCGTAGTAATCGTTTAGTGCTCCTGGTTTCCGGAGCTCTGGCGGCCAATAGCGAAGGCCCATGGTCCCATTGTCTGTCCGCAGAAAGACATTCGCATTCAAGAGACTCGTTCCGCCAAGTCCATTCCCGACGAAGGCATTCTGGCCTTCACCCATAATCAAGTGATATAATCCCGTGGGGTCACCCTTGTCGACCATCTTCGGCTTTGATATAACGCCGGGCACTTCGCCCGAGATATGGAGCTCCTTCGTAGCCTCGAGAAGGGTGCTAGGGTACTCTCCCGGCCACCTCTCCTTCCCTCGTTCTAGCAAACAGACAGTCTGCCCCGCTCTCGCCATACGGCAAGCTGCCACGCCGCCTCCGTATCCTGAGCCGATCACTAACACATCATAGCTTGTTCTCAGGAGCTCAACAGGACGTGATATCCTCGGGAAGCATTTCGGGTCTTCATTCTGTCCATAGGATCGAACCTTTGCTTGGGACCTTGCCGTCGGGCCGCCAGGGGTTGCCGTATGCGGTGGGAGAGGGAGGGAGTTCACGCGCTCCCAGGTTGTGTCAATGGGCGGCCCTCTGCTCGTGGTGCGCCCAAAGTCGACGCGCTGTGGCTTATTAACGGGAGGGATTTCGTGTTTGCCATTAGCACCATTGGCTCCATTGACACGATGGACACCGTTGGCCCCGTTGGCTCCATTAGTATTAGACATTTTGCCTTGATGACTGGCCGTGTTTGATTCTTGCTTCGTAATAGAAATACCACGCGCCTGATTATGAGAGAGCCCGATCACAGTCTCAATGGCGGCTTCAGGGACTTGAAGCTATGCAACAGAAAATGTTCGCATACAAGAGCTTAATATATGAAGTAATCCACAGATAACGATATATTAAGGAAAAGAAACACCAACGAGAAAGAGAGAGAGCGGATATCTACCATCTTTGAGGCAGCCCTGACCTGACATCCTAGAGCATGCTGCATACACTAGCTATGAGCCCAGTCTCCATGTGTCCCTTGGGGCTGAAGGAGTATGGTCGATTCAGCTTCTGGGGGGGCAATCCAACCCGCGGGGCAGACCGAGGCTGGCGTATGGGACGGACGGCTGCTTCGTATGCTAAGCTGCTTACCCGTCCGTCATCCATCATCCATCATCCGATCATCAAGCCAACCCGGGCATGTTGACGGAGACGGAAAGGATCGATAGACTTCGGCGAAGCCGCTCTGTATATATTGGATTTTGACAAGGCTGAAAATAGGTCGTGCTGACGAGAACAGGCGGGAGAGCTTTCGGGATTGGCCCGTTATCGCCGAGACAGGTACCAGGTACTGCAGAATTGGGCAGGGATTAGCGTTGGGACTTTGTCACTGCCCCAAACGTGTGGTGGGCGTCGTCCAACATGAGATTCTTCAGCTGTATCAGCCTCAGGACGACCAATGGTAGATGCCTAACTTAGCTCGCCCAGAATAACTCGCATTCTTCTCATCCTTTACATGTGCAACATGTCTTATCCTTTTGCGTCTTCTAGAAATATATCAACATCCCACTAACACCAACAACCCCCACGGCGTCAGTGGTGGGGGGAATAGGATTCCAGTCGCCAAGAGGATATTACCATGTGGCCCATGTGGCCCATGTGGCCCATGTGGCAGACTAATTGACAGACATTGGCAATGGGGGTAGGATTCTCGAGTTGGTTTGCACATCTAGATCTAGATATAACCGCAACTGTTGTTCCTCTGGTGCATATTCCCCCCCCCCAAAACATCCATCTACACGCAATATATCATAGAAACGTTGGTATCATTGGTCATCCCTCGGCCCCATTCCAAGTCTTGCACCTAAAGCGTCTACTATACAACTCCTCCTCCGCCTAGCCATTAGATCCGAGCCGCTTCCTCTCCCCCCATCCGCTTCCACAAGCCATACCCTTACACGGTATACACAATCCTCCTCCTCCAGGACATCACAGCAACGGCATCCCAGTCCCAACAGCCACCGCCCCCATCGCAAACGCCCACAAGGTCAGTGCCGGCAAACTGCTCTTCACCATCCCCGCTCCCCCAACAGAACCGCCACCACCAACACCGCCACCACCAACAATGCCAACGCCAGGGAGGCTACCGCCGTTGTTTCCGCCGTTTCCGCTAGACCCTGTCTCCGAGGGCGTGTTCTTGTTAGTGGGAGCCAGCGCGGTAGTTGCCTTGGTCGGCGTGGGGAATCCCGTGCTGAAGTACTTGGAAGAGATGCGGTTGAGCTCAGAAGTGCCAGCTGCGCTGTCGGACTCGTAGGCCGATATGATGGTTGTCGTGGTCACGTATGTCGTGGCCAGCGTCGTTACCTGGTATATATAGGTGTAATAATAGGAGTAGTACGACCTAGGGACTATTAGAGCAGGAGCGCGGAAAGGGGTGAGAGCGGGACACCATACCAGGTGAAGGTCCAGTAGTAGTAAACATAGCCCGAACCCTGGACGGGCGTGGTGGCTTGCGGAGCTCTAGTCGTAACCGGCGTCGAACGCGTCAAAGCGATCGTGCTGCCGCTTTCAGCATACGCCGTACAGCTCAGATCAGTACAGCAGCCGTACCGCCCATTACTCAAATCAACAACGCAAATATTCCCAACATCGCACATCTGCCCGTTCGAGCAGCACTGTTCCCCAGCTGGCACACAGCCGGAGTAGCAGCACGAGTGGCCTGTGAGGCAGTACTATCCGTCCGCGCAACAGCTCCCGCCAGTCGCAATGCAGCGGCAGACGGAGTTGCACTCGAAGCCGCCGGGGCAGACGCCCGTGGAGCCGCAGCAGACACCATCGGTTTGGATTTTGCAGTATGGAGAGCCGGGACAGCACTGTGATAGGGAAGGGCAGCATCCGGTGTCTTGTAGGGGAGAGGTGTCAGCTTCGGATCTCAAACTCCTACGCCTGTATGCCGCGCCAACATCATCCACGAGGGTTATCAGGGCTGATAGACTCACCAGAGCACGGTACGTATCCTGCGTCCACACAAGTGCGCTTGGAGAGGAATCCAGTATTGGACCATTCGGAAACCAGCTCACGTCCATTGAGGGCATAGAGCCAGCGGGAGACGAGTACTTGATAGGCGGTGTTCCCTCGATCTCACCTGGAACAAGAGGGTACTCGCGCGACACAACGGAATCGTCGCATCTTGCAACTTGCAGGAGCAAGAAGGCTACAGCACTCAGAAAAGAGAGGCGCAGCCTTTGCTGTTTAGATTGAAAGTCGAAATGCGCAGTTCTGTCTGTTTTTCGTGGTTCTGATATGACCGCTGTATTGATCCCCTATTTAACCGTCTGACAGGTTATCGGCGCATTGTTAGCCTTCGAGGGATTTATCCCCACCACCTGTCACCGTAAATCATTATGGAACTGAGCCACGGGTTTGTAGAGGAAATTGTTAGTAATCCAAGATAGCCGATGCCTTACTGGAGGAATATCATTTCAGCAAATAGAGGAGACTATTTGGACCGATTTATTTGTCTCAGTAACCACGGTATAGAAATATACTCTATCAGAGAGAGCTATAAGGCTGCAATATGGCAATAGGTCTGTATATACTATTGGAGGCCATTGTCACATCCTGAGCAACCATTAGCATTGTTGCTGCCAGGAAAATTGTGCCTTCACCAATGTCTAATATTTTCTCATAATAAATACAAGAAGGAATCTTCCATTCTATATCCTAGCCTTCGGCCTCCACTTCGCATACGGATGCCCCTCTCCACCAGGCACTAGATGGTCAACAGCGAGCGTGTTCACCAAGCCCGGGTTACCTGGCTCAAATCCGTAATCCCGCAAAGCTTCATCGTAGTCTCCAGCTCATCCCTCAAGATATCAATGAACTTCTTTACACCTTCTTCCCCATAGTTAAGTGCCCAAAGAAAGCCCCGTCCAATGCCGACAGCCTTCGCCCCAAGGCACAATGCTTTGAAGATATCTGTTCCTCTCTTGATGCCCCCATCAACAAACACTTCCACTTTGTCGAAAACCTCCGGGCTATTCTTCCGAATCTCTAACAGAACCAACATTGGAGGAGGGCTTGTGTCGAGATTCCTACCACCATGATTGCTAAGCACAATCCCATCAATCCCATGCTGCATTGCCAGCACCGCATCCTGTGCCGTCATTATCCCCTTCAGAATAATCGGCAACTTCGTACTCTTCCTCAACCACTCCACATCCTTCCAACTCAGCGTGGGATCAATATACGACCCCATCGCTCTCGAAATACTGCTCCCCTTCTCATCATTCCTCGCCCTCATCCCACTCATCGGCGCCAACTCCCTATCCGCCTTGACCCTCTCATCCGCCTCCCTCTTCCCCTGCACCGGCCCGTCCACCGTAACAAACACCGCCTTCGCCCCCAGCCTCTCCGCCGTCCTCAACAACTCCTCCGACTTCGCCCGGTTCTTATCAACATACAGCTGGAAGAAAAACGTCATCGGCACAGGCGGCGGCGTATCCAGCACCGGCGGCGCCGAAATCGACGCGAAGATGGCTTCTACCCGGAACGACGCGCTGGTGCTGACACACTGCGGGATGCCGGATTTCTGGCACGCGCGCGCGAGGGCGCGTTCACCGTCGGGATGCACCATCGGAGAGGGCGGCGGGGGCGCAGAAGAGAGGGAGGGCGGAGCGGCGGCCGAGGATGGAGGTCGTCGTATCGGCGGTCGAGACGTCGGTCATTGTGCGGGGGCGGAAGAGGATCTGGTTGTATATGCTGCTATTCAGCTTGTGGGTTACCAGATCCCTGGCGGCGCACGAGTAGAAGGACCATGTTTTGGGGGCTAGCGAGATTGAAGCTGCATGCTCGAAGTCGTGGGAGCTGATTATAGATTGCAATGGGGTCTTTGGATGCGGTTTTGGAGGGTGATTGGGAGACATGGCTGATTCAATGGACTGGGAGGCCTGGTGGGATTGTTACAAAATTGTTGGCTGCAGAGATATGTTGCATATGGTAGATAGCTACTTTTGCTACATTTTACCCTTTTATATCGCTGCTCGTGTGGGGTAACTTGGATGAATCCCCCATATTTACTCCGCCCTTTCTAAAAGATCCCTGGGTAAGTGGGGAAAATACCGAATGCGGGACTCAACTGCGACCGCGACTGCAGCGGGCGGGAGTCTCTTGCCGGGGCTATTTACACCGAGTAGCGGGGTATATAAAATGGAGCGGATTCCTATGGAGAAGCCGATAATTGAATTTGGCGGCTTGATGTACTAGTAAGTCAGCAGATACTGGAGATCTTTTCACCGATATCTTTGCCGCGCGACTGGAGTCGATGAATATTCCTTCTCATAAGTTTGCAATAAATCCATTAGCATTTGCATTAACTGTGGTTTATCACCGTCTCGATCATATCACCAAGTCGATCACTTTCCCCACCTTACTACCTACCAACTTCAAAACGCGTTTTCTAAACAACCAACAATGGAGAGTCAATCCTAAGAAGCGCGAATCGTCCTAGCTATTAAGGCTATTCCAAAATCCAAGAAACTTAGCCGTCGCTCTGCTGCAAAATTCTATAGAGTACCTTACTCGACACTTTCTAACAAAATGGCTGGCCGAACACATCGACGCGAAGCCAAGGCAAATTGTCTTAAATTGACTGAGCTAGAGGAGTGAGTAATTATTCTACATATACTTAAGCTAGATGCAAGAGGATTTGTGCCCTAGTTAGCTAGTGTAGAAGATATGGCAAATAGAATCCGTAGGGGACAACGCGTCAGCAAGATCTAGGCACATCGATTTGTACAACGACGTCTAGAGTTAAAGACGCATTTTAATCGCGCCTACGACTTTCAAAGGGCCTTATGCGAAGATCCTGAAAAAATTAGAGCATGGTTTCAACTAGTAGAGAATATGCAGGCAAAATACAGTATTCAAGACTGTGATTTCTACTTTGACGAAACATAATGGGCGTTATTTGCCTAGCTATGGTTGTTACACATGCCGATCGACGTAGTAGGGGCAAAGCTATTCAACCTAGCAATTAGGAGTGGGCTATAGCGATTGTATGCGTTAATGCTAAAGGCAGGAGTATCCCTAGTTTAAGGGAAATGTCACCCTTCTAGTTAGTTTCACATAATGGTAATCCTGTAATGAAATCGCGTGATATGCCCTTCTATGGTTGGTTACCAACAGGAATTGGTTGCAGAAATCCATTATAGCATCTCTTGTAGGTTTTGACCTTTTGTAGATATGTGGAAGGAAGGCCATCACGTGCCACCACGTGAGGTCCCTTTCATAAGCGGCCCATAGGGCTCGGTAAAATAGGGCACAAGGTGCATAGATAAAAGGGGTTGGAGGCCTCAGAAGAAGGCCTCCAGTCAATAGTCGATGTATCTACGTAGACCTATTGTGCTTACAGAATACGATACCTTCCTGCCTCCTGACCTGGTTCCCTGGACTCCCGTGAGACCTTAGGCTTACGCTTTACAATTCTATTGACTGCACCCATATCCAGCCTACTGGGTCAGGATGGCGAGTATGGAAAGAAGGATTACGCGTGCGACTTCTGGAGGAGCAACGCCAGCAACTGACGCCACTGAGCCAGCTCCAAGAACTACATCCGTAGAAGCTAGCCATTGGACGGCAGGCCAGGACGAGAGCATGGCCTCGAAGCTGGCAGACCTTCGGAAGCGGATGGACGAAGAGAGGGCCTACATCAACACGATGGAGGAAGCCCTAGAGCTTTTCCGAAGAACGCACGGCGACGACTACAACGCCTACCCTGAGGCGGTACGGGACTTCGCGAAGAAGCAAGCCCGGATTCAGGAAGAGAACCGTCGGAAAAGGTGACACCAAGATATTGAGGACGAGTGGGAAGGACCCCAACAAGAGGAGGAGGCAGAGACTGCCTCTACCGTATCAATGGAGGTCACACCAGCCCAGAGGCCAATAGGAAGGGTCAAGGAACCTAAGGTATATAAGGGCGAATCCATCCGAGAGCTCAACGAGTTCATGGCCTCGATCCGCGCTATCTTCCGATACCAACCAAGGGTTTTTCCAACTGAGCAATCTAAGGTGGCCTTCGCTGCCCAATACTTGGAAGGACACCCTATGAAGGAATGGGATAACCGGTGCGCAACCCAAGGAGAAGGATACATAGATCCCTTGGATATCGCTGGGTTCGAAGAGTTTCTTCGGGACCTCCATGTCGACCCAGCCAACCGACAACGCATCGCGGCCTTGAAGTATAACGTCGCCCTACAACGGAAAGGGCAGAGCATCCGCAAGTTCGTGGCCTACCTTGAGGACCTCAAACGCGAGATGGAACCGTATACTGAATCGCAGAAGACTGTCCACCTTCTGACGAAGATTCACCCAGAGATGAGGCAGCGGCTCCTTGAAGGAGGGTACGCAGAGCGTTCCTCTACCCACAGGGACGCTATCGTTAATATCCTGGCGATGTTAGAAATGACAAACCAGTGGGTAACAGAGAGAACTCCTACTGTTGACAAGTCCAACTCAAGGGAAGGAAGGAATACCTCCCAGGGCAGCTTTCCATTCCTAAAGGGCAACTCTGGCAGCCACAGGGCTCCCCAGCCCTCGGCCCAAGGAGAAAGAACACCCTTCTGGAATAGACACCGCCCACAAGACCAGCGGCCGGCGAGAGGACAGGCCCCTACCCACAGTAGGGACGCTAGGCCAATCCCTAGCGGAATCAATTGTTATAACTGTGGCAAGGCGGGCCACCTCGCGAAGGAATGTCGAGGCCCACGCCAACACACAGGCCCAGGGGTGAGGAAATTGGACGCCTACACCCCCAAGAGGGAGTGACTCCCAGCAGAATCCCAGAAGCCTACGGCGCAGCGTCGAATGGAGATCGAGGTAGAGGTGCAGGTAGGGCCCGGATGGCACAAGGCAAGAGCCCTCCTCGACTCAGGATCTGACGCGTCCACCATCCACCCTCTGTTTGCCAAAGAGAAGGGTTTGGAGTGCCGGGATAGGGCACCGCCACGGGCAAGGGCAGTCGATGGAAAAGAGGTTGTGATATATGGAGCGGCCACCACCCAGGTCCGAGCTAGGGACCACTTTCAAAGGGAATGCGTGGTCGCCCAGACCCTCCTTTCCATGGACACCCCAGGAGTAGACGTCATCCTTGGGATGGATTGGATGACGCAGGTCAACCCCCAGATCGACTGGCGCAAACAGACCTGGCGCCAGCCCTTCGATATTGCGAGAGCCGAGGTGGCGGATATTGAAGAATGGGAGGAAGGTGATACTGCCTTCGTCTTGGCCTTAAACACAGATGATAGCGCGCCTACCCAATGCCCGAAGGAATACGAGGACTATATCGACGTCTTCTCGGAGGAAAAGGCAGAAGAACTGCCAGAGCTGGGAAGGAAAACCCATGCCATCGATACTGGGCCCCAGGAACCACCGTATGGGCCAGTATATAACCTATCGGAAACGGAGCTGGCCACGCTCCGTAAATACCTCGACGAGAGCGAGAAGAAGGGTTGGATCCGAAGGAGTGTAAGCCCTGCAGGCGCACCCATCCTATTCGTTCAGAAGAAGGACGGAAGCCTACGCCTCTGCGTAGACTACAGAGGCTTGAATAAGATTACCGTGAAGAATCGACACCCGCTGCCACTGATCACGGAGACCTTGGATCGGCTCCAAGGGTCGAGGTGCTTCACAAAGCTTGATATTAGGAACGCCTACCACCGCATCCGTATTCGCCCAGGCGACGAGTGGAAGACAGCGTTCCGTACTCGATACGGACACTTCGAGTACAGGGTGATGCCTTTTGGATTGGCTAACGCACCTGCAACGTTCCAAGCGTACATGAATGAGACCCTACAAGGGTTGGTTGACACCATATGTGTCGTATACCTTGATGATATCCTCATCTACTCCCAGAAGGAGGAGGAACACGCTGACCACGTACGAGAGGTCCTAGGACGCCTACGCGAGGCGAACCTATACGTGAAGCTCTCAAAGTGCGAGTTCAATGCCAAGAAGGTAAGCTTCCTTGGGTATATTGTCACAACGGAAGGGGTGGCTATGGAAAGCGACCGGGTTGCTGCAATCGCCGATTGGCCAATACCTAGGACCCATCGAGAGGTCCAGGTGTTCCTCGGCTTTGCCAACTTTTACCGGCGCTTTGTAAAGCAATACTCCTCCGTGGTGGCCCCAATGACAGGCCTTATGAAAGGGGCAAAGGCAGGCAAGCAGACAGGCCCGTTCGTGTGGGGGGAGGAACAGCAAAGCGCCTTCGGCTAGTTGAAGAAGGCCTTCACTACAGCCCCCACACTGGTCCATTTCGACCCATGCCGTAGAATCAGGCTCGAGACGGACTCGTCAGGCTTTGCGCTCACTGCGAACCTGTCTCAATTAGTGGAAGGAACTAAGCCAGAAGAGAAGGGCGAATGGCACCCAGTTGCCTTTTTCAGCAAAAAGCTAGATCCAGCAGAGCTGAACTATGAAGTCCACGACCAGGAACTCCTGGTGATCGTGAAGTCCTTCGAGCAGTGGAGACACTACCTCGAAGGAAGCCAGTACCCAATTGAGGTCCTAACAGATCACAACAATCTGAAGTATTTTATGGAAACCACCGCCCTCACAAGGAGGCAATCGCGGTGGGTGCAGGCGTTATCAGCCTATGATTTCCACATCTCCTATCGAGCGGGAAAAACAAACCCAGCAGACGGTCCATCTAGGAGACCAGACTATGAGGGTGAAAAGGGTAGCCAGAATGTGATGCTACTGACCCTTAAGAACAAGCTCCGAGAAGCCATGCAGGCAGGAGGTATCCCGCAGATAAGTCGGATGATAACAAGCCAAGAAGGCTTTCAGATAGGAGAACCTAACCTACAGCGTAGGAAGGCAAACGCTAGCAGCGTAAGACTGGGCGATGACCATAGTAAGGACACCAAGAGTCCAGGTCTCGTTGTCCCTCGGGTTGCAGTAGCTGCTGTAGCCAAGGGAGAGAGCGCCTATAGTGCTGCTTCTGAACCCCTAATAGA